TAACCCTAACCCTAACCCTAACCCTAACCCTAACCCTAACCCTAACCCTAACCCTAACTCATCACCACCTGTCCGCACATACATGCCACCAACCCCACCGCAGCTGCTGCAGCCTGGCTGACGCACTCTCCATGGTGTGCTTTGCCTATGTGGTTGGTGATGTTGCTAGCTGCGTAGCTGAACTTGCAGATGGGGCAGGTGAAGTGTGGCATGGCTGAGTAGTGGTGACGGTGACGGTGCAGAGGTTTGTTGCCACCTGCGCACCAGCTTGTATTGGACCGTCCCTCAGCTTGTACCAGACCGTCCTTGGACCTGTAATGGACCGTCCTCCATTTTGAAGCAGACCGTCCCCCTGCTCACTACAAATTCCAACTTTCCTTGAAGCAGACCGTCCCTCAGGTGAATACAGACGCGTCTCAGGTTTGAATTTCTTTTTGTATTTCACACCGCGTCCGAGCAACCACCCCAATGACTACCTTGAATGGAAGTGCCAAAATGACGGTGAGGACGTTGAAGATGATTTTGGTAGTCACCAAGTTTCCCTCAATTGTCCATCAACCATGCATGCAGTCCTCATTACGTTGAACACAAGCGGCCTTGTCCTCCGGCTGTCTCTTGTTTGAGTGCACGCAGTGCAGAGTCGTAAATCTATCGCATTGTCGGATGAGCCAGTGTGATAAATGTCGATGATCAGATTAGCCGTTGCGCAATCAGTTTTGACCAAGTCCAAACGATGTGAGAGACCATCCCACAGATCGCTGGGTCCTCTTTGATAGAATAAGGACAAAAGCGAACAACAATGATTTGCCCGGCCGACATTTTGCAGCGGGAAGAAAGGGGCTGGCAATCAATATAGCACATTGCCTGCCAATGGGGCTAATGCCCTGGACCGACACCTGCAACGGATTGCCGTTGATGTTCACACGGGATACGGCAGGCAACAGGGTGCTTGAATGTCCCAAAACGACAACGAATGCCAACGTCTCCAGTTGTGTTGGGTCCGCCATTGGCGATGGCCTCCAACAGGGGCCAGCAAAGCAAAATGGTCTTGTTGCCAATCTTACGCTCGGTCAGCAGCTCAGTGGCCAGGCTTTTGGACTGCTCCATACCGGCAAGAAATCCCTGAGACGTTCGATGCATCGACCTGATTGTCGAGTGTTGATTTCAACAGATCGTGCAATCCTTCATAGGGCACGCTGAGAGATTACGCCGCGCAGCACGCAATGTTCGCATAGCTCTCAGCAAAAATGAGGCTTGCAGTTGCGACTGAAGGGAAGACGAACAAAAAATGAGTCACCAATGAGCATGCACTGGTCGGGACGGTTCGGGGGTGCAGCAAACGCATTGTTTGACAGCCCGCCCAAATTCGCAAACAAGCTCTTATCTGATTGGAGCGAGTTGCAGTGGTGAGCGAGCGCAAATCTGATAAGTTTCGCCGTCTCCCGCATGCACTTCAATCTCCGCGCAATTTTGTTCGCGTGCGAGCACATCCTCCATACACATTGGACCGCAGATTGCCAAGTGTGTGCCGTACACTGCGAGGCGCTATGTAGCCGTTCAGGCAGTTTCGCTCTTCCGTGACAAAATCGGTCCGTGAAAAGCATTTACCACTGGGCTTAAAAAATGGTGCTCATTCGATGTATGCCATCTGCCATCGATGCCATGCTTGCAGAATTGCGTAAGTGTTCACTTCACAGCAAAAGCTGCACATTGCGATGCAGCTCAGTGTCGCTAAGCAGCAACTCAGAGGTCGGCTCGCCTACAGACACTCATGCCGAGGTATCGCTGTTGTGGGAAGGAGCCAATTGAACTGTGCTCGTGCGACGGGACCGGACAATGTGTGCCTCGGAACAAGTTGCTGCATTCGGATTATGCCTCCGCAGCCCCGTTTTCGTTTCACGGGGAGATTTATCACACGATGCATGAGCTCTTGCAGCCGCATCACCTCCGCCTGCTCGGTTACAACTGTCCGTAGGCTCGAAGCGGGGTGCAGCGTGGCTCTCTTTGTCCGGCGGCCACTCGTGGCTCTGGTCTCCGATGCGCATGCTGAGTGAGACTGGTTCTCGCCCCGTCACAGACAGGACACCCTTGAACCAATCAGCTGTGTTGTCGAGGTTCCTATTTCTCGACTACCTTTCCCCCTTTGTTTTGATACACATTTGAGTCTCGGGCAGTAGTACAAGGGCAAGTATCGTTCTTATTGCCGTCAGCCTCTTTCGTGACCCGAAGTGAATCTTCCTTTCAGAGACTCGATCCGTCTCTTCCCGTTCAGCTCGTCTGCTGTCCGACTGCTAGCAGGAAGCCTACTGGAGCAAAACAGACCTTCAAGCAAGTGTCGTTACAGGACATCTGCGCAAGCCGTCCCAGGGACTTGAAGAGTCTTGCGTGGGAACCTTACACGAATCTTCGCAATCCTGCAGAGACCTCTATAAAAGACGTATGTTTCCAGCCTGGTCTCAAAGTCAAGAGTTCCCACTTTTCCCTCAGTCCGAATCTTTGCATCCTCGCCTTCATCTCTGATTGTACAAGCCAGAGACGAAGTAGCCTGACTTACCTTCTCCGTTGATTGCCCTAGCCCGAACTGCTATTGCTGACTAGGAGGCCTGACTCAGTCACAATGATCCCAAATCCCTGGACGATGAGTCCCGAAGCATTGGAGTACATCGACACGCTTCCTCCCGATGAACAAGGACCTTCACTCGTGGCATATCAAAGCTACTACTACAACTCCATGAAGGTGCCTTGCCTTGCAGCGTGAGTTCAGCAGTCCGCATCAGCTTTTGGGGCTCGTCCACGAGGAGCCCGTGTGGTGGCGGCGCGGCACCGACCTTAATCACCGCTTCATAGCGTTGTCATCCTGGCTTACTGACTTGACGATTCGCACCTTTCCCCCTTCTTTCAGGTTTGCCATGTACGGTCTTTTTGTGGTTTTAATCTTGGCAGCTGCCTTCAACAATTTACTGGCGTGGGCTGCACAATCGCTGCACAATCACCTCAAGCATAAACTTCGACTCTTCCGAGCATACCTCTGGGAGCATCCTCTGCTCAGCCGCAAACATGCCACCGTCGTTACTCTGCCTGGTCTCCGCTGGCTCACGCTTCACCTTCCACTGCGAGGCGAAGGGATGGTCATCTCGGGTCTTTTCTTCGTCAACTTTCTACCGCTCGTCGCATTCTACAAGCTGCTGGAGCCTATTGCAGGCTCGACGTCGATCGACAGCAAGTCGGCACAGATCTGTCGTGCGTTGGCAGATCGCACTGGTGTTCTGGGAGCCGCTCAGCTCCCCTTGCTTGTCCTCATGGCCAGTAAGCGCACACCTCTGGCTATCGTCTCTGGTCTCGGACAAAATAGCTTGATGCTTTATCATCGCTGGATCGCTCGATGCTTTTGGGCTCACATCTTCATCCACGCTGTGGCGTACACTGTCGTCTATGCCGCGTATCCGGACGGCGTGAAAGAGATGCTCGCCGAGACTTACATACGGTGGGGCATTGTCGGACTCGCCATGGGCTTCGGCCTGATAATCTTATCTCTTCGAACACTCCGCGAACGGCACTATGAGGTAAGTGCATGGATCTGTTTACGGTAGCCCGCTCAGCGGACACAAGCTGCGAAAGCGCGATGACGCTCGATGCTGAACCCTCTGCTTGCTCACGACACTGTTGTGGAAAACATTCGCTCAGGTGTTCGTCATGCTGCACATCCTTATGGCAGTCTTTGCAATCCTCGGTACCTACTTACACATCGCTTTGATAGACTATGGTCCGGTAAGTCTAGTCATACAATCGATGAAGCTGTCCATCTCCTCGACAAGGCGTTCCAACGACTCGAGAGGCAGTAGACAAGGCCAAAGAAACTCGGTTGGAAAGCAACGGCAGTTGACTAATACTTGGTTTACACTCACTTGCTTTCATACTCCGGCCGGGTCGAATGGACGCAGTATGGCGCGTTCAAAGTGATGACCGAGCTTGCTGCCGCGTTCTGGGCCTTCGACCGTGTCATTCGGTGGGCAGCACGCACATATCTTTCCTTCTCGTTCAGGTCGCGATCGAATGCCTCATCAAGGAGCTGTGCTGCTCTGATCGAATGTGCTTCCGCTCAGCTTCAAGCGTACGGCGTCGACGCGGACTACACCAGGCTTCGCATCTCGGTTCCGGCGAGTAAGCTTCGCTTTGCCGACCAGCCGCCAACTCTGTTTCGAGGCGTTGCAGCGGGGGACGATGTCAGAATCACGATTCCACGCTTGCAGTGGGTGGGCGAGCATCCCTTCACTGTTTTCGCGACCGGCATTTCGAAAGAAGATCCGTCTCGAGGCAACATTGACCTTCTGATCAAGACTGAAGGAGGACTTACGCGCAAGCTCGCTCACCACGCGGTCAAATCGAACAAGACGAACGACGTGGACAAGGACATCGAAAAGATCGACGCATTCGCCGATCAGCCCAGCATTGCCATTCTGATCGAAGGGCCCTTTGGAACGGCGCCAGAGATCGGCGAGTCTACCACGGAGCTCGTATTGGTGGCGGGAGGAATCGGTATCACTTTTTGCTGGCCGCTCTTCGTCGCAGCATTCACTTCTTGCCTGAGCGCCGTTGACAAATCAAGTCTGAACTCGTGCAAGCTGGTCTGGATCGTTCGACACGAGAGTAAGTCGTAAGCTACATTCATTCTTGACTCACCGTGAATTGTTCGCTGACACAAACTGTCCTCGACATTGCTGCTTCACTGGAGTCCAGGCACGCTCACATTGCTTGCTGAGGCATTTGATGACCTTGTACAACAGGCACAGGACGAGCAACGTTTGAAAGGCTGCCGGTTTAGCATGGACGTCTTCGTCACCTCGGCCACCACGGCGGCCCTGCCTGATCCGGTCGCACTGGGCTTGATAAAAAAGGAAGAGTCCAGCACCGCTCAAGATGGAGAAATCTCGACCCCTCGATCCGAATTCGAGCTGACCGACAAGGTCGCTGTGCTTCCAGTCTTGTCGCACGTCGCAGACGAGATCGACGACAACAAAGGACAGGAGAAGCTGTTCCGAGGCGGCGTCGAGGGCGATTTGGTGAAGGTGTTCCGATTTCACGGGCGACCTCGTTCGTTGTCGTCGTCTCTGTTTGGACACCTGGACGAGAGGCTGCTGGCGCGCAAGCACGATCGAACGTTGAAGGTAGCCTTCTGCGGGCCATCCAGTTTGTGTGACGACGTCAGGTACGAAACTATTGGCCTGCTCAAGAGGGGAGTCAACGTCGAGCTGGTGGAAGAATGCTTTACTTGGTAAGCTGTGCCGCTGTTCGCTCCGAGAGGACGTTTCCGAAGCGCGAGTTGAAGCCGTCAAAGGTTTAGCTGCGTCAGGGAAAAACAAAATTTCAACGCCGTATAATCACGTAATGGAATGTATTTTGAATCATGTGATGGCTGGATCGCTCTCCTGAAGCTTATCGACTGCTTCTTTGCCGTGTGCTACATGCAAGCACCTGTGCTTGAGTTCGGTCAGGGGCGTGCGCCATGCATCCTTGGTGCTTTGTCTCCTACATTTCCTTCTAGCGTTGTTGAATGAGAATGTTTCATGCTGTATCTATTCCAGTCGGTCGCGTTTTGTCAAGAAATCACCGCCTTTAAGTGCAGAAGAGGCTCTTTGGACTTCGCACAACAAGAGTGACGGCCACTAAAGCCACAGATCGTCGGTGCCAAGACCGCGTCGGGTCCACATGCTGGTCGAGTTGAGATCGATCGAGCCACTGTCCACCTCGATGAGCTCCCCCTTCTGTGTCTGTCGAATGGCCCGGTCGATTCCAAGCGACACTTTGATGGCCGGTGGAGTAGGGTTGTATACTTGCAGTTCGGCTTGAGGGTAGTTGATGAGAGCGAGAATGTTGTTTGCAGCCACTTCGGCTTGATCCCAGGCGGTGTGTCCTGCGTTGATGGCGCCAAACGCATCTGCTGCATCACCAATCACAAAGATGCGGTCATTGTTGGACAGTCGGAGCGTGCGATCCACTCTGGCCATGCCGGATTCGGTCAATGACGAAGCGTCCAAGAATCGAGTGTTTGGTGTCTGACCGAGGCAGAATAGCTGAGCGAAGCAAGAAGAATGTTATGGCAGTGTCAACAGCAGAAGCTCTTTCCCTAGATTGGACAAAGCTCTTGATAAAGAATGTCGATACATACCGTCAGATCGCCTTGCAGCTGACGTCCGTCCATCAACCTGAACGAACTCTTGTCGCCGCTTACGGACTTCAAGTCAACTCGACTTCCCAAGACCAGCTCGACACCGAGTTCGATCAGCCTTGCTGCCGCTTTCTCGTGCATCCATGGATCGAATCGAGGCAGCAGCTGTGAGCGCGAATGGGTCAGCGTCACTTTTTTGGAGCTACCGTAGGTCACGGCGATATCCGTTGCGAGCTCTGAATGAAGAAGGAAGGAAACAATTAGGTCTCGTTGTCAGTACCGAACTCACCGGAGCATGACAAGAAACTGGGTGCGAGACCGTGCAGCAGAGAAACTCACGCACTCCGAGGGCTCCGCCTCCAACAATGACGATCGACTTTGCCTGTTGAATGCGATCCTGTGCATCTTTGAGCCACCTGATACCCATCTTCTTGCTTCCGTCATGCCTGCTGACGTGCTCGCTGCTGCTCCAGACGTTGATGGGGTCAGGCAGATGACTGCCGAGAGCGTAGACCAGATAGTCCCACTGCAACCATTGCACGCCGGCACCCTTGTCGTCGATCAGTTCGTACGATACTCGACGGCGATCCTGGTCCAGCTGCAAGATGTTGGCGTGCAGCAAGACGTGCTGAACGTGGTGTGCACCTGCCGGTTTGAACATGTTGGTGTATGGGATGAAGACTTTTTGCTCGTGACCGCGCACGACGCTCATCCTTGGGAAAGCGTACAGATGGTTGGCATGTGTGTTGCGCTCGAGGACGACCACTTGCCAGTCGTCGGGTAGGCTTGCAACTAGCACCTGGATCGCTCGGTGTCCAGCATACGATGCTCCCAGCACCGCGATCCTCCTTGTGGGACCCGAAGGGTGTGTCATATCGATAGTCATGACTGCGAGTAGCGCAAATAAGAAAGCGGCGGGGTAAATAGAGGTGATGTTGAGCGGATAGGTGGGCCAACGGCAAGGCCATACACGAGGATAAGCTAATCACGAAGGGAAGATAATGGAACAAAGGTGGGCGAAGGGGCAAGGTCGCCCAAGAAAGGATGCTCTGTCGAAACAACGCACACGCAGAGTCTCGAACAAGCCCGCTCGCCGCACCCGCCAAGCGAGGACTTTGCTGCGTGTGTGTTCCGGTAACCGCATGGCCTGGAAAGTCTGAGACTCGTGCCCACGGCCTTTGTGAGTGACTTCACCAACGACAGTCCCACAAGCAGAATCGCTTCCGACGGTAGTGCACCACTGCCGCCCAATCACAGAGTGGTTTCGCCTTTCTCTATGCACGCATTTTTGCACGAACCTCGCTAGAAATTATCTGATAAGAGGGAAAACACTGTAATTCGATCTGTTCACAACTGAAGGGCTGAATATGTCAGAGTGGGGGATTTTCTCAATTCTCTTTTCTTTTCAATTTTTTTTCTTCTTTTCCCCTGTTCTCTCGACACCCAGAATCTTCTCATTAGTGGCCAGAGGCACAGACAGCACGGTGCACCGTCTTTGCTGCTCGGCAAAGGGAACAAATCTTCCTGTTTGTCCCGAAGAGCATAGCTCGCGGGAGGGAACCTGCTAGCAAATCAAGCGCAAACACGCCGGGAATCTTCGGTCCGGATAATGGCAAAAAAGACGACGCTGTCGTCGGCGTTCTTAGCTTTCGTACACGAACTGATGCAGGGGGCCAAGATTTGATGTTGTAAAAAGCCAAGAGATCAATCGTTTGTACACGCAGCTTCCTCTGCAGACCTACCAACGAAAGCAAAGCGAATCAAAGCCATCGTCTCTCTGTGTTTAGTCCTGATTTTAGCACTTTCGCCCTCTTCTCTAACTTCTTCAGCTTCGGCAGAGGCGATCACTTGCTGCCCCTAAAGCGAGCAAAGATGCTCTTCTGTTTGTTAATCTTGGCGTTGGGGTTGTTCTCGGGCGACTCGATGACTTGACCGGAATTGTCGGTACCATCCACTGCGTTCTGCGTCTTGCCCAGGTAGTAGTTGGGCATCACCAGACCTGCCGCCAGCGGAATGAACGCGAGCACAAGCGACGTGATAAAGATGGGCGTCATTGTCTTGCTGAAGGCAGCATTGATCTGGTTGCGCAGAGCCGAGTTCCAAGGGTACGCCGTCTTGACCGAAGTCGGGCTTGCGTAGATTTTGGCCTGCTGAGCAGCCGTCAAAGTAGTCTCGGCGAGGTGGTTCGGCAGCGTGCCTGTCCAGATGCCCGCCGCAATGGCGGAGCCGATGGCGCCTCCAAGACGTGTCCACATGCCCAGCTGTGCAATGATCGAGGCGAGATCCTGATGCGGGACCGAGGCTTGCGAGGCAACACGGGTGCCCACCACCGAACAAGCACCGCCGAGCGAGTTGAGAACCTGGGACCAGGCCACCACCATGGTGGTCAGGTTGCCATTTCTTCCGTACAGGTACAAGCCCATGGCGACGATTCGGATCATCAGGCCGCCAATTTGGAGGAACTTGTACCGATGGAAAAAGCGAAGGTACAGACCAGCCAGGAGACCGAAGAGCGACAGCGCACTCGTGGAAAGTGCATTGACGACGTAGCCCCAATTGCTAGTGGAAAGATTGGTTCCGACCAGCACAAAGCTGCCGTAGTAGGTCGATCGAATGTTGCCGCCCATGAAGTAAAAGATGTCGATGGTAACAGCAAGCAGGAAGGTCCGGTTGTACCACACTCGCTTGTTCATCACCGGGTGCGACGAGTAGAGCATCTCCCAGGCAATGAACATGCCAAGGATGACACCGCCGCAGACAAACATGGCGATGATCGATGGGTTGCGCCACTGCTTATCGGCATCCTTGTAGATGCTGAATGGGACAAGGATCAAAGCGAACGACAGTGCCAGAAGGAAAAGGCCGACCAAGTCCATCTCCTTGCAAAGCTGGACCAAGTTGGCGTATCGCTGCTTGAGCGTGTCTCGGCGCACCTCGAGTGTGCCGTGTTCCTGCGCACGCCGCGTCTCGAGTCGACTTGAAGCAAACGAGAGTTCTCCTGCCTGTCGTGCCCTGCGATCCACGTACATGAGAACAAGGATGATAGGAGCAACGCAGACGGGTGCCATGATCGCAAACATGCCGTAGCCCCATCGCCAGCCTTCGGGACGATCAGGTGTGTTGAGACGTGCTTGGATCAAGTTGCCCACCCAGGGTAGCAGGATGTAAGGCGACGAAGTCAAGGCTGTGGCAACACCTCGCCATTCAAGTGGGCTCAAATCCGCAACGACAATGTCGGTCACCAGATCGAAACCCGCTTGGCCAACTTCGGTGATGATCCTTCCAACGGCAAAAGCGCCAGGTGTCTGGGCCGATGCCACCACAACAAAGCCGACCGTGTAAAAGACGGCCACCAACAGGTAAGCAGTCTGTCGCGAAAAAACGTCGCAAATCTTGGCCAGGAACGGCTTGGAGACCGCGTCTGGTTGAATCACGAGGTAGCAGAGGAGACCACGTCAATACACAATGCCATTCAAGCGTAAGAGCGAAAAAGATGGAGAGAAACTTACTGATGATGGCCTCGACTGTAGCAATGACACCAAACAGCTTGGCGTGATTTCCGAGCGTTCTGGTTGCGTACAACTGATAGGCAGCCGTAGTAGACTGATCCAGAGAGAAGCAGATGGCCACCGCGGCCAGACTGGCGTAGACCAACCAGACCACCGGGTGGTTTCGTGGAAAGACCCGATAAAGCGCTTCGATACGGCTCACGCCTGGCTGCTGACCTTCATGTGCGCTCGACGCATCGGCATCGCGAACAGCGCTCACCTTATGCTTGTTACTGTGCACTGATGTGGTTCGGTCAGCAGGAACATCAGGGTCTTTGAAGGGCGAGGCGTCGCTTGAGGAAGAAGCACGCGGCTCCAGATCATCCTGGTGCTTGGTCGACATGGTTGTTGACAGGGGCAAAGTCTGCAACTGGGATAGCGTCGACAGCCTGAACGGAAGGGGATGGTCTGCTTTGTGATGGAGGACAATTCGTGCTGGGAAATGAAGGATTGATGTCCTTATGTATTCACTTCTTGTTTCAGCGAGCGAGCAGCTCGGGTATTCTGCAGGTACTCAACTCGGACCGCCTTGTACCCCTGCTCTGCGAGCGGTGGCAAACGAACGGAGCGGCTATGGTAAAGAGAGCTCGGCAGTACCTTGCAGCAGGCAAGAATCTTCCCAGCCTGGCTCGTCGCCTACTTCGAGATTAGAAACTTGTCAAACTCGTTGGCACAGTGGCGCAGGTACAAGTCACTCAACCGCGAGGTTGCAGCTCAGGAGTTTCGTCTTGTCAAATGTTGAGCGAGGGAAGCTTCGAACGAAAAATAAGGGCAAGAACATTGCTTCAGCCCGAAATTTGGCATAACAAACTCGGAAATTTTTTCTTTAAGCTAGTCGCAACAGTCTGGTCACAGTAAGACGGCTAGTTGAGTTGCTTAAGCCGGCTCGGTTGTCGGGCGGAGAGACTGTGAGGTGGACAAAGAATCAGACATTAGCATGTGCTTGCAGAATGGTGATTGGCCGCTCGAAGATTTGCATGATTGAAACAGTGCAGCTGAATCCTGTTCGGCTCGTTGACGACCGACAGCAACGAGAAGGTAGTTCCGTGATCTTCCGAGCTTCAGAAGCGGTCGTTGTGCACTGTCGCCGGTGTGGTACGTGCGTGCTCGCTTCAAGATGAAGCCCGCATGGCGAGTCTCTTTGGGTCTCGAGGGGCGGCAATTTGCTCCAACGAATCATTATCTGATAAAACGACACAAAGCGTGGACTCAAAGCATAAGCGAGGATTAAGCGCATGCCAGGGCAGCGAGCCTGCAGCTTTCATTGAAGACGTCGGCTAGACACTTTGTCGCCAAACGAGTCTCTGTTTTGGGGTGCACCACGATGCAATTATTATTATTTAAATAAAAAGAAAAAGAAAAAAGGGGAAATAAGTCGATCTGGGTCACCCAGGTTTCGGTTCAGGCTTTCTCGTTCCATACGGCTCCCCAATGGTCAAGTCGTACAGGAGGGTTTCTCATGTGCTTTTGTGATGCAAATGCATTCAGAGAGGCTTGTCTCATCCCACGAGCATACAACGTTAGCCTGCCCGCCGCTTGCGTACTGGCAATCAAGGAGCGAAATGTGTCGTTTGCGAGGTGCCAACTATTTCTTGGCAAGAAGTGTGTTCCTCTTGGACCAATCAGATGTCGTCGAGCGAGGACATAGGAGGTAGGCTCGGTTCGCCTCGGGTTCGATCTGATAAGCGATCTCTTCAATGTTGTTGCCCAGAATTGCCGAGGTTCGAAGGGGCGAAACGCGGCTTGAGTTGCTGAAAGACACTTCGGCCGAAGAAGTGCACAGCAGGACTTACAGGACTCGCTGCGGCAGGTTTTATCGGTTTTCTGGTCGATAGAGAAGCTAAATTCGCACGTATGTTTCATTCATTCGAGTTCCCGCACACAAGGAGCGATCATCTGCGCTCACGATGGATGTTTTGAGATGGCTTGAAAGAACGATGTCGAGGTAGTCCCTCCTTCTCCTCCCAAGTTGCAGTATATGGCTTGCACCCACCAGCGACTACTGCCACTTTCCATCCCGATATTGAATCTTGGCACTGTTGCAAAGACTTCTGAATGAGCCCTTTTCGTTCGCATACAGCTCCTCGGGGCGGCCAATCTCTACAATCCTGCCCTTGTCCAGCACACACACGCGATCGGAATGCAGAATGGTCTGGATCCTGTGCGCCACCGTAAGAGTAGTGATCGATTCGAATTGGGTCTTGAGCACCTCTTGGATCTGCACGTCGGTTTGTTGATCGATGCTCGCCGTAGCTTCGTCGAGGATCACGATCCTGGTCTTGCGAACCAAGGCACGGGCGAGGGAAATGAGCGAGCGCTGACCGGCTGACAGATTACCGCCTTCTTCGGTGATCATCGTGTCAAGAGAGAGGTCCGTGAGGCTGGTTCGTTCGAGGGCGTCATTGAGCGTTGCATCGTCATAGTGGTGCAATGGATCAAGGTTGTACCGCAGCGTGCCGCTGTAGATCACCGCGTCCTGCGGGATGAGCGAGATCGAACTGCGCAATCGGTGCAGGCCCATGGTCGCTATGTCGACACCGTCAATCGTGATGCTGCCTGCACTCAACTCGAGTGTTCGCAGCAACGTGGTCACCAATGTGCTCTTTCCTGCACCAGTGCGACCGCAGAAGGCCATATTCTCGCCTGCCTTGATGTGCAGATTCAAATTGTCCAGCACGTTGCGTTCGGAAGAGGCGTATCTGGCCTGCACGCCGTCAAACCGAATCTCGCCTCGTTCAGGCCAGTCTCCTTCCACAAGCTTGTCGTCGACGTGGGCAACGTGATAAGGCTTTTCCTGTTCGATCTCGTTGGCGTAGTGTAGCACACGCTCGACCGCGCTCATATTGTTTTCGAGCTCGGCAGCATGTCGAATCATCCACCCAAAGATGCTCTGTGCGGTGAGGATGTAGGACAGTGCTACACCCGTTTCGCCGGGGCTGATGTCGAAGCGGCTGGCTACGACCAGCACAGCTACGGATAAGATGAGAAGCGAGCCGAGGAAATCCAGTCGAACAGAGAGCCAGCGTTGACAGGTTTGCGCGAGCCAGTAGGCGCGATTCTGCTTGTCGATGCGACGGCAGTTTTCAGCGACAAAGGCATCCACGTGTCCGAATGCGCGAATGGTGACAAGACCGTGCAGAGACTCGCTAAAGTGTTCGTGCATGTTGGAACGCAATCCAGCGTCGATGCGACGCAGCTCGCGCGCTGTGGAACGGTAGTAAGCAGCGATCCAAAAGTACAGCACCAGAATCACCGCTACGGGGATCAAGAAGTACGGCGTCAAGATTGCGATCAAGACGATCGAGCCCACCACTTGAACGACGGTACCGATGAGCGTGCGCATCGCTTCGCCGATAATGTTATCGAGCGTGTCCATATCCTTGCTGAAACGATGCGTGATTCGGCCTTGCGGGGTGGTGTCGAAGAAGGAGAAGGGTGCATGGAGCACGCGTTGCAGCGCACGGTGGTGCAGAGCGGTGGCGGATCTGATGGTGAAAGTCGAAAAGATGACGCCCATGCTGAGCAGCCCCAGCGATTGCGTGATACCAAACACTGCGTAGACTCCCATGTACACGCCTTGGCTTTGAGAGAATGTGTGACTTTGCCACCACAGCAGCCATACGGGCGACATGATCGTCGAACCTTGAAAAATCAACACAGCAACGATAAACAGCGGAAGAAGGATGGACAGCGGCGCAGCGTTGAGGTAGGAGAGATAGGTCGAGCGCGAGACGGAGCCACTGAAACGTTCCTCGGCCTGCATCAGGGCTTTGCCGCTTGGTGTAGCCGTTGCGGACGTGATCTTCTCCACGGAAAGTGCTTTGGTTTCGCCTTGGATTGACGCAGCAGTCTCGGCGCTTTCGGACGTATCGCTTTCCTTGTCAGCGATAGAGTCCGATGTCTCTTCCGTCACGCTTGCATTGTCGTTGTCCTCGTGGTCCTTGGTGTGCGTCATCAGAAGCTCGGCGACACGCTGCTTTGAGTCAACGAGCTGTCCGTACGTGCCTTGTTCTGCAATCCGTCCACCATCCATGAACACGATCCAATCGCACGACTTGAGCACATTGAGCGAGTGCGTCACCAGGATGCGCGTCTTTCCTTGCATCGCTTCTCCCGCGATGACGTTGGCAAAAATTTCCCTACCCACCCTTGCATCAAGAGCGGAAAGACAGTCGTCGAGCAGGACGATCTCGCTATTATGGTACAAGGCTCGCGCGATATTGATCCTCTGCTTCTGACCTCCAGACAGCGATACACCTTTTTCGCCAACGATGGTTTGATCTCCTTCAGGTAACGTGGCTAGATCTGGAAGCAAACAGCACTTTTCGAGGACGCACCGGTAGCGTTGAGGGTCAAAGACGTTGCCAAAGACAATGTTGATGCGGATCGTGGTGCTCTGTATCCAGGCGGTCTGTGCGCAGACGGCAGTGGAGGATGAGAGGGTGACTGTTCCGGACGTCTGACGCATTTCGCCGGCTAGAGCAGATATCAGCGAGCTCTTACCGCTTCCGACGCCACCAACGATGGCGCAAAGGGCTCCACGTGGGACCGTCAGATTGATCTCTGTAAGGGTGGCAACATTCTCTGTTGCGGTCTCGGCGGATTGAGCGGTTTCCCAGGTGAACTTCGCATCTTGCATCTGAATCGCTTGCGGGGCATTGGGATCCCGGATGATCTGATCACGTTGAATCTCGGCGTCGAACACCTTTTCGATTCGATCAGCAGCATTCTTGGCATCGACAACGGCATTCCATGCGATCGGCAAGAATTGAAGAGGAGTGCGAAGCAGAGTAAAGAACGACAGCGAAGAGAACAGGATCGCTGCATCCAGCTCATTGCCCACAAGCGCGTACGTGATGAAGCTGAGCACGGTCGCAATCGTTGGCGTTGCAAAGGCAAGCGCAAGGTTGAGGGAGCGGAGGTAGAGGCGGACGCGATGAAACGACATTTCCTTTGCGCGCAACTCGGCGATGCGATCCGAATAGGGCTGCTCCCAAGCAAACTGCTTGACGACACGGATGCCGCCCACTACCTCGTTGACTGCCTTGTTGCGCTTATCCGTCCACTCCATGCTCTTCTTACGCAGTGCGAAAAGTCGCTTGGTGATGGCCGTCTGAACTGGACTCATGAGCACGAGCACTGCAATACCTGGTAGCGCACTGTACTTCAAGCTCCAGATGAGGAGCGCCACACAGATGACGATCTGAATTGCGCTTGTCCACGCCATGTGGAAGAACTGACCTGCGTAGTCGATGCGCGTCGCATCGGCACTGATGAGCGTTACCAGCTTGCTGACCCCTAGACCGCCAGCGGTCCTGGCTCTGGTCGAGAGGTTCATTCCACGTTGGAAGATGGCTTGAATGAGTGCCCCACGAAGAATGATACCAGTGCCGAATCCGCGATTGAAGGCATGTACGTTGAGGAAGACGCACAGCGCTTGGACGAGGAAAAGACCGATCGCTAGTCCGACGCCTCGTCCAAGGTGCGGTGCTCCTTCGCGGTTTTCACGCATATTGTACGACTTGCGACCAAAGGTGATGAGCGCTCGAAGGAGAAGCGGGCTCGTGATGGTTCCCACATCGGCGAGAAGCTTGAGCAGGCCACCGATCCAAAAATAGCGAAAGACAACATCGTTCATTGCCCACATCAATGGTGGAATCTTGGCCGGCTTGTCTGCCTTATCGGGATTTGCCTGTATCCAATCTTGACGGCGCTTTTGCCTCTTCTCGAGGGCATCCAAAAGCTGAGCACCGAGCTTGTCTGAGCATCGATCAGGACGAAGAAGGTACAGATCGTCTTTTTCCATGGGACGTGTGTAGCCGGCGGTGAGGATCGGGTCAACCCAAGCAAACCAGCAGCGCGAAAACCAACTTGCGGTCGCCTCTGGTGTCATCTTGGCGTTGGGGTGTTCAGGATCCAAGGCCGAGATGACCGGACGTACACGAGTGCTTAGGAAGGGCACTTTTTTCCACCATGCTCGCGGCTCCCATGGTTGAACCGTCAGCTGTAGCTCTTGAGCTTTCTCTGGATCGCTGGTTGCTTGCATGGCAAGTGGTGACGGCAGCGCTTGTTTTTCGTTGGTGGCCGTCATGGTGTCAACAGCTACGATACGGCGATCGAGCTAGCTCGTGACGGTTCGTGAGCAAGTCACAACCCAGCGTCTTGACGAACGACGAACCTGAAGTGTGTTGTCGAAAGAAAAATGGGCCTTGACTGAGAGACGAGTCAGGAATCGGCCGTGTGGAGCAGTAGGCTGGTGAGACGTTTCCGCACTTCCTTGTGTCTTCGCAAAGGCCGGGACAGGTTCTAACTCAAGAAGAGACCGCAAAGAGCCTGGATCAAGGTAGATTCGTTTCGAAGAAGCACAGAAAGTGGCGCATGTTGTCTTTCAACCGAGCAGGCACGGAAAAATGCACTCAGAACAAAGTTCGGTCTACGAGCTGCCGAGCTGCAAGTGAGATATTTGATCGTGTCTATTCACTCTCGTTTTCTGTGCGAGGAGCATTTCCAAGGATGAGTCAACGAAGCTGTCGTTTGTTCTCTCGTCGACACTCTGCATTCACTCCTTCCCATTCCTCCTTCAGCGTGGGCAATTGTCATTTGTTCGAAAAAAAGGAAAAAGAACCCCGAAAAAGAAGAAAGCATCACTTTGTTCGATGCGATGGACCCGGAAAAGCGAATTGTCTCGGCTAAGCGCCAAAGGATGCTGGAAGCTGCATTAGCGCGTTTGCCAAGAAGATGTCACGCGGTTAGGTTTATCTGATTGAGTTAATCAGATAGTGTCCCCTCACGTGCTGAGGTGCCAGGCAGCGGCAGACGTTATCTGATTGGTACATTGACGCTCCGATCTGTCCCGTTGCTGTGGCTGTTGTATTCCTCACCATGCGGTCACCTTTTCCATTGCCCACTTGGCCCGCTTGCGACTGTTCTCTTCTCTTGCGCGGTCCGTGTTCCGGACATTATTTGGCACTCCGCTCGCACGGGTGCTACAAGTGGTCCACTTGATTTAGCCGACTAGCTCGCAAAAGTCTAGCGACGCATGCTGGAGCCAAACTCGTAGGCTTATTGGTTGTTAGCAGAACGGACAATCTGCCAACGCAACACAGACCGCTGCAAGACGAGGCTGGTACTTTTCGAGTTGTGACTTTGTGCGGATTGGCGTCAAGAATATGCCAATTCATTTTACTCGAAAGCCCGGCCAAAATAATTCACCGATTAATTGTGCTCACAAAAAGCCGTAAATTTATGCAGTGCCATGAAGCTTCGAACAGTGTGGATCGTCCGCAGTTCAAGAGACAGACATTGCACACAAGGGAATGGCTTTCAAAACCAAGTGCGTGCTCTGCCTTGAGAATCAGTGGCTTCTAAGCTTGCAAATGGTAGAAAAAGCTAGTCTTGTACTACTTCTGCTCCACCATGCGAAAGGACAACACCTCTGTCCAGCTTTGCATTACGATGACAGCAGCAACCACTTTCAACGCCAGTCCTGCGCCCCGTCAGCCAGGCCTGCGTGCTACCTTCACCCCTCGCAAAGAGGATAAGGTCTTTCTCGCACGCGGCGAACATACCTTTACCCTTCCTGGACGCAAAACACGTGCCAAGGTGCAAGTGGATGTCGATGCCGGATCGGACGAAGATGCCCTCGATGCAGCGGAGACCAGCATTGTCATTTCTCTGGGGCAGGATGGCGAAGCCCACTTTACCCCGGTGGCTCGCTGGGTCAAGCTTGATCGTCTTGCCAAGACCAGCTTGCACGGCGTGGTCAATGAAGATCGAGCAGCCTATCAGCAAACTTGGTCTTTCGAGCTGTTGGATGGGAGTGTAGAGCCGCAGAGAGCCCTTTGGGCTGCCATCTATTCCTGTGAGTGACGGAGCGCGTAAATGTCGAGTATCTGCGTTCGCACACTGACCCTGACCTGACTTCTTTTCTTCCAGTCTGGATTCGCCACAAGAGGTCTGACCGCCTTGCCGTCCTGCTTCAAGGTGCTCGAGCGATGGAGCAACGCCCACATGTGATCCGGGTCGGTCTTGGCTTTGCATCGCCTACCGAGACTGACCTGATCCTTCTCGACCGCAACGCTTTCTGGCAAGCAGCCGGGGCGCCTTGCGACCTTCACTGGATCCAGTCACCCGTTCCTTCCAGTGGCGTATTTCCCCACGTTTTGGCTTTTACGCAGAGCACTTCTCCTCCCGTCCTTGCAACTCATCCGCTGCGACCACCCAAGCCAGCCCCAGGCTCAGTAGTATACTCTCGCTACGTCTTTTCTTGCTCGCAGCATCTGGAATTGGTGCATATTGATGCGTCCGACCCACAACATTTCGAAGCTTACTGCCGATGGCAGAATAGCGACCGAGTCAACCACGGCTGGCGGGAGAAGGGTCCTCAAGAAAAACACCTCAGGTACATCCAGGAAAAGAACGCAGATCCACACGCCATGGGTGTCTTGGTGCTATGGGACGGTGTTCCCGCTGGCTACGGTGAGATGGTGTGGAGCAAAGAGGATGGAATGTCTGCTTTCGTTGGCGGTCTGGGCGACTACGATCAGGGCACGCATCTTCTGATTGGAGAAGAACAGTTCCGTGGCAAGCATCGATTCACGGCTTGCATGGTGTCGCTCAAGCACGCCTGCTTCCTTCGCGATCCCCGTACCGACGTGGTAGTTGGAGAGCCCAGATATGACCTCGACATTATTCCTCTGCTCGCCACCTTCTTGCCGCAGGAGTTCCGAAAGGAAGTCGAGCTTCCGCACAAGAGAGCCGTTTTCGTAAGTTCCCAACTCATCTGGTTGCTGCGCGAGAGACACTCGAATAGATCCTGACCCTTTGCACCACCTTCTCACCTTCTGACAGTTTGTACTGCGCCGTGACCGCTTCCTGGAGGAAGGTCTTCTCGAGTGAAAACCTGGCCGCTTTTCTTCATTTACTTCAATTTGTGACATCGTTCCAAATCATCTGTATTCAACGGCCGTTGTGGAAACATTGCGCTCACCATCAGACACAAATGGGGCCAAATTCGAAACACTCGACCATTCAGACATTGTCATTCGTGTCGCGATTGCAATCTCAACTACGCACATGTCGTCATTGCCACTCTTGCGACAGATGGAAAGCTACTTGCCAATGAACACAGGTTTTCGTTTCTGCTGGAAAGCATCGAGCGCCTCCCTGCGGTCCTCGGTTTCGAGCAGCGGTTGATAGCATGCCCATTCCAGGTCGAGTCCGCGGGCAAGCTCTACGTTGGTGCCCATGCTGATGGCCATCTTTGCAGCTCGAAGCGCCAGAGGCGCCGATGGGATCATCTTTTGCGCTAGCTGTTGGCACAACTCGAGGCAAGACGAGCCTGGAGAGACGTAGTCGACAAGGCCCAGCTGTTTGGCTTGCTGTGCATTGAGATTGATACCGGTGTAGATCAGCTCCTTTGCCCGTTGCACGCCGATGATGCGAGGAGCTCGCTGTGTTCCACCAGCGCCAGGAATGATGCCTAGCTTGACCTCTGGGAAGCCGATCCTATCCACCGATTCAGCTGTTGAAGATCGACAAACAGAAAGATGCCATCAAAGTGTCAGCGTACATTCGAGCACCGCAGATTCCCCTTCCAGCCTCAGACTCACCGGCAATGCGAAAGTCGCAGGCCAAAGCTAGCTCCAGGCCACCACCAAGAGCCGGCCCATCTATCGCTGCAAGGGTCGGGATCGGTAGCTTTTCCACTTGATCCAGCATCTGCCTCAGATTGTGAAGAAACTCGACGACTTCGAGTTCCGACATCTGCCCGCGTTCCTTCAGGTCGGCTCCGGCACAGAAGGCTGGGCCGTTGGCACGCAGGATGAGAACACGCGGTAGTGCATCAGTCAAACTCGGATTCGAGATCATTTTGCGCAGCTGTCGAAGACATTGTAAAACATCTTGTAGTAGGGCTCGACTGATGGCGTTGCGGGCGTCGGGTCGATTGAGGACGAAGTGATAGACTCCTTCCAGGTCTGCGGACGGATCGGGCGTCAAGTACGCTAGAGACGAGGCTGTCATGGTGTTTGTGATGTTGGAGGATCGCGGTAACAAGCAATCCATCCTGAGGGCCGGATACCGTTATACAGCATTCCTACGCGACCGTCTTGGAAGGCATACCTCAAAACACTGCACAACCACTACTTCAGCCTTGCCTGGCGTACACAAGGTTGGTGAATCAGTTAGGGGAGACACGATTACTGCAGAGTGTTAAACGAAAGTTTCAACTGCTGGCATGAGCGAGCCGCTCGGGCGCGAGAGCTGCGTGACCGACAAGCTGGGATGACCTGATTCTTCTACTTCAACCACAGGAAGAACGGGTCCGCGTGAAGCAAACCTTATCTGATTCGAGTGCTGATCATAGCTTGCTTCAAAATATCTCTGCGATCCCGGTGCATGACGCTTGACTCGGATGCTATTTGCCGAAAGGACCAAGCGAGCACGCTATGCTGTATCCGAGGACAACAATGTCGAACTTGATGCGAGTCACCGAGTCACGGAAAGATGGGTACAACCGGGCCGTCTTCCGCAGAAACTTCGGTTTTGACGGCGTCTGCCAACTTTTTGTAGTCTGAAAGGCGACTGGGTCGGCGGGCACAGCGGTTTCACTCTACATTCCGGGAGAGGAAGGAGAACCACCGGACTCCATATCGATCGAGAATGATCCTCTGCATAGCCACGCAGTTCTCGTCTACTGTAGTAGCTCGCCCTGACTGTATGGTTGGTTTCCGTGGCAACCCGAGGTGGTGCATGTCTGAATGCTTGCAGTAAATTGGCTCCAGCTTCAACTGCTTTTCGCCGTGACGAAGAGCCGAGTGTTCAACGGCGTCGTGCATCTGTGTCGAGACGCTACGTTTGGCGATTTCGCGTAGGCTGCAAGTCCGACCCAGAAATCATTCTTCAACCCAAAAAATCATTCCGAACAAAAAAAGAAAAAAATGTACAAAATAACACTTCGATTTTTTTTTCTTTTTGGCCTTAGCGTGGGGGACAAAGCGACGACACAAATTCGTGGACCGTCACGCAATCCGATTGGCACATGTGGAACGCTCGCTTAAGCCTGCAACTACGTGTGGCTTTTCGCTTGGCGCAGCCAGAGGTTGAGCCGAAAGTTCGGGCCGTGCTATCAGATCTTGTACACGGGCACGGATGTGGTCCAAGATGACTCGGCGAAGCACACGCAAGCTCATCTACCGAGGTTATCATCACCGCAAGAACGAGCTGAGCATACCTAGATGAGGCCCCTTGGACGTCATTTGCTTAAAATATCTTCCGAATCATTCCGGACCAATGAGGCAAAGCGATGACTGGGACACGGCTGTAAGATAGAAATGCAGCCAAAGTGGCCAAAGCCGGCAACCACGGCTGTTCAAGAACATGTGTTAGAGGAGGAAGAAGGGAAGTGAGGGGGCATCGTGGTGTACCGTGCTGAGCTCTTCGAACGCAGCCCTCGATTGAAGTCGGAGAAGGTCTCCACTAGGAATCTTCGTAAAGCCCGCCTTTATCTGATAAAATTTCTGCTCGTAGCTTGACATTGGTAGAGCGCCTAATCAGATAAAGTTCATTTTGGCGCAGGATATCTTCGAATGACTGAACTGCGGTCTCTCCCCCCCAGGAATCTAGCCCACACACCAATATCAAAAGTTCCTTTCGGACGCAGCACCTACACCTCCGCCTACTGCGATCACGATGTCGAGAGCTATGATGACCCTGAGCCGTCTTCCAGCCCTGCATCCTTACTCGAGTATAGCCGCAGGTGGCACTCGGAGTGGGGCCAAGTCGTTCAAGTTCGCTCTTCAAGACGATGCAAAGTCCATCGAGGACATCGAAGATTCTCACGTTCAGCAGAAGACGGTGTCGCGGCTAGTCACATTTGTCGCTCAGTTGACTGGATGCGATGCAGACGAGGTTCTGTTCAAGCTTCAGATCTTCAGAGATGATCTTCGCGTCGCATCAGCCAAAGACGTTCAACAACACGCCTCTCCTTCGTCGCCGGGCATAACGTTTTGCTTCTATCCCTCCACGACAGCGATGGCAGCAGCTGGAACGGACGATCTTGTCGTGACGGTCTCGGACAAGGACGGTATCCAAGTGTTGCTGGACTTTGCTCTTCCTGTAAGCGAAGAAGCTGCTCATGGCATCTGTACCCACTTCGCCAGGCAGGTTCTTTGTTGCAAACTTGTTAAAACCACGGCAGCCCTGTCGATCTTCGATCGCACATTGAAAAGCGAGGCACCACAGCAAGCAAGGCTTCATGATGCGTTCCTCCAACAGGCAAAACAATGTCCGGATCGAATCGCTGTGCAATTCCTCGAAGCGTTGGGCGAAGATGGCACGGCGCGATTCAGTCGTCTCACGTATGCCCAGCTGCATAAGGCGGCCTCTTTGCTGGCAAGCAAAGTACGCTACGCACATGCAAGGAAGGAAAAGCAGCAACACCAACAGGTGATCGTGCCCATGCTTCTGTCTCCTTCCATCGAGCTGTACATCTCTTACATGGCCATCCTGATGGCCGGATTCGCATTTTGTCCGCTGCCTGTCGATGCACCGGATGCGAGATTGACCATGCTGGTTAGCCAGCTGCATCCATCTGTTATTCTCGGCGCTCACAGCTCAGATCCACCTTCTTGGCTGCCTGCATCTGTGCATTGGATCAATGTTACCGAGAACGTTCAAGACGACAGCTGGTCCGTGAACGAGAACGACGTTGTCTTTCAGCAACAGCAAGAGTGCGCGTACGTGCTGTTCACCAGTGGCACAACAGGCAAGCCAAAAGGCGTACAAATCTCTCACCACTCTGCCAGTGTGTCGATTGCTTCGCACGCAGCGCAACTGGACCCATCTCTTCTTCAAGAATCGCCATGTTCATCCCGAACGAGTTTCAAGTGGTTCCAATTCGCATCGACCGTATTCGATCCCTCCGTCATGGAGATATTTGTCACACTCTCGTCGGGTGGAACACTGTGCTCTGCACCACGAGCTCTGACGCTGTCCGATCTGGAAAAGGTAGTGCGTCTGAGCGAGGCCGACATCATGATGGCAACGCCCAGTGTCGCCACGCTACTGCGGCCTGAGCACGTTCCCAGCTTGCGGTTCCTGTGGACGATGGGCGAAAGTCTCAATCCGACCGTCATCCGCAACTTTGCCGACGATCGAGGTCGCACCGTGTTGGCCAACGCATACGGACCTACCGAAGCAAGCGTCAATTGTACGCTGTTGCAACCTTTCCCCGCTGATTTTCGAGGATCCATCATCGGCTTGCCGCTGCCTGCATGCTCGCTAGCTATCGTCTGCGAACGCTACGATCCAGAAAGTCACAGGAACCATCTCGAGGCGGTCGAAAGAGGCATGACGGGCGAGCTGGTCATCGGAGGTCCACATGTAGGCATGGGCTATCTCGACATGCCAAAAGCAACGGCAGATGCCTTCACGACCTTTGCTCCTCTAGGACGCGTTTATCGAACACAAGATCGCGCAAGACTCGTCTGGGACCGTGATGGAAACCCGATGATCGAGATCTTGGGCAGAATGAATGCAGAACAGGTCAAGTTGAGCGGTCGAAGAGTCGAGTTCGGAGAGGTAAGTCAGAATCCGTCGTTGACTTCCTCAGTAATAACAAGGTACACTAACAGCATCTTTTTCGTTGTCTCGATTGAAAAATTGATAGGTCGACTCAGTACTGCAGACGAGTCGCTTGGTCCAAAATGCAGCTTGCGTCGTTTGGCGACCGGCCAAGCAGAACGAACAAGTCAGCGGAAGCGAACGACTTGTCTGCTGCCTCGTACCGTCTTCCGACTGCGTCAAGTACGATGAAGCAGAGGCAGACTGTAGAGCGATTGCGGAAGCCCAGCTGCCACCTCACATGCGACCGTGGAAGTACATACTCCGATCAAGCTTGCCCGTCACCGTTTCAGGAAAAGCAGATCGCAAGCAGCTTTCTCAGCTGCTTTCCGACGTCATGGACGCATCGCACGAGCAAGATCGTGGCTCGGATGTCACCTTCCAAGAAGCGACAGGCTCCGCGGACACGCCTATATCCCAAGCCCTAATCAAAGCTGTCTGTACGGTCTGTCGTTTCGACACAGGCGCTGTCCAGATGAACGTAGATCTCTTTGAGCTCGGGATCGACAGCCTTGCCGCGATGCGTCTTCTTCAGCTACTTCGACAGGATGAGGCTACCGCTTCCGCTGCCGTGCAGCTGAGTGTGGCCCAAGTGCTCAAAGCCGGCTCTTGCGCTCAACTTGTCGACCTCCTATCAAGCAAGGAAGGAGGCGAAAGCGCCCGCCATAACAAGTGCGTCTCCTTCGACGATCAGCAGAAGCACGAATGGAGCCATATAGTAGCATCGTTCCAGCAAAGATGTCGCCATGCTGTGCTTTCAGCTCTGGCTCAAGACGAGCTGTGCGAACGAGTGCAAGCCATCTATCCGACAACAGCCACCCAATCTGGTATGCTGACGAACTTCCTCAGCCGGGCCGACACGCTTGGCTGCCGGCGGCCGTACATCAATCATACCGTCTACCACATGGCCTCGGCGTCACAAGCTCGAGAATTCCACGATGCTTTCCAACGGGCCACTCGCAAGCACGATATCTTCAGAACCGTGTTTGTCCCGATTGACGATGAGCTTTCTCCATTTGCCCAGTGCGTCCTCTCTCCGGGTCTGGACCAAGGCAACGTCAGCGAAACCATCTCAACGGCGACACTGGACAGTGCTTTGGAGAAGCATCTGGGAAGGATAGATGGCAGTATCTCCCTGGACCGTCCTCCCTGGCACCTCGGGCTTTTACTACCGGGCTCGAAGGAGGAAGGAACGGGGGGCGCGGTGGTGTTGAGCATGATGCACGCAATCTTCGACGGAGGCAGTCTGAATCTGATTCAAGAGGAAGCTCTCGCGTTGCTCGACAACGATCCCCTACATGCAGCCTTACCCACCACTTGCACAGAGCTCGAGAGTGCAGTTCGTCATCACTTCACCAGCGATCTCGAGGCGGCGCGTCAATTTTGGCGCCACAAGCTCGATGGCATCAGCAAGACGCAACTGCCCTGCGTCAACGGCTGCAAGGCTACAGTGCAGTCGAGTCTTGTCAACAGCTACGCGGTGGTCGAGTCCCACTCGCGTTCATCTATGGACAAGATTGTTAAACGAGCTGGAAGCCAGGGTACGACCGCCTTGGTTCTCATGCAGACCGCATGGAACCTCCTCCTCGCAGCCTATTCCGAGGATGAAGAGGTCGTCTGCGTCACCAGTGGAAGCGTACACTCTGGTCGACTCGATGACGAAACACGCTATTGCATGGCTCCGACGTTCAACGTCGTACCCTTTGTCACTCGTCTTGGCGTTGACGGAGACGGAGTAAAGAACGTCACCACAGCTGAGCTTGTAGCGGAAGCGACCAAGTCCAGCACGGATGCTTTAGCTCATCTCGAGATACCACTCGGAGCACTTGCTTCTTCCGGAGGCATACCCTTCGATACTCTGTTCGCGGTGCAGCGATTTGCCAATCTTGGACAAGAAAGTTCGGCGACAGCACCGTGGTCATCGATCACTTACCCTGTCATGGCAAACGATTTCGCTGCCATGGTGGAAGTGTGGCCTTCTGCCAAAGCCGAAGGAGAAATGCGGCTGCGTTTGACGTATTCCGAATCCGTATTGGACGCTGCATCAGCTGAGCTGTTGCTTCAGCAGTACGATGATCTCTTGCACCGCCTTATGTTCGAGCCGAAGACCACGCCCATAAAGAGGATAGTCAACGGTGCAGGCTTGCGCACCTCTGCACTTTCGATCTTTGAAAATCTAGAAAGCAAAGAGGAGGGCGAAAGAGGACTCCTGCTTCACTCTCAATTTGAGAGTAGGGCTGCTGCACAGCCTGAAGACGTTGCGGTCGAGTTCTTCGCCGCCTTGCCTTCTCGCGTAAGCGAATCCGTCGATGTGCAGCGCTGGACGTACGGCGAGCTCAACGCACGTGCAAACCGTCTGGCTCGGTACATATTGTCGTTGACGGGACAGACGTCTCTTCGAGACCAGCCGATTCCTATCTGCATGGAGCGTTGCATTGAGCTGTACGTTGCTGTGCTTGCCATTCTGAAGGCTGGTGGAGCCTGGTGCCCGATTGACGTCCAGTCTCCGCGAGCGAGACAGCTGGAGCTCATGGCAAGAACGAAAAGCAACATCGTGTTGGTGACAGCTGCCACTTCGGCAAGCCTTGGTATCGTGCAAGTCGAAGGACAGCGCAAGTTAACTCACCTAGACGCTTGTGATGCGAGCACGTATGATCATTTCTTCGCGGCTGATCTCGAGGCGACCGCCGGGTCGACTACATTGGCCTACTTGATCTGGACGAGCGGGACAACAGGTGCACCCAAGGGTGTAATGATCGAGCATCAATCTGCTGTGACAAGCATGAATGCATTGCAACACCACGTACCTCCACCGCATCAAGGTCGTCCGCCACGGTGCCTTCAGTTCTCTGCCTACACATTCGATGTGTTCGTCCAGGATCTCTTTTGGACGTGGGGTCTGGGTGGGACAGTGATCGCAACAACACGCGAGATCGTACTAGGATCGACAGCCGAGCTCGCTACAGCTTCCCACGCCGACCATGCGCACCTCACACCTGCCTTTGCAGCTGGTCTCCCGCGAGCTTCGTTTCCAAGTCTCAGATCGGTCACGTTCATCGGAGAGAAGCTCACCGAGGCTGTGGCAGCCGACTGGGCCGGAGACCAGCACAGCGACCAACTCGATCCTATTGCAGTGTACAACACGTATGGGCCTGCAGAGGTGACAGTGGTTGCGACGTTGCGTCGGCTTGATCCGGACGAGACGCTGAACAGTGCCAACGTTGGCCTGCCGATGAAGGGTGTCACGGCACTTGTCTGCAGAGATCGCCTTCAGCCGCCAACACCATGCGGAAAGGGGATGGTGGGAGAGCTTGTCCTAGCAGGTGATCAGGTGGGTCGCGGGTACCTCGATGACAAGACCAAGACAGAGGCGGCCTTCGTCTTTTCGCCAGTGTGGCAGAAGAAGCTCTACTATACGGGTGACTACGTCAGGATGCTTCACGACGGGAGCATCGAGTTCATCGGCCGACGCGACGACCTCGTCAAGCTGGGCGGTATACGTGTCGAGTTGAGCGAGATATCCGCGGCTCTTTTGTCGGTGCAGAGCGGTGGCGCACAGGTGCAACGAGCTGAGACGATGATGCTGAGTCGACCTGACCGGCCATCCAAGCAGGTGATCGGTTTCCTGGCTTGTCCTGATCTCGTTGCTGCAGCAACGGCGCCGCAAACTCTCTTGCTGACACACTCGGATGCTATAGCGCTGTCGCGTCGTACACTGAACGAGGTCCGCGGGGTTCTACCGCCATACATGGTGCCATCGATGATCCTTGTGCTATCGCATATTCCTCAGACGGCTTCCGCCAAAATCGACCGCCCAAAGCTTCAAGCTGCCTACGCATCAGCCGACCTTGCCGTATGGACTTCGTCGTCGTCTTCGGCCTGCAATGGGCGACCATCAGAAATGGAGAGCGAGAAGACCATCGCGCCGCTCCATCATCAGGTCGCCAAAGCGATCAGCGGGATCACAGGGACAAACGTGGTCCACATCACCGGGACGAGCTCGCTTGCAAGTATCGGTCTCGATTCTATCCGCTCGATTCGCTTGGCCGTCAAGCTCCAACAGGAAGGTCTGCAGGTTCCTATCTCGACACTTTTGGCTTGCTCGACGGTGCGCATGCTCGTCGATGCGCTGGTCCGCCACTCTGAGGAAGGAGCAGCAGGTGTGCAAGACGATGCTCGTTCTCGATACATTGCTTCCGAGCTTCGCAAATTCGACGCTAACGTCCGCAAGCTGCTGACGACCCAGCTGCAGAAACGTCTCCGAGCGGTCTTACCGTGCAGCACACTGCAAGGAGGCATGTTGGCAGAGACTCTCGCGGATCCTTTAGCCTACTGGACGGATCATGTAATTCGACTCGACGCCGACGTGAACCTGTCCCGCTTCGCACAAGCCTGGAAACGTTCGGCTCAGTCGCTCGAAATGCTGCGTACCACCTTTGCTATTGTCTCCCAGAATTCGGACTTGAAGCATCCGGTCCAATTCGATGGCGAGCTCGATGTCTTTGCGCTGCAAATGCTTCACAGCTCTGTCGATGTCTCGTGCATCGACGTGAGGAGTCCGATCCACCCCACCTCCGGCCAAAAAATGCAACAAGCCGTCGCGAGGTGGACACGATCGGTGGCGTTGGATCGCGCTGAAGCTGGCCTTTCAGTTCGACCTTTGTGGGCCGTGAGGACCTTCTCGTTGGACCGTGACGGTGACAGTGTGGTCTATGCGGCTTTGTGCATTCACCATGCACTGTACGATGGACCATCAATCGCAATGATCCTGGATCGCGTTCGGGCCGAGTACGATGGCATTGATCATCAGGCCACAACGGGTCCGAAGAGAGACACCAATCTTCCTGCTCCCACTTCACTATTTGAGCAATGCAAGTATGCATTTGCGTTCTCAACGGAGGAACGAATGTCGAGCGTCGAGCACTGGAAAGGGCGGCTACAGAACCGTGGACCAGCAGCAGGACTCCCTGACCTGACGAGTGCCAGATGTCCTCCCGGCCGAGCTTCTTCAGCCAAATTTCTCACTACTTCCCGCACCTTCCGGCCATGTTCTACCAACTCCCTTAACGTCGGCATCTCAACAGCGATCAAAACCGCCTTTGCAATGGTGCTTGCCAACTATGTCGAGATAGAGGAGCCTCGCCACATCGTTCTGGGAGAGGTTCTGTCTCTCAGACATCTGCACCGTAGCCTGTCCACCGAGAAAGGGGCTGTAGGTCCACTGCTCACGACTTTGCCCTTCTCGTTGCTGCTCGCAGCTGACTCGACCTGTCAAAGCGTCCGTTCAACGTTCCGCAGCGATACGATCGCTCATCCCTTGATGCAGCATCGGTTTGCTTCTCTCAGTGATCTCTCCAAGATTATGGCCACGAGGTCCGATCGAGAAATATTTACAGCGATGTATGTCTACCATCAACGTTCCGGTCACCCCGAGCTATCTCTGCACGAACCATCGCGTTCGAAAGACGACGACCCTTGGATGCTCTTGACAAGTGCCTCGAATGTTCGCGTCGAACATGGCACGGTCCTCAACGTTTTTGAGCAAGGGGAGAGCGAGGACGAATCTATCATCTTGGAGCTTTCCATGAAGGAAGATCGAGTGTCGGAAGCCATGTTGGACGTCGTCATCGATCAGGTCCTCGCTCTTCTCGAGTTGATGTTCGACAGCCCAGATGAGACTTGGAGAAGGCTTTTCGACAAGATTGTCCAGGACAATAGCTCGCTTGCATCGGCGTGCACGGTTCCTCGAAGCGATGGATCGACGACGGGCTTGGAAACGATCTATCGAGAACACGATCCACTTCACTGGCTCCACTATTATGCACAGAAATATCCGTCTTGGCCTGCAGTCATCATAGCTGCTAATCCTTCCCCAGCTGGCTCGATACGTGATGCTGCGCTGTCGACATGGACTTATGCTGAGCTCAGCAACAAAGCAGCTCAGGTCGCTCACTTGATCCAACTGCTCGATCTCCCTTTGGAAGGACCGATCGCGTTGTGCATGGACCGAACTTTGATCTCCTTAGCAGTCACTGTCGCCATCTTCAAGTGCGGACGAACGTATCTACCCATCGACAAGCAGCTACCGGACGAGCGCAAGCGACTCTTGATCAGCGACAGCCGCTCTGCGCTGGTAGTCACAGAGGGAACATGCCTCGGGCAGCTCGAAGACGAATGCCATTGCCCCGTGCTCAACCTCAGCAAAGCTACGCTCGAGCAGCGCTTGCTCACTTTGAACGTCAAAGACGGTTCGGTGGATCACGCTGCTCCGGACGAGGGGAGAGGCAGCGATGGTGCCTATCTCCTGTACACATCCGGCTCGACCGGCAAGCCCAAGGGCGTTCTCGTGGGACGAGCCAATCTTTGCAGCTTCGTCGAGTCGTACGCCGAGATTGTATCCTCAGAATGCCCCGCCACGTTGAACCTAGGAGGAATTGGACGTTACTTGGGATTGGCAAGTAGGGCATTCGACGTGCATCTTTCGCAAATGTTCATGTCGTGGCGGTTCGGCATGGCGCTTGCCACAGGTGAACGATCGCTCTTGCTCGGTGATCTCAAGTGCACCATCCAGAGGATGTCCATCACGCACATGAGCTGCGTACCTTCGCTGCTGGATCAGTGCGACCTCGTTGCGCAAGAGGTGCCATCGTTGGTTTTTCTTGGTGTCGGGGGAGAAAAGTTGACGGACCGTGTCCGAGATACGCTGGCCAGCTCGCTGACAGTTCTCAACGCTTACGGGCCTACAGAGACAACGATCATGTGCACCGTCAATGCTGTGCATGCCGACAGTCACGTACGCGACATCGGACGCGTGCTCCCTGGAAACACAGCCATCGTGATCGATTTTGACGACACGGATCGATGTATCCCCGTCATGAGAGGTCAAGCTGGAGAGCTCTGCATCCGTGGGGACTTGGTGGCTCTGGGTTACCATGCCCTTGATGCTTCGCAGGAAGCCTCGAGCGGATTCGTGATGCTTTCCGATGGCACTCGCATGTACCGCACCGGCGACGCGGTGAGGATGACGGCAGATGGCAAGCTGCACTACCTTGGCCGACGTGATGAGCAGGAAAAGATCCGTGGCCAGCGGCTCGAGCTCGGAGAGGTCTCGCGATGTGCGATTGCTGGTGCAAACGACACGGTGCATGCCAGAACGGTGATCTGTCAACCTCGAAATCTGATGAAGCCGCTTCTGATCACGTTGATCAGTCCCAAGATCGTCAGCTCCGGTGCACAAAGGCGCGACTCGCTACCACAGCTGCTTACACCGTCTTCCGACATGAACCAAGTGGCTCAGCACATCCACCGATACTGCAGAGAGCAGCTTCCAGGCTACATGGTGCCTGACTTGGTCATCGCCGTGTCACATCTGACTCAATTGGCAACCTCTGGAAAGACGGACGTGCGGAGACTCAAAGAATGGATCTCATCTGTAGACCCTTCCCAGCTGTTCAAAGCCTCGGTTGACAGCGACAACGGTTCAGCTGCAGTTCCCTCCCTTACAGTGGTCGAAACCAAGGTGGCGAGCGCTCTACGTCAGATTCTTCCCAAAACCTCGGTGGAGATTCGACCAAGCACCTCGATCTTTGATCTTGGTATTGACAGTCTCACTGTAATCCGATTGGCGGGTGAGCTACGCAAAGTCGGACTCGTCGTTCCGATCAATCAGCTTCGTTTGCGTCATCGAATCCACGAGATCGCATCGGACGCGTCCGGTCGCGGCGTTGCTAACGATCACGATTTTGACTTCGACCTTTCGGTCGGGAGAAGGGCACTTTCGGCCTTCCGAGAGCGCTATAGCGAGTTGTCCAGCTCTATGCGAACGGAGGTAGTGTCCCACATCCTTCCTTGCCTGCCATCGCAAGAGGGTATGGTGGCGCTTTCTCTCGGCAACAAGAGCAATTCGATCTACGTCGCACGCATGCAAGTCCAGCTCGATGTCGATTCCTTTGAGGATGGAGCTTGCTCACCCGCTTCGATTCAACGAGCTTGGCAGCGACTCGTCCAAAGACATAGCATCTTGCGCACGTGCTTTGACCATGTTGACGAAGGAACGATCGCGCAAATAGTATTGAGCGGCATCGAGTTCGATCGTCACCTGGTGCCTGCTAGGTCGAGAGATACAGACAGCGATACCATTCTGGCGATCCTTCAGACCATCACAGCAGTTCCGCCCTGGCGCATCAGTCTCGACGAAGGAAAAGCCTCTCAGGGTGTGTTCGTCTTGTACATGCATCACGCTCTCTACGATGGGTACTCACTTCCTCTGCTGCTCGCTGACTTGACGAAGATCCTTCGAGATGAGCCAGAGGAGGTGGACAAACAGGAATCCGAAATGGAAGAGTTCATCGCCTCGATCCTCTCCGTTCCGGAATCGCGAGCCCAAACGTTTTGGTGCAGTACTTTTGCCGCATTCCCTGTCAGCGACCCATGTATATGGGACCGCTTCCCTCTTGCGCATACAGGTCCGTTCCGTTGCAAGACGACTCTGGAGCTTCGTCCACTCGTTTCAGCAGCGAAAGCTCTGCAGGTAACACTTTCCTCGTTGATCGCAGCGGCGCTTGGCATTGCAATATGTCGAATGCTGGGAACGACATCATTCACTATCGGCTTTGTGCTGTGGGGACGCACCCTTGATCACGTTTCTGCGGAAAAGATCCGGGCTCCATGCTTGACAACAGTGCCGATGCCTTTCTCCGCGTGCGTCGATCACAAAGCGCAGAGCGTCACGAACACGATTCGGTCCTGCTACGAATGGAACACATCTTGCCTGGCCTTCCAGCACACGTCGATGCGACAGATCCGCAAATGGATCGGATCCGAGCGTCAAGGCTCGCTTGTCGATGTCCTGTTCAGCTTTTCACAGACTGCCGGGTCTGGCCTAGAAGACGAGAGTCGAAGCTGGCGCTTGAACAAAGTCGATGCAGAGACTGATGCTGCGAGTGCCTTCGAAGTCGTAGCTGATGAAGCCAGCAACGAGCTTCGTATTTCAGCTATGCTCAAACACGTGCTGCCGGATGGCGGTCTTGAAGGAATCTTGGAGACTTTGCGGCTTCTTCTCGACAAGGTATCAGACGGTACAGCCGAATCGATGGACCTCGAAGCAGCAGGTGTCTCGATCCCCCTTCCTGCGACGAGCAAGGCTCTCACAAATGGACAGTCAAGAGGCCCGGAGCGTCCAATGACTCGGACCGAAGAGCAAATCCGTGACCTGGCTGTGAAGATGTGCGGTGCATCTTCTGCCGACCTGCTTAAGCTAGACACGCCATTCCTCCGCATCGGTCTTGACTCGATCGTGGCATTGCGCTTTTCGGCAAGGCTAAGGACTCAGTACGGGCTACAGCTGAGCGCGCACGACATTCTTTCGGCAGGCACCATCATGGGTCTCTCGCAGCGGCTCAACGATAGGCAGAACAAGACAGACAGCGAGATCGCCACTCCCACAACATCCGAGCACGTCGGGGAACGGTACAAGGCCACACCTTTGCAAGCAGGTATGCTAAACGGGACGATCGCATCCCAATCACATCGTCTCTATGTTCACCATCATGCAGTCTTGTTGAAAGAAGGCGTCGACTATGACAGGCTGCAGCGAGCCTTGCGATGCGTTGTAGCAGCGCACGACATTCTCCGTACGAGCTTCCATCTCGAAAGCGACGCTGCACAGAAGCCACTTTCATGGATTGCCAAGGTGGCTTCGCCGGAGGAGCTTCTTCCCGCTCCACAATCGTTGCACCACCTTGTCGACAAGGTCTCGTCAGAGGCGCTGGAAGGGTATGAAAACGACTTCACCTTTGAGCGCCCGGAGCACTTCGGCGTCAGTCCGTGGCGAGCAGCCGTGCTACGTTGTGCAGCAAAGCAGGACGTACTGGTCATATCGATGCACCATAGCTTGTACGATGGCGTTTCTCTCCCGTACTTGTTTGCGGATCTTCGGGCCGCTTATCGTGACGAGTCGATGAGCCTGGTTGCTCGTCCCTCGTTCTACCACGCAGCAAATCTCATTGCCTCCAAGACCGGTCAATCGGAGATGTACTGGAGGCAGACCCTCGCCGGGTTCAAACACGCGAGTTTGCTCGGCAAAGCCCTTCCATCCCAGTCCTCTCTTCGGTATCGGCTCGGTGAGCTGCGAATTCCCATCTCGCTGGGCGAACTGAAAACTCGAAGCGCCAAGGTGGGGGTGACACCGCAAGCACTTGCGCTACTCAGTTGGTCCAAGGTGTTGGCAGTGTCTGCCGGGCAGCGCGACGTCTGCTTTGGTCAGGTCGTGTCTGGTCGCTACCTTGATCTGCCCGGAATCGAAGAGATCAGCGGGCCACTCATCAACACGGTGCCGATTCGCGTCAACCTGGTCAACTACGTGTCCTCGAACGCTGCGACAGCTCGCGAGCTGCAAGAGCGCATTGTCGAAGCGCAGCCGTTCCAACATGCTTCGCTGAGCCAGATCCAGAAAGCATGGAGGCAGCAACACGGCGCTCAGAATGCTCTCTTTGATACTCTGTTTGTCTTCCACAACGTCCAAGGCAAGGCAAAGCTTCGAAGCAAGGTCAAAGACGAACTTTGGACTAGCATCCATTCTCCCAAGGATGTCCCTGGACAGGAAGAGAGTCACTCCACGGCGACAGGCACTGCGGCATCCGAGTATCCAGTCAACATTTCGGTGATACAGGACGACCACGGAATCCAGATCAAGGCTGGTGCAAGCGATCTTGTTGGAGGTGAGGCATGGCTGCCCAAGACATTGCAGCTGTTCGCAGATGTATTCATGGACCTTCTCCAGCGACCAAATCGACCGATCGGTGCTTACCCCGAAGCTTTGGCGACGCTCCCGATCGTTTCTGCCTCGGACGTTGATCAGCAGGAAGGCGCAACTCCCGTCGATCAAGAGGCTGATCGTCGTCGACTGGACGGGAAAGAGCAAGGCATCGTTCTGCGCCACATGTCGAAGCGTCTCAACGTAGACGCAGCTACGATCAAGGCGAGCCCAAGCCTGTTCCTGCTGGGACTCGATTCGTTGCTGGCGATCTGCATTTCAGCAGATGCTCGAATTGAACAAGTGCCGCTGACACCATTCGACCTACTTTCGGCGGGCACGTTCGGTCAGCTGACCGTCGCTTTCGACAAGCAAGACAACAACCCCCTCGGTGCCGATGCCGAGGCGATCGAGCGGGCGCAAAAGGGTCTGATCAGTGATCTCGCCAGAAAAGAGGTGCTGGAGCGGCTCGATATTCCTGCAACGGACGTCGAGGCATTTTTGCCGGTGTTGCCCGGTCAAAAGCAACACATCGATCTCTGGCTGCAGCGCGGTCGAAGATTCCTGGAACCCACCTTTGTGTACGCCACATCACGCAAAGTGAAGATCGAGGTGCTCGACGCTGCGTGGGAGGAGCTACATCGACGCAATGCTGCGCTTCGGACCGCTTTTGTGCGTCTGAAGGACCATGGGGAGCTGGTACAGGTGGTTTTGAGCGAGTCGAGCTCACTGTGGCGCTGCCACCAGCGAAGGCAGCTCGCAATCGTAAATGGTAACGACGACGTCGATTCTGCCGCTTTTGATGCGGTCAAGAAGCTCAACGCAGATCCGACTGATCTCTCCAGGCCTTCTGCGCGTCTGACTCTGGTGCAGGGCAGCAAGCAGGACCTCGTTCTTTTGACTCTCCACCATACTAGCTACGATGCTTGGAGCATGCGCTTGATGGCAGCCGAGCTCGGTCAAATCTACCAAAGCATGGAGAGGAGATATCAATTGCGATTGCGAGAGCCCATCAGCTTTGTGGGTTTTGTCGAGCAGACATATTGGCATGCTTTGCGGGCTGAGGCTTCCATTGAAGCGTTCTGGGCGGAGCGCTTGCGTGGTGCTTCTTCTACAGTGGTGTGCGGAGGGGCACCTCAATCCGTCGACCAAACCATGCACGTTCGAAAAGCGGCCATCAGAGACGCCGATGGTATGGAAGCCCGATGTCACACACACGGATTCGGGCTGCAAGTGGTGGTGATCCTCGCCTATGCAAGGCTCCTTTCGTCGTACGTTGCTGAGGAAGGCCTGAAATCGCCCACCTTTGGATTTTATACGGCAGGACGGTCCTCTGCGTTCGAGGGACTGGGGCAAATGATTGGACCGACGACTTCGATGCAGCCAATGACCGTAGCCACGAGATCGGAAGGGCCTGAAGCCGTCCTCATTCAGCTTCGTTCCATTCAAAAGGAGCTGGTCCATCGTGCTGAGCACCAACAAGACGAAGTCAAATCGCCGGTACCCTTCGATGCGCATCTCAACCTTTTGTGGCACAAACCCATCGTCGAGACCGACGGCGACGAGCCAGGCTCGGCTGATGCGCTTCTCAGACCATACAAGCTACGATACGACAGCGGCTACTTTACGCATCAGCCTCTGATGCCAGGAAGGACGTCGGTTGACGGTGATTCGAAGGATTCAGCGACGAAACCGAAGAATGCGCAGCTTTACATGGACGTGGGCTTTGATGCGAAGACAGGCGCGATCTCGTTTGGAGCTCGATGCGATCAATCTGCGATGCACACGTCGCAGCTCGAGGAGTTCTGCGACGCATTCATCGTCGAGATCGAAAAGTTGCGCGACATCCTGTAGCCCGCCATCGTTGACCCCTCAGCAAGCCGTGACGGTTCTAGTCGCATTCTAACAGTCGCACAGAAGAAAAGCACACGAAGTAAAGTATGTGTGTAGATCGTCCTATTTGCACTTGTGACAGTAATACAATTATACAAAGTAGCACTAGACACGCATTCAAAACCCACATCCCCCTGGCTCGAGCAGCTTCACATGCGCGAGACGCCACCGAAGCCCGGGTTGCCCTGAATCTTTTCCTGAGCAAAGATCTCGAGGCAGAATCCAACGACCTGACGCGTCGATCGCGGGTCGATGATGCCGTCGTCCATCATGCGGCTGGAAGCGTAGTAGGCATCCGACTCGGTCGAGACCTTGTTGAACATGGCTTCCCTGCGCTTTTGCTGGCGAGCCTCGTCGATGGGCTTTCCGCTGCGGCTGAGGATCTCGCGCTCCACCATATCCACGACTCCAGCCAGCGCGTCGGGACCCATGACCGACGTCCTCCCCTGTGGCCATGTAAAGAGGAAGCGAGGATCGTACGCGCGTCCACACATTGCGCAGTTTCCCGCGCCGTAGCTCGACCCGACAATGATGGAAATGTGCGGAACTTTCGAGTTGGCTACGGCATTGATGAGCAGCGAACCGTACTTGATGCTGCCTGCGGCCTCAAACTCGCGTCCAACCATGAACCCAGAGATGTTGTGGAGGAAGAGGAGCGGCACGTTGTTGTTGTTGGCCAGCCGGATGAACTGCGTCGTCTTTTGTGCATCTGAAGGATTGAGCACCCCGTTGTTGCCAATGATGCCTACGGGGTGACCGGCGACGTAGGCGAAACCCGTCACCGTGTTTGCACCGTAGAGTGGCTTGAACTCGTTGAAGCGGCTGCCATCGGTGATGCGTGCGATCAGCTGCTCGATGCGCCACGGCTTCTTGATGTTGGCCTGAGCCACGTCGAGCAGCGAGTCCATCGAGTACAGCGGCTCGAGGCTGTCCCACTGAGGCAGCCGTAGCGACTCGGGCCGCGAGATGCGTTCACCCCAGTTGAGCGAAGCGACCCAGTATCGCGCCTCTGTGATCGCCTCGACCTCGTTGTTGACCAAACAGTCCGCGACACCAGAGACGGTAGCGTGCTTCTCGGCTCCGCCCAGCTCTTCTGCGTTGCTCACCTCTCCTGTCGCCATTTTGACCAGAGGAGGGCCACCGAGGAAGAGCTGCGCCTGCTCGCGGATCATGATGGTCATGTCCGACATGCCTGGCGTGTAGGCGCCCGCTGCAGGACACTGGCCAAACACCACAGAGCACGTGGGGATGCCATCCTGCGAGCGAGTGGCCAAGTCATAGAATTGACGAGCACCGTGGTGGAACTCAAACTGCTGTTGCAGACTGGCACCGGCACTGTGTACAAGAAATACGATGGGCAATCTGTTCTCGTGGGCAATCTGGCCCAGACGCTGGATCTTGGCGATCTGAGCCCGGTTGGCCGATGCACCTTGCAGCGTGGGGATGTGCGCAATGCACATGGTCAGCGTGTTGCTGTGCGCGGGTATCGAAGGTAAGGACGTGTCAGCTAGTCTGCTCATTTTACATTGATCATTTGACTCCTTCGAGCGCGACTCACCTGACAAGGCCGATACCACCAACGACGCTGCCGGAAGGCGTGCAATCCTTTTGCTCGTAGCCAGCAAATGTGCACAGCTGCAGGAAAGGCGAGTCTTGGTCGAGCAGCAGTGCGATACGGTCGCGAGCCAGCAGCATACCACGGCTGAGGTGCAGCTGCTGCGTCCTGCCACTGCCTTGGTTGAGGACGCTCTGGGTACGCTGTTCGAGCTCGCGAATCAGCGCCTCGTTGGCTGCACGGTTGTTTTGCGTTTCCGCATCGGACACGAGCGGCGGCAGCTGCATCACAGGGAGCCTGAGTGCAGGATGCGCCGGCTTGAGCGGCGTTTCGGGTGTCTGGAGTGCGTTGAGCGACATGGTTGCGAGTTGCGATCGACCAGAAGATGGTTGTTGGTGGGGGAGTTGTTGACGGAACTGCGATTGAAGAGACCTTTGATATGTTCAGGTCGCGACGCTCACAATAACGAGCTCGAGAATTGCGACAACGCTTTATGAAAAGGCAGGACAGATTGTAGTTCGCTTGCTGACCCGACTCTGGCAAGTTATGTCGACTCCATGACAAGATCGCTTTGCATGGTTGGCTGCCATTCACATGCGCTGCTGGTGCCTAGCCTTGCATTCAGGCACCTTTCACAGATCGAGTCGAGCGGCAAGAGGAGCTTAATCATGCAACAAGCCACGCAGGGAGTGCCTGATACGTGGCAACCACAGCTAGCAAAAAAGCACTTCACACGTGTCAGGCCGTGCTGTGCTCTTATCCTGAGAACTGGGATGTGAATGTCGCTCCGTCGGAACAGACAGGGTTGGTGTGGGACTGCACTTTCGTTGCGAAAGTACCTATCCCGCTAGTCATCAACTCTATGTTCATGAAAGTGTGAAAGGCAGCAACAATGTGGGTCGAAAGCCAGTAGGGGTTAGGCTGCTCATCCATACCCACGTCGCCAACGTGTCAAGTATCGCGCACTGCGGTTCCTGGATGACGCGGTTCCAAATCGCCATGTCTCGCTTCGACTTGCTCGCTGTTGAAAGTGCCCCCACTGGCAATTTTGCTTTCCTGCGTTCTCACCGATCTACCAAAGCGCAGACAGCACTGCAGTTACCTTCTCTTATCGGACTCAGGCTCGGGCTGAAGCTGCGTTCGGCTTTGATAGCATCCGAATATGTTGACCAAAATAAATATTTGCATTTATTCATTTTGTTTTCTCCGCGGCTGCTGTCTGCTGCTCCTTCGGCTTTCGGCAAAGCAAGGCAGTTCGGTTAAGAATTTTCCGACCCGAAGCTAGCCGATATCGAGCTCGCCTATCCAACTGCGCATCAATGATCAAATGAACGTGGACTAGCGCATTCGCTTGATGGCAGCTGCGAGCCTATCTGGGAACGTGTCGATAAGTGAGCTCACTCTGTTACCGCCTCTCGACTGCCCATTGTCCGTGACGCAGCATTATCGTCTGCATCGGGAAGTTTCGTTGGAGACCGGCTGGATCCGGTCTTGCGATCCGAATGCAGTGGCTGAGATTGTCATTTGCGCCATTTCGAACACACCTCGATCATTCTGAAGGGGCACGCTTGCTGAATGTGGCAGCATTACGCTTCCTAGCCTCGTAGCTATGTAGTGACCCACCTGACAAAGCTCACGTCAGCTTCCGTGCAGCCTCACTCCTCCTTCTACCTTTGTACGGGCCTCGAATCATTCTGAACGGACAAGGATGACCATGTCAGACACCCCTACGCACGGATCTCCATCGGTCAGCACGCCAGCCTCACTCGCAATCGATTCGGAGCTGGGTCATCATTCTGAAAGCACCACCCCAAACGATGATGTGCCCGAGGCTGTCACTACATCACCCAAGCATATCGACGATCTTGAGTCTGCCCAACGGCAGAATGCACTCAGCGACGACGTTCACAACACTTCCGAAAAGCCTATGCTTGTCGGCTGGGAGGGAGTCGACGACCCCAAACACCCGCACAACTGGTCAGTGGCGCGACGTGTCTACCTCACCTTCTTGGCCTGCGTCGTGGTTCTCGCATCCACCTTTACCTCGTCGATCTCATCCGGGGTCTCGCAGAGTCTCATGGCCCACTATGGCTTCGGCAAAGAAGTCTCGGCGCTCACCATCTCGGTTTTTGTCGCCGGCTACATCTTGGGTCCGTGGCTGTGGGGCCCGCTCTCGGAACGCATTGGACGTCGCAGGGTATTTACCGCCTCGCTGCTCATCTACACGTGCTGGAACGTAGGTTGTGCGCTGGCGCCCAACACTGGCGCGTTGCTTGTGCTGCGCTTCCTCGCAGGCACAGCAGCAGCCGCACCGCTGAGCAACTCGGGCGGTCTCATCGCTGATTTGTGGAAGACGCGCGTGCGAGGCATCGCCACCGGCCTGTACGCCTGCGCTCCGTTCACGGGACCTGCCCTCGGTCCTATCGTCAGCGGCTTCATACAGAACTCGGGAACGAGCTTTCGATGGGCGTTTTGGGTGTGCGCCATCTTTTCGGGCGTCTGTTGGCTGATGGTGGTGCTGACGCTGCCAGAGACGTTTGCACCCGTGCTACTCAAGCGCAAGGCGGAGAAACTGCGGCAGCAGACGGGCGACACGCGCTATCGTGCGCCTCTGGAGCAGGTCAAGCTGACGCCGTCGACCCTGATGCGCACCGTGCTGCTCAAGCCACTCATCATGTCGATACAAGAACCCATGCTGCTCGCATCGATCCTATTCATGTCGTTCCTGTACGGCGTCGTATATCTGCTCTTCGAAGCGCTACCGATTGTGTTTGGCGAAGGCTACGGCTTTAGTGCAGGCATTGTCGGTCTCATGTTCATCCCTTTTGCCATCGGCGCATTTGGAGGCGTGCTCTTCTACATTGCCGTCTTCTTCCCGCGCTACTCGCGCATCGTCGATCGCGCTTCAGACGGCAAGGTGAACCCGGAGGAGCGTTTGCCAATGGCCATGCTGGGCGCACCCGTGCTCACCATTGGCTTCTTCTGGTTTGCTTGGACCAGCGATCCCAGCATCAACTTCTGGGCACCCATGCTCTCGACCGCTCTCCTCGGATTCGGCATCTTTTTCGTCTTCCAGGGTCTTTTCAACTTTATCATCGATGCATATACAGTCAACGCTGCCTCGGCGCTGGCAGCTGGCGTCATTGTACGCAGCTGCTTTGGAGCGGCGTTTCCACTATTTTCGCACGCACTCTATTCGAGACTGGGTACAAAATGGGGTTCTAGCTTGCTCGGGTTTTTGGCGTTAGCCATGACTCCGATCCCATTTTTGTTATATCACTCCGGACCTCGGCTCAGAGCCATGTCACGTAGCGCCAAGTAGGCTCGTTACAGCCGTCAAAGGTGAAAAAGATTCGAGATGTACTTCGAGAGTGATTCGAAACTGTACTTAACTCGATGAGAGCTACGACGATCACTCCACACCTCATCGATAGTCTCCGGTGTTGATACTGCTGAAATTACACTAATGTGCTACTGAAACTGAGACCACGAGAGCGGGACTGCACCGGCCGGCTGAGCACCTCTTTTGAAATAAGGCTTGATATGCTCGAACCCAATCCGAACGCCGAGGTAGCTAGTGTGGCCGTTGGGTCCCGAGACGTGGTCGAGCTTTTCCGCCGCCACATTGTGGTCGATGGGCGAAAGGTGTTCAACCTCCTTTGATTCGAACGATCCCAGGTCCTGGACCCACATCACGACACTAGCGAGGTTGAGGCTGACCACATAGCTGCCGCCCTCCTTGGCACGACGCAGCAGCGCACTCAATGCCCCCGCAAAGCCCAAGATGCCAGCTAGGTAGTCGTTCAACAGATATGTCGGCGGCAGACGCGGATGATCGAAGCCACCTTCCTCGGCAGAAAACCCGGTCGCGGTACACGCCAGCTGATCGAACCCACCTCGCGTCGCCCAGGGTCCGACCCTGCCCCACGCAGTAATATCGACAAAGATGATGCCCGGCTTGATCTTGGCGAGCTCATCGGCCGAATACCCTTTGCGCTCCAGCGAACGGTAGTTGCACACGTAGATGTCGGCGTCTTTCAGCACATTTGCAAACCCTTGACGCCCACTTTCCTCGTTGAGATCGCAAAACGCGTTGAGCTTGCCCAGGCCGGTCTCGTTGAGCATCGCCGCCGAGTCTGGATAATCTGGCGAGGAGATGTGCAGCACATCCGCACCGAACTCGGCCGCAAGACGACTCACGATGGGGGCGGCGATCACGTGGCCGTTGTCGAGCACACGGATGCCCTCGAGCGGTTGGGAGGCATTGTCCTTGGCCGTATCCGGCTGCGACAGCGGTTTGAGTGGGACTGGCTCGCTCTCGCCGATCTTGGTGACCGAGATGAGGCTCTGCTCGAGCAGCGCCTTGCCCTGCGGATGCTGGCGCCATTCCTCACGCGTGCGCAGAGCGATTCCACACCCGTGCGCCGCGTTGATCGCCTCCTCGAGCTCGAACGCGTTCCACTGCGCAATGCTCTTGGCGAAGTCCTTCTTTTCGGGCGGACACTGCAGCACCTGACACGCAGCATCGCGAAGCCGCGGATAGGTCAACAGTAGGAAAAGGTGTCGACCGTCGTTGGTCGGGTAGAAGTCGCTGTTGTGGAACAGCTTGGGATCTTCGAACAGACGCAGCAGCGCTACGCCATTGACTTTGGTGTAGAAGGCGGCGGTGAGCTGCATGATGGCCTCGTCGACTGAGATGCTGATCGTGTCGAGGACGGATCCGCGAGCGTGGGCGACTTGAGAGACGGCGGTGCCTGCTAGAGCCAGTGCGGCGGCGCATGCATCGCCGATGCGGTGCGTCGAGGGGACTACAGGATCTTGACCTTTGATGGTGGCATTGTGAGCTGAGAGGTCGAGGCCGATTTGCTGGCCAAGATCCAGCAGGATGCTTTCGGAGCTGAGATGACTTGTGGACGTGGTCATGATGATCCAACTGCCAGACTATTCCGGGCAGGCTCAAGAGAGGTGCGTTCAGCGAAGCAGGGCAACAACGACCGTCTGATATATAATCTGTCAACCCTCTCAACTGATTGAGCTGGAAGGGGCGTATGCCGAGGCAATGGTGACAACGAAGAAGTGGAAAAGTTCGGACGACTTGCTCCGACTCTGAGAAGCAACGGCACGCTCCTCGACATGTAGAACAATGGTAAAGAAGGCTGTGCATCTTGTTCATCCCTCCTGTTCGTCAGGAGCTGATCAGCAAGCGAGCCGGCTGACGGATATGTACATAGCCGGTGCTTTTCCGCTGTGGAACAGGCACAGGCATACCAGACGGATGCACAGACCCCGGCGGCTAATGTCAAAGTCACTCACTGCAAGCGATAAGAAATTATATGCAAAAAGATAACCCTCAAGTAGCGAGGAATGCCGCTGAAGCAAGCATGAAATGCGCTAACTACATCGTCTACCAAACATTCATCTGCTAAATATAGCCGAGCAAGGTACGTGCGGCCGTGTTCAACTGCCCGTTGCTTTCACTTTCACTGCTGCTGCTGTTGCTGCTCCTCACCGCCTCCAACCTGGCACAGCAATTTGCCCTCCGGCACAGTGTCGCCGTTCTGCACGTGCAGCTGCAGCTTTCCTGCCACCTGGGCTCGAATTGTAGTCTCGATCTTCATCGACTCGCAGATCAGCAGCGCTCTGTAGTGCCAAAAGAAATCAAGCAAATCAATCAAGAGTGTCAGTGGGTGGCTCGATGGAAAGTTCTGAGAGGCTGAGTATACTCACTGTCCTGGCTCGACGGTAGCTTGATTCTCGACGAGAATCTTGAGGATCTTGGCAGGCATAGGTGTGACGTAGGCCGACTTGCTTGCCGCCGAATCGTCCAAAGACTGGTTGGCCAGCGCATAGGTGCGCATGCCGTGCCGCACCACTTTGATCGGTCCACACAGCTGCGACGACCACACCCACGCTGTCTGTGCACCATTCTCGTGATCTTGAAAGGAATGGTCGGTAGCCAAAATGTGGGTGGAGGTGATGCCGTCGATTTCGAGCGCCAGAGTGGCTGTAGCCCATCGCGCACGCCCTGTCGCCAGATGCGAGCGGGTGGTGGCGGGCAGAGATGAGAGCTGCACCTGCGACGAGGTGAGCAGCTTCGAACGAAGGCAGTGCACCTCCGAAGACTGCACGCCGAGCTGCCACTCGCCTTGCGCGCGACCTTCGAGGCCGTTGCGCGTGGGCAGCGAGCCGTAGAACTTGGTCGAGGCGCGTGCCGCTTTGAGCTGCGCCGCTAGCACCTTGGGTTTGGCCTTGCTGCCGAGCTTGTCCTTGATGCGCTCCTCGGCCGCCTGCGCCGCCTGACTTGATTCATTGATCCACATTTTGAGCTCGTACTCGCCGTGGCTGCCGTCGTACTCGACCATCACATCCCACTGCTGCCCGCCGTCCGGCAGCGACACGACAAAGTTTTCCGTCTTGGACACGCTGCGGTCGCAGCCGTTGACCAAGTCGAAGTTGGCAGGCAACCCACTTCGCGATGGGTACAGCTTGCCGCGCAGTTCCTTGAACAGGTGGAATGCAGGCACGATCGTCGCTAGCGGCAAAGCACCCTGCTTGGGACCGGTCGAGAGCGCCGAGGGCGCCAGCTGTACAGGCAGGTCAAGCAGCCACTCGAGGTTGTTGGGGATGAGCGACGTGTTGTAGCTGCCATCGACAAAGCTAGGGTGGCGCAGGCACGAGCTCATAAACGTCGTGTTGGTGGGCAGACCGATGACGACGGACGTCTGCAGCACCTGTAGCATCTTTTCGATCGCGGCGGCGCGTGTGGCGGCGTGCACGATCAGCTTGCCCAGCATTGCGTCAAAGAAGATGGATACGGTGGTGCCCACACGGATGCTCGTGTCGAAGCGAACGCCTGGTTGGCCCAGACAGAGCACCTCGAGCATCCTCACCACGCCTGTGCGCGGTGTAAAGTCGGCACCAGGCTCCTCTGCACAAACACGACATTCGATCGAGTGTCCAAACGGCTTGAGCTTCGCCACAGGCTCCAGCTTGGACAGATCGCCGTCGCCGCCCACATAGACACCCAAGCTGACCAGATCCAGCCCGCTGCACATCTCGGTCACAGGATGCTCGACCTGCAGACGCGTGTTGACCTCCAAAAAGAAGAACTCCTTGGTCTTTGTGTCGTAGATGTACTCGACCGTTCCGGCGCCCTGGTAAGAAAGCAGCGAGCCGATGGTGATGGCCGACTGATGGATGCGTTTGCGCAGCTCCGCGTCCGCCTCGCAGTCAGTCGACGGTGACTCTTCGATGATCTTCTGATGACGACGTTGAACGGAGCAGTCGCGTTCGCCGAGCGCATAGACGTTTCCATGGTTGTCGCCAAAGATCTGCACCTCGATATGCTTGCCGCCTTCGATGTAGCGTTCGAAGAGCAGCTCTGCGGAGCCAAAGTTGCGCAGCGCCTCAGAGCGCGCACGTGCGATCTCCGGCGCCAGCTGGTCCGGCGAACGCACGATACGCATACCACGCCCACCACCTCCCGAGGAAGCCTTGATCATGAGTGGATAGCCGATGTTCTGTGCGGTCTCGAGATCGATCTCGTCGGTTCCGTGGTATCCGGGTACCAGATGCGCGTCCGCACCGAGCTTTTCGTGCAGCAGCTGCTTGGATCGACTCTTTTCGCCGATAGACCGCATCACGTCGCCTCGTGGACCGAGGAATGTGATGCTGCCTGTAGCTGCGACGGCGTCGGCAAAGTCGGCGTTCTCCGAGAGGTAGCCATAGCCCGGGTGAAGCGCATCGCACCGGTGTTGGAGCGCCACGTCGATGAGCTTGGTGATGTTGAGGTACGGGTTGTCGTCGGTGGTCATGGCGCCGACGTTGACGGCGACGGTAGCGTGGGCTACGAACTCGGCCGAGGCGTCGACTTCGGTGTACACGACAACGGTCTCGACGTTCATCTGTTGGCAGGTGCGCACGATACGCAGCGCAATCTCGCCACGGTTGGCGATCATCACTCGACGGTTGGGCTTGGGTCCGTTGGGGGCGATGAAGAGCGGCTTGCCCTCCACCGTGGGTGGGTTGGGGGGTAGCAGCTTCGACATTGTTTCCTGCACAGTCGCTGCGATTTTGATCGGATTGCTCTCTATAAATCGCGCTTTTGATGCTGGGTGAGCGATGGCAGATGATGATCTGCAAGGGTTTATAGGCTGGCAGCGAGAGGATATCGTCTTGAGAAAGTAAAGGGACGAGGAGTCATATGTGGCAGCGGCTGTTGTAGCATCACTACGTTAAAGTATAATCTTCGTCGGAACGCACTCGACAGTGTATGCTCCGCAGTGCAACCTTGCAACAGACACTTGGGCAAGATTTCAGCGTCTTACTGCGTAGCGGTCGGGTGTTGATAGGTGGCCGACATAGCACTACATCCTCGTGCAGTCTCTCGTCTTGCGCATCCTCCGTCACCTTTGGTATTGCGTTTGGTCTTTCACGAGCAAAGCCCACCCAGTCTGGCCATCTGAGGCCAGCCCAGTGAATAGCAAGGGATGTCAGCGAAGAGATAGGCAACGAGTGTACATCAAATGAATCTATGGGAATGTGTGTGCGTGTACCTTTGGGTGCGGTTGGGTGCCTGGGCTTTCGGGCAGCACGTTCGGCTTCGGATCGTGTCTCGCTGGCTCGCAAATCAACCGAGGTAGTATTATCGCCAACCGTCACGACAAGCGAGCCAGCGCTGAAGCAAATCGAGCGAACTAGCGATCTGGGCAGCCACAGCAGCAATCTAAGGAGAGATGGCACCAGGCACCACACACGTGGACGCAGCTGCGTTACGTGACCGACGATCTGCTCCAGGCGGTCAGGTCACGTTACTCACTAGGAGGCACTAGCACCTCGTATCTCACTTTCAGGAGCGCCACGACGACGTTAGTGCTTACTAGACTGCATTTTCGTGTCTTGGCAAGCGGTGAGCTGCCTGTGCATCTCGTTAAAAGTTGACATCGCATGTGATAGCTTAGTGTGCACCCTCTTTTAAATCAACATTGTGGGTGTACCCGCAGGATGTGCTTTATCTATCAGAGTGGACTAGCGTCTTCCACAAATAGATATTCGGAAGACGGAGGGCGTAATGCCTAAGCGCCAGGAACGTCCAGAAACTAAGCCATCGGAAGATCGGAGTGGGAATCGTACCCACGGTTTAGTGCGAATCCGCACTCTAAGCGACTCGAGCCGAGTTGTAAAGCAACAAAGCCGAACGAGGCAGCTCGCGTAAGCCACTCTTTATCGCCTGTCATATTGCGCAACGACAAACTTTCTTTTGGTTTCACGCTATCGGCATGATTATCGGAAAGGCTAGCTTATCTCTCGATTCCGAACTTGACACATACCCGAACAACAGTACATCTTTTATGCAATCACAAGGTGCTCGATGGCGTCAGAGGCGAGCCTGAGCCTGCCCGGAAGCTGGAGTGGGAGCCGCACGTTTGGCTGCCTTGCGTTGGTGGTACCACTCGAGGATGTGCTCGACCACCGGCTGCGTGTAGCCCTTGTACATGTGGTCCGAGCCCGGGACGAGCTGGAGCTGTTGAGCATCCGACGAGCGTCGTGGGTTGCTGCGAAGCTCGTGCAGATAGCTGTGAGCGTCTTGCACCGGCACAGTTCGATCTTCGGTACCGTGAATGATGAGCCTATGACGTAGAAGAGCAGCAACGTGGGATATGTGACCGGCACGCTTAGGGGGAAGAGGAGGAGCAGAACTTACACTTCGGTGGTGGCGGAAATGCGTCGGACGATTTTGCGTATGGGGAAGGTAGCCATACGCCCAAGGTCCGACGGGTAGACAGGATACTCCCTCTGCACACCGGCACTCTTGACACGCCACTTGAACACCCCTTCCTTGTCGAAACCACGTTTGTACACATCGTACCTGTCCAGCACACGCATCATATCCCACCTGCCCGAAACCGCCACGAAGAAGGGCACATCCGTATCGTCGTCCCAGCGCAGCCGTTCGTCGCGCGCCAGGTACGTCCACGCATCGAGTGAGCCGCGCGAGTGACCCACGATGAGCTCCACGCGGTACGCCATCTCGTGACGCAGGTGGTGCACCACCGCCTGTAGATCCTCGATATCGTGTCCGATGTTGCACATCCCCCAGCTGCCACCCGTCTCGCCATTGCCGCGGAAATCGAAGCGGAAGCTGTCCATGGGCAGAGCAGCGGCGAGCTCGACGTGGTAGCTCTGATTCTTGTGCGCCATGAGACCGTGCAGGATCAGCGCTACATGTTCCGTGCGTTGGGCGGCAGAATGACGATGGTGAAGTATGCCCACAATGTCGGCACCAGGTTGCGCAGAGGGAATGCGGATAGTCACCTCGTTTTCAGCGCCGGTCGAACCGCTGCCCGCTTGCATCTTGTCTAACGTTTCGTGTCGCGATGGTGGTGGTGGTGGGAGAGGAGGATGTGAGTTGAGCGGTAGTCCGACGTGCAAGCGTCTATCTATATCAGAGCGAAGTGAGAAACTAACTCGTACGAACTTGTCTCACGCGCAAGCACACACAGACTGGCATGTCAATCAGCGTGCTAGCCTGAACGTGGTCCGCAATCTGTAGCCGCCTGGTGCTGCGTTCCTATCCGCATTGCCATGAGGGCATGAATGTCGGAAAACCGCTTTTACTTGCCAGCTTATGCCGAGTTTGCTCGTGAAACCGTCTCGGCACTGACTTACACTCGCCACGGTACACCACTTCACAACCCGACTCACGTTCTGCCGGAAGGGGCAACCAAGTTCATGGCCCAAGCCATCGCACAGCAACACTCTGGCTGACAGGCGCAGCCATGAACAGGTTAGGTACGTTTGATCTCTATCGATTACATGAAGATGTCGGCCTTGAGCATGTCCCAAAAGTCCTCAAAGTCCATGCTGGTGAAAGCTTCCATGCCTGTCTCGCTCGTGAATGGCAGTACGCCGCCTGAGCCTGCGTTGCTACCGTCGAGCCCGTTGCTGTTGGCGAACAAGGATGCCGATATCGAGTGTTCCGCGTGTACCTCTTTCGAACATGCTTCGGTCTGATGATGGGTAGGTTCTTGTGACTGCTCGTCTGACAGTAAAATGTCCTCTCTTCCAGCTGGAGTGGCAGCCTCGCCGATCCATGCTTGAGATCCGTGAATGTGGCTTGTTCTTCGGCTGTGGTGCGCGGATGCGACTCGACTCTTGGCCTGCATGGCGGCATTTCCGTTGGCAATGAGCGACGACAGCGGCGCAATGGGCAGTGCCTGCCCTCTCGAGATGGCCGTAGTTCGGTCTCTTAGCCTCGAAAAGATGGTCAAGAAAGCAGCAGGGTAGCCCCATGACTCGTAGCAGCTTTCGACATGACTTGTAGCTTCGGTGAGCAACTCGACATCTGAGCGAACAAGCCTGCTGCGTGGACTGCGCAAGATGCTGAGCGCGAGTACAATGCTGGCCAAGAAGATCTGCTGCACTCCCACGAGCGTCGAGTGAATCCCAGAATCCGCCAGCTGCAGGTTCAGATGGATCAGGCTGCGCGCTGCACCGACGCACTGCGATGCAGCTCCCAGCAGCTGTCCAATGTCGGCAAGCTCGAGCGCACGCTTCTGCACTTCTTTCTGGAAACCTTGCGGGGGGAACAAAATGGCGATTCGCAGCACAGCCATCTTGGCCTGCCACACAAACAGCAGAACAAGGACAGAAGGTTGCATCTGTCAGCGAGCTGTATACGTGCTTCTCCACGCAACCTCGAGCGAAACTTACATGGTAGTATTGCTGTGCCAGAAAGGCGATGGCGACGTGCGCGTGATCCACGTTGCCCGCAAAAGAGCTGCTTCCCGGTTTGAGGCTTGGCGGTAGACTCGCCTCCCATTTGGTCAGACACTGCGCCAACCTTGCCGTCTCACCGAGCAGCTCGGTGGCATGACCAAAGCGATGATTGTAGAAGCGATCCGAGATCTGGCCCATGATGGCCGAGAGTGAGACCCATGCGGTGAACAGGCGATTCGTTCTTTGCTCGGGTAGGTCGTACGCTTCTGCCTCTTCCGGACTCACCACGTGGTGGTCTTGTTCGTCACTGTTGGGGCTGCTATCGCTGTCCGACGTCTGACCAGGCCGCCAAAGTCCGAACCCAGGCAGTCGTATGGTGAGATTGGCGTCCAGGGACCCGTAATCTTGCGTCGAGTCGATGCTGGACGGACGACCATTTTCCAGCTGCAGCAGCCTCTCGAGCGAGAAACACGACCACCAAAGGCGTCGTCGAAGGCTCGCCGAGCTGTTTGGCGGCAGACCACGTTGCTGAGGCGTTTCGACACTCTTGTGAAGACCGAGCGACATGGCGAGTCGAAGCGCTAGACCCAAAATGTACCATGCTTGACCGTCTTTGCCACAGGCTCGGAGCGCGAGAGCGACCAGCAGCAGCGCTTGAACGCTCGATTGGTATGGCATCGCAGTGAGATGCGCGTGCAGACTGTAGCACGCCGTCAGATACGGGGCCGCATTGCGCCTCACCTGCTCCAGTACGGGATCTGCCGGCGACGTCTCGTGGAGACCGATGCAGATGATCGCGTAGAGTACGACCAGACCGGGCACCTGGCTCGACCGCACTTTGCTCTGCAAGCTCTCGGCTGGTCGCGCCGTGGAGGGCAAGGTTGAGGGCTCCTCGGCTTGCAATTCCAGCAAGAGATCCGCTTCCGCCTGCACTGCGTCGCGATCGAGAGCAGGAAACGCGGGCCAGACACGAGCAAAGAAAATGTCGATGCAGTGCGACAGTACGCGCTGTGCCGGCAGATCTGGTAGCGTCGGAAAGAGGGGCATCACAAAGTCGTCGCTCGGAGTCAAGCCGTGCCTGAAGAGCGGCGCTGTTGCGTCGAACCCATAGCTGGCTAGACAGACGTCTGTAAATTTGAAGAGGTACTGTAGGCTGCTGCCTCCCAGCACCTTGAATCGGTTCGGCGATCCGTCTGTGTTGATGACCACATCCGGCGTGGCTACCGTCGAATGCGGCTGCTGTTGCTCGTCGTGCTCTGTGCTTGTCTGTAGCTGATCGATGCTTGGGGCGTGCGCCGCAGAGACTTCCTTGTAAGCTCGAGACACCCACGTAGGAAGTTCGGTGTCACCGCCCGTGTTGCTGCTGCTGTTGTTTCTGTTGCGAGTCCTGATCAGCGAGGCGCTTGAAGATCGAACGAGTTCGACAAGTGGCGTGCTGCTATGAAGTGTAGAGCTCGATCCGATCGAACGCGGACTCTGTAGAGAAGCGGCGCTGATGGGCTGTGTTTGTCGGTCTTGTATTGGGTCCGAAACCAGGTCAGAGCCGAACAGGTCGACGTCGTCATCTTGGTCTTGTTCAACAGGCTCATCATCATCGAGTTCTGATTCGATGCCGTCGGGCGTGCCTGTGGATCCGACAGACCACTGATCGCGCCGAGACTGAAGCAAGAGCTGTCGCTGCTCCTTCTGTTCAACTTCGCGAGCGCGTTGGAGTGCACTCAGCGACGGACCCGTGTGACGTCGAGTGGCCTTCTGGCGTACCGCAGGCGGTGCGCCAGCCTTTCGTGGATCCGACGTGACGCACACATCGCCGCGCCGGATGCAGTTGTGACACTTGGGTTGGTGTGCATCGCAGCGTACCTTGCGCTTGCGACATGGATTGCACGCTAGCGACAGACGGTCGGGTTTGCTATGTGGGGCGCGGGCGGGCGTCGGCGTAGCGAGGCTTGCAATCACGTCGCTTTGCTTGCCTGTATGGCTGGTGCTGTTGTTGGATGAAGACATGGAAACGAGGCATTGAGCTGCCTCGTCAGTGTCGGCTGGCTCGGTCCATGCATGGGCCGCCACGTTGCCCTTGACGAGAGAAGAAGGAGTCACCGTGAGGGGCAGCGCGGTCAGAGCCATCGCCATGCTTGCAAAACCGAGCTATATGTTTGTTGTCCGAGAGAAAGGACGAATTCATGACAAGAACCGTACAGGTCGATGTTTGATGGTTGTGAACCGACTGATTGCAAGCGAATCTTGCGGGTAGACATGTCAAGCACGATACGCGACGTCAGACGGCAAGTGGAGCGGTTCACAATGGCGCTCGTGGCAGCCAAGGGTACAGAAACGGAACAGCTCTGATTGGACGGCAGCCGAGGCAGCGTCGTGCAGCCAACAGCCTAGTCTGAACAAACCGAGCTGGCTCTCAATATGAATAGAGTGGGGGTCGCATTCCCCGCGCTTCAGAGCTGCAGAGCTGCTAGTGTCCTCCTTTTCGTTTGACCGCATGGCGGAGTTTGGACAGGCAGGCTGCGAGTCGAACAGGCATGCGAACCGAGGTTTAGGGTCCTGTCAGTCTGTCTAAGCGCCCAGAAAGCCTCAATTCTTGGCTCGACGCTCGAACACGATACCGAAACATGCGGGGTACCCCACACTCACACAACACACTGCCATTGTGGGCCTCCCCTCCAGCCCGTCAACCTCGACTTGGCGGAGTTTGGGCGTTGTCCCGCGTTGTGAAGCAATATTGTCCCTCGTCCCCAACCATTTGACATTGTCTGGGACCTTCCCCACATCCCCGACTGGGGTTTCGGCACGGAAGTCAAGGCAAACAAGACTTTGAGCGTTGTCCGCGACGAGGATACATGCATTCGAGGTCGATGTGCGTGCTTTGCCCTGGATCGACCTGCCGATGCAGCATGCTGAAGCCTGATACGTCTCGATGAGTTGTGAGGCCATGCTTTCCTTTCCGCTCTGTGTTCTTCTCTTTTTGCTCGACGTTGCGTTCCTACCTCGGATCGTGCAAGATATCCGCGATCCTGTGGCAATTGTATCGGCGTAGAGGCAGATTCAGTCCCTGCGTCTAGCCTCGCTGCCATACCCCGCAATCTTTGCCTGCACATTGCTGCAGCTTTTGCCGCTTTGCTCGGTTGCTCAACACCTCAGGAACGCTTCAGACACCAGAGATCTCGGTTGCCCTCGTATCGACGTGCATTGCAACCATGCTTCGCCCCGCACGAGGCCAACGAACATAAAAGCAAAGCATGTTCGAGGCTTGCATCGATCGAAAAGTCGTCAAGTCCTTCGTCGAGATCCACGACCGTTGACTGTTACCCGAGGTCTCTATCGTCGAACGATAGCAGCACCCGTTTCCCTCTTCACCAAGCTCTTCAAACTCCCAAGCCCACAAGCACGCACAGATCGAAAACTTGCCACCATGGCGGACGAGATCAAGAAGACTTCTTCGCTCGACATCGAGACCAACACCTTCGATGGTGATGATCAGCCGCTCGAGGTCAACAAGTCCACGGTCCATGCCTCGGGCACGGTCCAGCTGACCGCTGGCAAGGTGGTGTACATTCCGGCACCCACGTCGGACCCTCGCGATCCACTCAACATGCCCATGTGGCAAAAGTCGGTCGTCGTTGTGATCCTCTCCTTCTTTTCGGTTATCGGCCTCGGCATCGTCAGTGGCTTTGGTGGTCTGCTCGGCTTCTACATCCCCGAGTATGCCGCCATTGGCAAAGGCTACAAGGAGATCAGCTACATGCTCAGCCTTCCCAATCTTACCATGGGCATCGGCAACCTCATCGGTATGCCTCTTGCTGTCGCTGTGGGCCGTCGCAGCGTGTTCCTCGTCGCCACTGCCATCATGTGCATCTCGATCGGTCTCTGCGCTGGTGCTGGAATCGCAGGCGCTCACTACAACTGGCATCTCGCGGCTCGCCTTTTGCTCGGTCTCTCTGCGGGCCAGAGCGAGGCTTTGGTGCCCATGATCACCCAAGAGATCTGCTTCCTGCACGAGCGCGCACGCTTCCTCATGGTCCAGCAGACGATCCAGGTGATCGCTTGCGCCATCTTCATCCTCTTTGCTTCGCCCATCGCAGGTGCCATCGGCCCACAGTGGTGGTACGGCATCGGATGCATCATGAGCGGCGTCTGCTTCGTCGCTGCCTTCTTCCTGCTGCCAGAAACCAAGTACTACCGACCTCAATCTGCATACCAGGAGAACGCGGACGACAGCAGCGCCAAGGAAGGCCAGACGGGCTCGAACTTTGTGCTGCACACCGAGCGCCCTCCTCTGGACTTCGAGACGTACGAGGCTCGAAGCATGCGTTCCGACCTGCGCCTCGTGGTTGGCAAGCCCGAGTGGAACAAGGCCTGGATGGTGTTCCGGGATGCGTGGACCATGCTCTGGTTCCCCAACGTGCTCTGGGCTCTGCTCATCAACGGTGTCACGCTCGGGTGCAACATTGCGCTCTCGATGACCTACGGTTCCATCGTCGGCAAGGCACCTTACAACTGGTCCAACGACTCGGTCAGCTACGCCAACACAGGCCAGATCGCCACCTCGCTCGTGGCGCTGCCCGTGTTCGGCTACGGCAGCGATTTCATCATCAAGTGGTTCGCCAATCGACGCGGCGGCATCCACGAACCGGAGACACGCCTGATCCCGCTCATCTTCCCCATGATCATCGGCATCTTTACGATTGTGCTTTACGGTCAAGGCGCCACGCACCCGGAACAGTACCACTGGTTCCTGTACTGCTGGTGCATCGCCGCCTACTACTTCTGCTTCGTAGGCGCCAACATTGTCACCATCACGTATTTGCTGGATGCCTACCCTCAACGTGCCAGTTCGCTCCTCGTCATTATCTGCGCTTACCGTGGCATCATGTCGTTCGGAGTCAGCTACCGTGTTTGGGACATGATCGCAGCTCTCGGCTACGACGGCGCCTTCAACATGTTCGGAGGCCTCACGGCTCTCGTCAGCGTCATGGCTATCGGTGTCTACTTTTTCGGCAAGCGCATTCGTGTCTTTACCTCGCGATTCGTCACTGTTCGCGACAAGGAGCAGTAGAGCAATGTTCATTCTGTAGGCAATATGCAAAGGTTTCTGGTGGTTCGCAATACAAAACATTTCCTTTCCGTCCTTTCCTTAACTTCTGCAGATGTTGCCGTGTCTCTGAGGTTGTTAAAGAAAATGTACGCTGTGAGCGCCATGCGGTCGCCTTGGTTCCCACACATGCTGAGCAACTGCGTACCTTGCATGTGTTTTCTGCAAAACTCGCTGCTTCAGTGCTGCGTCGCCACGCCAAGATTGAACGGTTCAACGCACTGTTCGGTGAACCAGGTCGGATCGACGAGCTGGGCGCTGGCCTCTCCCCGCGAAAAACCAGTGTAGCTGCGGGGATTCTCAAAACCTGAAAGGAACCGAGGTGACTGCTCAGATGCTCGAAACGTCCTCGGTCGAGACAGAGTTCACCAGCGGTTCGTTCGGTTGCTCTCGACAGCGACTCGATCCGAACCGAAGCCAAGCAAGCTCGGAACGAGGGTCGAGCAAGCTAGCGTCTGTTAAGCCTTGATGCCAGAACAAGAAACGTGTTAGAGTGCTGGTGCGAAGGTGACCCCACTGCAACCGAGTTGGTCAGTGTTGGACGCTGTCTGCGGCTGTCGCACAGCGCGTCCTCGGATCGGCTCCACCAACAACCATTGACAGATCAACGGTTCGTGTTGGTTTCCTTCATATCGTCTTGATGCACGCTGTTACGAACCGCAGTTTACATTCTTGCATTCCTTGCTCCGCGGACTTGGCACAGTTTCTTTCCAAGCGATTCTTTGACGCGGCTACGGTCGCGTTCGCGAGTGCCTTGAAGTACTTTGTATATACACTCTTGCCACCGTCCGTGCTCTTGTTTGACACCGTCCACCACCTCCAAACAGGCTTCAGATCGCAAACATGGCTTCAAGAACGTCAAAGGAACAGCCAGCTGAAGAGGTGGCGCTGCCAACTCTCGAAGCGGTCGATACGCGGATGAGCGAGTTCGTACCTCCCGTCATGTCAACGTGGCAGCGACGACTAATCATGATCTCGCTGTGCCTGACCATGTTCCTCTGCGCGCTCGATGTGACCATCATCTCGACCGCTCTGCCCACGATCGCACGCGAGATTGGCGCCACAAGCCAGCAGTATGCGTGGATCAGCTCCGGCTTCACCCTCGCCAACACCGCCTCGACGCCTGTCTGGGCCAAAGCCTCGGACATCTTTGGTCGTCGCCCGATCGTCGTCACTGGCGCCGTCATCTTCATGGCGGGAAGTCTCGTCTGCGCGCTCGCTCGGGATGGAGCTATGCTCATCGGCGGTCGTGTGGTGCAAGGTCTGGGCGCGGGCTGCTCGATCGTCATGATCACCATCATTATCGGCGATCTGTTCGCGTTGAAGGACCGCGCAAAGTACTACGGCTTTACAGGCATCGTCTGGGGCATCTCGAGTGCCATTGGACCGGTTCTGGGAGGTATCTTTGTGCAGACGATCGGGTGGAGGTGGTGCTTCTACATCAATCTTCCCTTCGACGGGCTCGCTATTGTCGTGCTGCTCTTCGTGCTCAAAGTCGACGTCAAGCGAGAACCGATCTTGCACGGCCTGCGCACGCTCGACTGGGCTGGATTCGTCTTTATCCTTTCGGGCACGATCTTGTTCCTGTACGGACTCGAGTCGGGCGCGACGGCAGCCAAGCCTTGGTCTTCCCCCATGGTGATCTGCCTGATGGTGTTCGGCCTCCTGCTCCTCGTCGCCTTCATGGTGTGGGAAGCCCGCTTCGCCGCCAAACCCATCATCCCCGGCCGCATCTTTTCCAAGTCGACCAACATGGCCGCCTTCGTGCTCTCGTGCACCCACTCGTTCGTCTTTATCTCGTACGACTTTTTCCTTCCTCTCTATTCACAGGTGATCTTGGGGTTGACGCCGCTGATCTCGGGTGTGACGCTGTTTGCGCTCATCGTGCCGCTCTCGTGCATGCCCATGGCGGGTGCCATGGTGATCCGCAAGACGGGCAACTATACGTACATCTGCTACGTGGGTGCGGCGCTCATGACGCTCGGCAGCGGACTGTTCATCAGCTTCAAGACGGAGAGGGAGTGGGCCAAGATCATCGCGTTCCAGGTGGTGACCGGTCTGGGTGCCGGGTTGCTCTTCCAGAGCCCGATGATCGCGCTGCAGAGCCACCTGCATCAGAGGGACATCGCGGCAGCCATGTCGGCGTACAACTTTTTGCGCAATCTGTGCACCTCGATCTCGGTCGTCATTGGCTCGGTGCTCATCCAGCACTCTTTGCCAAAGGGAAGCAGCATCACTTCGCTCCATGCAACCAGCTCAGAGTCGGCCACCAAGCAGCAGTACATGACGGGTCTGCGCAACATGTGGACCTTCTACACTGCGCTGTGCGGTCTGATGATCGTCGCGTGCGCATTCATCAAGCAGAAGCGAACTGCGCCCAAGTCGGAGGAGGAGGCCAGCACAGCCAGCAAGGAGGATGTCGACGACAAGGTGGTCGAGAAACAAGACACAAACTCGTAGTCGTCCAGCAGAGCATTTCCCATTGAGCAATTGAATAGTATTGATCGAAACAATCACGGCTTGATGTATGTGTCCCAGGCAGTGTAGAATCCCTCCATCTTCCAGCGAATCGCCTGCATCTTTTCCTGCATCTCCTTGGACTGCCAAACGTTCCACCACTTTTCGTGCAACGCGTGAATGCCGACACTCTCGCTGGTGTCTTCGATCGTGGGTCGGTGGAGCGACCACAGGGGCGGGAGCATCTTGACGGGCAAGTTGCCAGCTGGGTTGAAGACGTGGTTGAGGAGATCCTGCTCGGCCCAGTAAGGTGTGAACTTGTCCTTGACCCTCAAGATCGACTGCATGTAGTTGAACATCTTCACGTCGGGTTTGGTGACGAAGAAGCCACCGTTGGCGTAGTCGATGCCGGTCCAACCGGGCTCGAAGTCTTCCTGGGTGGGCGGATGGTGGTGACCGCTCTGCTTGATCTCGTGCTGGCCGGCAAAGACGTACTCGGTAGGCTGCGGTTCTTCGTCGGCGTAGACGAGCGTCTGGTTGTTGACGTTGGGGAACGTCTGCGCTGCCGTCTCGTCAAAGATGTCGTCGAGCCGTTTGAGCAGGATGTGGTCGTTGTCGATGAACACGACCCGGTCGTACTGGGTCCATTGCCAGACGTACAGCTTGTTCCACACGCCGATGAAGCGGTTCCTGTCGTACTTTCGGTAGAGCGGTGGGTCGATCTCCTGCTTGGCGCGGAACACGGTGATGCCATCGCGCTCGAGTCGATCAACCTTGGCCTGGCTGACGTTGGGGGTAGCAATCACTACAAAGGGCGCACCGAGCTGCGTCCTGGTCTCGGGATCGTGGAGCAGCTGGTAGCCGAGAATGCGCGTCGCGACAAAGTACTTGTCATCGTAGATGGTCGACTCCTTGGCTACGTTTTCGTCCTTGGCGGAGAGCAGCGTTGCGTACGCCACCTTGAGCCTCTTGGGCTCGTTGAGAGCTTGTGTCTTTGCTGCCGCTGAGGAGGTAAGAGACTGTGCAAGGAGACCCAAGAGACCACCAGCGACGAGCAGCACGGGTACAATGATGAGAAGGAGACGAAGGCCGCGCTTCCTGGTCTTGTCTTGGAATGCCCAGTGCCTCGGATGGAGACCTTGGCTGTAATGCAAACTGTGATGTTCGCCGCGTTCGATGTTGAGGCTCTCGAGCGATTCCTTGCCTGATTGCTCAAAGTCGAGGCGATCCTCTTCCCGGCTGTCGGCCTCGTCAACGGACTGGTATGGAGAGTGGATGGCCACCATATTGCGTTGTTGCCGAAAAGACGGTGAGGCCAGGTTGTAGATGGTGGTGTGAGGTGCCAAGGTCGAGGCAGGAGGTATGAAACCTTGTCGAGCGAGAAAGATGAGCACGACAACAACACTCAAACATTCGAAACTTGTCCCATTGGAAAGCAAGCATCAGGGCCGTGACTGTCAAGCTGCGTACACACTGTCAAAGACTTGTCGACCGGAGCCAGGCTGGCAATCACCAAATACGACCACGCTGACAGGCCAGAAGCTGTGCGTGAGGTCGTGCACCACCGGCGCAAGCTTGTTCTTGTCGGACAGCATGACGAGCACCGCTGCAGAGGGGATCGAGAACGCGCTGAGCTGCACATTGGAGGCCCAGAGGTTAACGGTTCGATCGCGAAAGATGTATTCTAGCGTGATGCCCGCCACCGAACTGAGCACTGCAGCCGTGGCTACCTGGAGCGTCGCCAATGCGGTCGAAGACAACTCCTTGTGACCGACCTGAACCTTTTCGCCGTGAGCGTGACCCATGGTGGCGTACTTGACGCACAGCACGCCGCCAAAGATGCCCAAGATGCACACCCACTGCTGCCATAGGATCTGTCGCTTGAGCACGAATCGACTCAGCACAGCGCTGACCAGCAGACGCATCTGCCACAGCGCCTGGAAGAAGGCAGGATCCAGCTCGGTAGCTCCCACCAGGCACAGGTTGTTCTGCGCCACGTACAGCAGCGCCGGTACGATGAGTCGAAGCCCCTGTCGTGCAAAGATTTGGGAAAGAACGTGGTGGTAGAGCGTTCGAGGCGCGGTCGAAGCGTTGGGCAGTTCCGCTTCCGGTGCATCGCTGACGAGATTGTCGGTCGAGGCATTCGCGTCGTCCTCCTCGCTCTCGTCTGTGGCGAGCTTGGTGTAGGTGGCCTGCTGGTCGACGCGGTCGGCTTGGCGTTCCTTGTGCAATGCCCTTGTCAAGAGGATGCTTGCGCAAGAGATCTTGACGCTTTCGATCAAGAGCACCGTGAGGTAAGGAGAGTAGGCGACATGGCGGATCGCTTGATGCTGAACGATGCCCACGCCCGAGCGAATCGCGCTGATGGCTGCGATGAGTGATGTCAAAGACGCCGACATGTTGACCACAACAGAATGGAGGTCGAGATGGTTGAGGAAGGAGGAGATGGAATGTGCCAATGGTCTAACGGGGATAACTCGCATGGAAGAACAAGCAAAGCGAGCAACGCAATGTCGATCATGTCTGATCCACGGGCCTGTCACTTGCGGTACCTCTCAAGAGCGTTGGATCTGCAGCCACAACTGTCAACACGGGAAGCACGGAGCGAGTCCCATCTGCACATGGCACTGTCTGATCTCGCACCAAAAAAGGTACGCACATGGGCGACTCTTGATGGGCATACCTGCTCCTAGACAATAGCTGTTGCTGCCTCGAGACAATGGCTGTTGGCAAGTGTCGAAAAGTGCCAGAGCCGTCTAAGCGCGAACGCGTCTATTGTTGTAATTCCATTCACAATGCAGGCCGAGCGAGACAATACAAAACGGAATTCATGCTCCGCCCAATCTGGTGCAGATCAAGCAGCAGCACAAACTTGGAGCTCAGCTCTGCGATGGGATGGGATGATTGGGATTGCTCGATGCGGATTTTGGCTGCAAGCGTGCATTCAAGCCCACACACGTGGTGTACAAGCTGGCACTTGACGACACTCGATTCTTTGATGCAAAGTTTCTGACAGCTTTCCTGCAAGACTAGCCGAGCCCCGAGTTCAAGGGTCCACTACGATGCCGCAGGTACGGCACGCACTTGCTCGACAATGGATCACAAGATCCTCGGTGCGCTTCTGCAAATTACTGCGAGAAGAGTCCGAGGCGACCAGAGAGGGCAAGACGATTCGGCCAGCCAGCTCAGCAGTTGCAGGAGAGTTTGGCTGTCGTCGCTGTCCCCCAAGCGAGCCCTTTGATCCACCGCCATTGCGATTTCCGAAGATTGCGATACAGCTTGGGCCTGGTTCATCGGCGATCAGCTATGCTGCAGAAAAGGGGATCTCGATAGAGGAGTGCTGGCGGGAACGCGCATCTGCAGATCTCTCCGCCACCCAGTCAAGATTTGCGAATGGCTGCTTACCTATCCCAGAGCTCTTCGCGCTGTATCACACCATATGCTAACATTCAGACTCATGCGCCCCTCTTCCTCTTCTTCTCATATTGAAAACAACCACACACCTTTTGGGGAAGACTGAACGAACTGCAAATTTGCAAAGGCAACAATATAGACACCATGCGCTGAGTGTTGAGACCGCAACCTAATAATCCTTGACACCAGCGAGGCGCAAGAGCTGGTCGGTCAGCTCTGGCTTCTCGAGTGGCTCTGAGCGGTACTTGGGGCAGATCTTGCCGTTTCGCATCGGCTTGTCCTCGGCGGGACGGATGTTGCAGTGGGGCCAGTGGGTGGTGCCGATCCAGTTCTCGAAGCACTTTTTCTTGGCAGCGAGCGCCTCTTCGTTGGCATACGCTTTGGGGGTCATGCAGATGTACTGGACGTGACGGATCTGCTCACCTTCGGGAAGACGAGCGTAGTGCATCGTCCTCGAGTCCCATAGAACGAAATCGCCAGGCGCCATGTCCACCTTGAACATCTCGCAGCCGCGCTCCTCGAACCACTTGATGTCCTTCTCGCTGAACAGGAACAGGTCCATGTACTTGAGCTCGGGAGGGGGTGCGTCTTCGTGATCAGCAGACTCGCGCTTGTGCGCGAAGAATTCGTTGAACAGCTTGGCAGAACCGCGCATAAGCATCAGTCCACCATCCTTGGGTCCGTTGGGTGCGTAGTTGAGCAGACCCTGCACCGCCTGCATACCTTTACGCTCTGGGTTCTGGTCGCAGTGAGGCCAAGGGCTCCAGTTGAGATCCTTGCGGTTTGGCAGAGAAATGTTCATGCCGTCGAACGAGCACAGCAGCTCCTTGGTGCCCCAGAGCTTTTCGAAGATCTCGACGATCTTGGGCTCGGTACGTGCCTCCCATGCCATCTTCTCGTGGGTGGAAGCGTAGGCAAAGTACATGCCACCCTTGAAGCTGATGGGGAGGTGATCCGCCGTCCACGTCTCGGGATCCTTCTCGTCAAAGCCAAGGTCGAAGCTCTTGAGCCACTGGATCTGCTTGTCGGCGTAGTACGCAGCGCGCTCGGGCGAGATGACATTCTTGATGACGACGCAGCCGTTCTTGTGGAACTCGTCCCTCCAGTCACCGTACACGGCGTTTTCGTCAAACGTGATCAGATCCTTGGTCTCGAAGCGAGCACCGAACGTGCGATCCTTGGCCTCGGGTGCCTCGAAGGACGAGGTGGCAGTGACGGTGGTAGTGGTCGACATGTTTGCTGTGTAGTGTAGTTGGCTAAAGCTCGATGAGGAGCGATGGCAGCGAAGACCGACTGTAGGTCACTTCTATATAGCCCAGACGAGCGACCGATCATCCCGCTTCGAAACACGACACACAATTGCTCAGGAAGCTTGCCACAGACACCACACAAGCTCGGTCCGGAAGGTGTTGCAGCCAGTCCTCAGCGGTGGAGACTCGCACCTCGGAGAAACGCTGGGAATGCTGAGCTGGTATACAATGTCTTGTGGGGCAAAAAATCAATTTTAACCTTTTATCGCGGTTTTTTTCCTCGGTTTTTGCACAAGTCGACGTAGGCGAGATGGTTCGGCTGCCATCTCGACCGAGATTGAATGGACCCTGTGACCGGACCATCGAGCCGTGTTGCCACTATGCAGAAGCCATTCTTACCCCGCATCCCCACACTGTGGCAACCCTCGTTCGGCGCTTGGTTGGGGCTATGGGTCCGTAGAAGCACATGTTGTCGCCCCCCGGACCGAAACAACCATCCACGCCACCACTGCGGTCAGGTCTCGGCCATTGTGGGGCCCAAAGATGCTTTTGGCGAAGGATGCAAAAACCGAGCGGATCGGATCCAGAGAGATCTTCCTTCTTGGTCGGCTAACCGGCTTCTCCTCCAAGTGTTGGTCTCTCGGTCGCTGTTGGACGGTTCATGTTGACGAAGCATTTCCAGGTGTTTGCATTTAATCGTCATGCTATGGTCCTTGCTTCCTGTTTTCGCCTCTCATCAATCCAATCTCGGTCAGAAGACATCCCACAAGCAGGGCCAGGAGAATTGTCTTGACCAATCGTCTTGTCATTGCAGCAGAGCTAGATTTCGAACGAGATGCCGATCCCATACCAAGTAGCGTTCAAGCCATTGAACCCGCCCAAGGTCGGCGACAATGGCTACGTCGAGCCCACACCAGGTAAATCTGAAGTGCTCAAGAAAGGCTCTGCACCCTTCGGCTGTCGAACGCTCGACTCGGACGTACGTATCGACCACGATGTCGAGATTGTAGTGCGGGACGGCTGCCGTCTGTACGCCGACATCTACCGACCCGCGGACGATCAAGACAACGTGCCCGTCATCGTCTCTTGGTCTCCCTACGGCAAAAAGTACTCGGCGATCGACATGATCTTCAACGTGTGCATGTGGCGGTGCTGCATCAAGGACGAAGACGTCAGTGGACTCGAAAAGTTTGAAGGCTTGGATCCGGCCTACTGGGTGGCGCGTGGATATGCGATCGCCAGCGTCGACGCTCGCGGTGCAGGAAACAGCGACGGCGACACGCTCGTCCTGGGCGCGCAGGAAGCCGAGGACATCCACGACGTCATCGAAGCTCTCGCTAAGCTTCCCTGGTGCAACGGCAACGTCGGTATGGCTGGAAACTCGTACCTCGCCATCTCCCAATGGCACGCCGCTGCGCAGAACCCACCTTCGCTCAAAGCCATCGCTCCATGGGAAGGATCCGGTGATATCTTCCGCGAGCAGTTCTGTCGTGGCGGTTGGTTCACCCTGTCGAACTTCGACCTCATCACCACGCTCGTCATCAAGGGCAAGCACGGCGTCGAAGACTTTGACGAGATGCACCGCCGCTCGCACCTCGCCAACATCTACTGGAACGACAAGCGCGTCGACATGTCCAAGATCAACATCCCCTGCTTCATCACCGGTTCCGACTTTAGCCAGATCCATACGATGGGAGCGATCAGGGGGTGGATGCAGGTCAACACGGACAAGAAGTGGATCAAGTGGAGCGGATACCAAGAATGGTTCGAGCTGTACTCTGTTCCAGAGAGCAACGTCGAGCTCAAGGTGCGTAGCCATATCGCCTCATCTTTCTTCTTTGGCTCTGCATAGATGCTGACTGATTGTTTATTATGTGACACACTACAGCTCTTCTTTGACAAGTACCTCAAGAACATCGACAACGACTGGGAAAAGACGCCCAAGGTGCGTTGGGCCACCTTGCCCTTTGGCGATCGCGATGTCAAGCACGACATTGTCCTGCCCGATTTCCCTCACCCTTCCACCGACTACCGCAGCTTCTACCTCGCCGCCGACGGGCAACTCTCCTCGACTCTCCCCGACCCCACCGGCTTCTCGTCTCACAACTCGGAAGAGCGTTTTTCCATCTCCAAGTTCAAACACACCTTCACCTCGGCCACCCGGCTGATCGGCATCCCCAAAGCGGAGCTGTACATGTCGTGCGATGCGCTGGACGATCTCGTCGTATTCGTGCAGCTGCGCAAGCTCGATGCTTCCGGTAAAGAACTTTCGCAGCTCCAGTTCCCGCTTTCGCGCGCTCCCGTAAAGTCGATTGACGACATGAAGGAGTCGGAACGACAGAGTCTCTCGCTGCACAATGGATCGATCGGCGTGCTGAGGGCTAGTCAACGCAAGATCGACGCCAAGCGCTCGCTGCACGAGAACTTCCCCTTCCACCCGCACGACGAGATTTGGAAGGTCACCCCCGGCGAAGTTGTCAAGCTGGACATCGGTATTTGGGCTATGGGTGTCGACTACGAGGCGGGCGAGAGCATTCAGGTGGACATCTTGGGTCAGTGGCCCGGCTTCAGCGAGGTGGCGGCCTTCCACAAACCACGACCCGAGTCGGAGAAGAACAAGGGCGTTCACAAGGTGCACTTCGGTGGTCAATATCCCAGCCGTGTCATCTTGCCCTTTGTTCCATTGTAGCGGCTGGAGAAAAGGTTCCAATTACATTCTTTACAAGCGGACTGCAGCTGGTGCGTGCGCTACCACTGAGGGAACCAAACCTTGTCGCCGGTATCGATCAAATGCTCCAGCATCTCCACCCTGGGCATGACTGTGCCAAAGAGCTTGTCGAAGATCCTCGTCTGCTTGCCGTAATTGCCCGACGTCTTCCAGCCCTTGGAATGGTGCAGATCGTGGTCCTCGATGACAATATCCATATCCAATCTACGCAAAGGCAGGTAGTCGAAAGCAGGTGCGGTTCCTGCACAGCGAATCCCACTGTGACCCATCAACTCGAGCAGCTCTACGTACGTCCAGCACAGCATCCAATCGTAGAACCCCATGGGCAGCACCGCCTGGACGGTGAAATGAGCCAACATGGGGATGACTAGCACATCGAACCACTCTTGCACGCCATCCGCGTACAACGCCAGCACCGTAGTGGGCAGTTTTGCGGTGTGATGCGTTCGATGAAACCTCCATAGCAGCTCGGATTCGTGCATCAGACGGTGGTACCAGTAGAACCAGAAATCCACCGCGATGCTGAACGCGGGGATCAACACCGGCAACCAAGGTGACACCCGCATAGCATCGTTCGGATCGTAACACAGCAGCGTCGCCGCTACAGGTCGGAGGAACCCGGTCATGGCCAAGGATCGCAAAACCTCAGCCACCCGGTGGTCGGGAATCCCATCGCGTGCCTTGCTCGGCTGCAGAAATCCCACTTGCCCCGCCACCCTCCGAGTGGAGTGGATCACATTGATTCCGTACAGCGAAGTGTAGGCGCCCCAGAAGACCATATTGATGAGCGGAGTGAAGTTTCGTCCGGTCAAATGCGTGTAGGCGTACTGCAGGGCGAAGGCTGCACCGAAGCGGAGCAGGATGAAGATGTGTGCGCTGAGGTTGTTCCACACCGGAATCGGGTCATTCTTGTCGTGGACGACGGTGGTGGATGAAGGTGGTAGCGGATCGATGTCGATGAGGTGGACAAGCCAGTGGTAGAGACCCCAGCCTTGGGTGTTGTCTTGTCGATGCCAGGTCGATTTCAGTGGACCTTGCGATGGTCGAACTGGCTGCCGCGAGGTAGCTTTGCCCTCGACGAGCCTTGTCGCTTCGACCGTTTCTGTCATGGCAAGAGTTTGTCAAGTAGACTCGGATGTCGAACAAAGCGTCAATCGTTACGGCAAAGAATGCTTCTTATATCAATCCAGTCAAAGCATCCAACGCCGAGCATGACAGCTTCCCCAGGGTCCGCGAGCCGCAAATATGTGACATGTGAAAAACCAAAAAAACCGTGAATCCGAGCATCTCAGCGCTTGTCAAATCTCGCTCTTGCTGGCTTACGCGCCTTGACAGCTGCCAGGAAGGGTTCGACAGATCTGCAAGAAACTGTTGGGTGCGTGATTGAGACTTGGACGGTCTGCTTTTTCAACTCGCCAACCCATCACAGATGGCTACTTTCACACCAGATGTCTTGCAAATCGTGACTGTCATTTCTATCGACACACATGACGCAGAAGCCCGTAGCATCCGAGACGGGGGTATAAAGCAACGTTCAGCGCTTGAAGAAACGCTGCTGCTGACGCATGGCCCACTTGTCCATCCTGTCGCCGAAAAAGTAGAAGGGGATGCCAGCGACAAAGGCGGCCGCCGTGACGCCGGCGAGCACGCTGTAGGCCCACTTGGAGCTGTGCATCGTGACCATGGGCAGCGTTCCCTGCGTGATGCCGTAGCTGATGATGTTCTTGGCGCCCACGACGAACAGCAGCGCAGCACCCGGATTCTTGGGGTAGGCGACCGTGGCGAACGCCGACCCAATGATGAGCATAGAGGTGAAGGCGAACTGGTTGAGGAACCACGCCATCACGGGTCCGGCCCACGTCGCCTCGCCTGCAGCAGTGAAGGCGTAGAGCATCAGCGAAGCAAAAGAAATCAGACCAGGCACGATCGAGACGACCAGGTAGTGGCCAGGACGAAGCACGCCGCCGTTGCGCTTGGCCATGGCCATGACGATGCGATCGCCGACGGGACCGGCGTAGAACATGCCAAAGAACGCGCCACACATGCCACCGATGGCGATGAGACCGGCATTGGCGGGCACCCAGTGGTAGACGGCGATGAGCACCATCGAGTAGGTCAGCGACAAGGCGATAGAGCAGCCCAGGACGACGGTCAGCAGCAGCGCCATGTACATGATCGAAGGGCACATCATGGCCAGCACAACATCCCCAAGAGTGCGGCCGGCGATGCGCAGCGCAGGTCGCTGCATACCGGACCACGGCTTCAGAGCGCCGACAAAGGACAGCTCGCCCGACTCGGCATCAGCAGTTCCGTGCTCCGACAGCGAGCGGAATCGTCCTTCGCGCGTAGCCGCCTGCAGCTGTTCCGCCGTCATGGCGTGGTTGACTCCGTACTTGTCAACTACGTACCAGACGCCGTCCTTATGCTGAGGTGGACGATCGTAGGCGGTCTCGGTGAGGAAGAAGAAGGCGATCACGAATCCGACAGCGGCAGCGATGACGTAGATCCAGTAGAACCACCTCCAGCCCATGCTCGCCACTTGGTAGGAGCCAGCGAGGTTGAGCGCCGATGAGAAGACGTTCTGCGATGCCCAGTAGATGGCGAAGATCTTGCTGCGCTCATGAACAAAGGAGATCTCGGTGATCATCAACGGAAGCAGCGATTCCGAGATACCAGCGGCGAGACCTTGGACGATACGGGTGGCGAGGTGCTGCTCGAACGTTTGCGCCACCGCAGAGCCGGTGCAGCCAGCGATCAGCACAACAGTAGCGCACAGAGCCACGGGTCTACGCCCAAACACCATCGACAGGGGCAGAACGATCAAGTTTCCAAGACCCACCATGACCGAAGGCAGCGTGCTGAGCCAAGTGACCTTCTCCGGCCCCTGTTCGTGGTAGAGCCCGTAGAAGGTGCTCATGATCGGACCGAGACCACCGATGAGTGCCAGCGAAAAGATCGAGAACCAGCAGCAGCTGATGACGATCCCCAGCTTGCGCCACTTGTTGTAGTTGAGAGGGTCGCGCGGACTCGAACTTGGAATAGGCCATCGTTGTGTCTCGCCGTTGTCGTCCACCAGCTGGACGTTGGTGGCGACGATCTCGGCCGATGAGGAGGAGGGGAGCTTAGCGAGGCCATCGCTGTCAAAATTGGCCGTGTTGGTGTGGACGAGGTCCGACTTCTTCTCGTCGAGGCTGCTCTGCTCGTCTGGCTGGCGGTGGGATTGGATCATGTTGCTGTCGTGAGCGTCAGCCATGGTGATGAATAAGAGTGGAGGTGAGGGGAGACCTGGAAGGAAGTGGTCGATGGAACACAGTGGGCCGGGGGTAGCACAGTGGAGCCAAAGATGGATCAACTTATAGACATTGACCGTCGTGCACACCCGAATGTAGGAAGCTTCGCGCAAGGTGTCGGCGAGATGCACGTTGTTGCAAGCGATCTTGCATGACCGCGTGCCTCGTCCGTTCCGCTACACTCTCCGTATGCCTCCGCGTTCTGCTTCAACAGTGTGCCTGAGACCATAGCTGCACCCGACGCAAAGCTTGTCGGGTCGAGGCCATGCCAAGCGACACGATGTGCCGGAAGAGTAGGCACTTCGGCCCGGGATTCGGGTGGTGGACGACGTCTTGTTTCCCAGCCGAAACAAGCTGGGAAAGAGAGAGGGATGGCGGTGATGGTGGTACGAGGCTGGGGAAGAATGCGGGGCTCCTCAGATGTCTTGTCGCCTCTTCCGTGCACCTTTCGGCTGGGCCTCAGGCACCCGCCAATGAGACGATGAACAGCGGTAAGATGAAGTGTGCGGGGAATTTCAGAGACCAAGTGCCCGTCGGCTGAGCCCAAATTCCGGGGTCTTCGGCTGGCAAACGATCTGGGGAAAGTCCGTAGCCAAGCCACAGTCTATGAGAGATGGGCCGTTCCTGATTCGTTGCCGCGGGCCATGTGGTCGAGCATCATTTTAAACTCCGAGCCGAAGCGCGAAGCCAACCCCCACTTTGAGATTGAACCGAGAGGCGATCATGCAGCGGAGCATGTTAGGTTGAGGCGTCGACATGGCAGCCCTAGCCAGGGTCCAGGCGGGGGTAGCGCTTACATTGAGACGCTCCCTCGATGGAGTGCCGCTTAGATCGGCCTTGTTCGGTCTCGAAGGTGGCACACATCAGAAGATAAGATCACCGCTCGACATCCAAGCTCACTTGCGGAACAGATGGTCCGTGTTTCTCCTTCTACCACGACCAGGAATCATACCAACATGACATCAAAGCCGTTCGACATCATCATCGTGGGCGCTGGCATCGCCGGCCTCGCCGCCGCTGTGGCTCTCAAGGCGCCCGGAAGACGCATCACGCTGCTCGAGCAGTCCAGACTCAATCGCGAAGTCGGCGCCAACATCTCGCTGCAGCCCAATGCGGTCAAGATCGCCAAGCGTTTCCTCGGGCTCGACTCGTATCTTTTCGGCGACGCCTCGATCGGACGGGGTGTACCGGACAAGGCCTTTCTCATCTACGGCACCGACGACAAGCTGCATATGCGCATCGGACTCGAGACGGATCAGTACGGAGAAGATCGAATCTGCTTCCATCGAGTGGACCTGCACACAGGACTTCGTCAGGCAGCGTTGGACAGCGGCGCCGAGATCAAGACGGCATCCAAGGTCGCCAAGGTGGACGTAGATGCCGGCAAGGTGTATCTCGAGTCTGGAGAGGAGCTGACAGCAGACTTGATCGTAGGAGCTGATGGCATCCGCTCGGCTGTGCGAACCGCCGTGGTCGGCCACGATCAGGGTGCTCTGCCCACCGGGCTGTCTGCTTTCAGGACACTGATCCCCATCCAAGATTTGCAGGGCATCCAAGGTTTGCCTCAAGGCGTCGAGCTCGGCGCCAGCCAGACTCTGATGATCGTAGGTCGCAATTGCCGGCTGGTAATGGGACCGTCTCGAGGTGGCACGGTCCTTGGCGTTGTTGGCCTGGTCCCGGACACTGAGGAGATCAAAGGAGCCACCACATGGAACATGGAGGCTTCCACGGAGGATTTCCTTAAGAGCTACGAGGGCTTCCCGGAATGGACTCGCGAGATCATTCGACGATCCGTAGAGCCCAGCATCTGGCAGATGCGCGACATTGCGCCCTTGCCAGCATGGAGCAAGGGCAAGGCCGTGTTGATCGGCGATGCTGCTCATGCCATGCTCCCCACCCAGGGGCAAGGCGCTTCGCAATCGTTCGAGGATGTTGAAGCGCTTCAGTACTTCTTGCGCGACATTGACGCATCGAGCAGCGAGCACGAGGTGCAGCAAGCATTGGCGGCTGTATACTCGGCTCGTCATGAACGAGCGTCATTGATCCAGGCCTACAGTCGAGAGCAGGCCAAACCCGGCACCAGCGCCAGCGGCAAAGTGACGTTGAACCCGCGCGAGTTTATGGATTACAACTGCAAGTACGAAGGAGTTGCTTCTTGGCTGGCACAGCAAGATTCCAAGGCACGCAAGCAGCCGAGCGTGTCTTCGGCGTCAGTTGCGTCGGCGCCTGTATCTGTCCTCACTTCGTAAGCATGTCTGTCCGAAATTGTCAATAGTGGTCATTTGCTTCGTTCTCCTGGCCTGGTTTGTTTGACAGCAGAAAGAAAGAGAGCAAGCGAGGGAGTCTGAATCGACGCCGAGACTGACCACCGTTGCTGAGCATCTTGTCGTCCGGTACGAAAGGTCACGACAAACGTCTAAGGTGCTTGCAGTCACAAGTTGGTGTCGTGCTCGACCCGCTGCAGCTCGTAGAACGTGGTGGGCTTCGAGAGGCGAATCGATTGAAATGTTAAAGCGCTGTACCTCGGTCCATCGAGTTTGCGTTCAGGGTTCAGGTCGACTTGATAAACTCGGTCCAGGTGGGGTTGCCAGCCGAGCTATCAAGGTTTGACCGCCTGTTCCAGGCCTCGCAATTTGACGGTGGCGGAGTTTCGAAAGCGGACCTGCAAGCATAGAGTGACTTGCCTCCATTGTTTTGCACATTGTCCCTCGGCAGACCCCGCAATGTATCGGGTCGGCCAGGCGAACCGCAGAGACGTCTCTCGGTTGAGCTTGCCGCAGACCGGTGGTCACAAGACACTGACTTGCCGTGGTCGCCTCGGTCAACACCATTCCTCGGTTCTCTCGGCTTGGGATCCGAAGTGGCAGCCATCTGTGGCGCTGTGGCGAACCGCTATGCCGTGTGACATCCTTGCTCGCCAAAGGTCCGAATGGATATATCTACGACGCCTCGAGTAGCAGCTCTGGCACCTCCTATTGCTCATCCAAGGTAGCTCCTCCTCGACTAACTCTTGAACATGCTCTCCGTCCAGGCACCCGTCGCCCCTTCGACGCTGCTCAAGCACGACGTTGTCGAACCCGCCATCAACACTGCCACCCCTAGCACCTCTTCGCAGAAGGAAAACGTCGAACTCGATGCTTGGCACCGTGACCTGCTTCGCGATGGCTACTGCGTTGTCAAAGGAGCGATCCCGCAGGAGCGAGCTCTGCAGTACGCCGACAAGATGCACGGATGGCTCGAGGGATTCAACCTCGGCTACGACCGAAACGACCTCAGCACCGTTCACAAGGACAAACTTCCGCTCATCACCGAGAAGGGCATGTGCCTCAACTACGCCGTCACGCACGAGGACTTTGTTTGGAAGATCCGCTCCGAGCCCGGTGTTGTAGGCGCCTTTTCCAAGTTCCTTGGCACCGAGGATCTCATCGTGAGCTTCGATGCGGTGAATTTTGGGTTCCCAAACCGTAAGGACCTGGCACCCAACAAGCCTTGGCCTCACCAGGACCAGGACCCGCTCAAGCCGGGCTTCCGCTGCCTGCAGGGTCTCGTCAACCTCCTGCCCAACGGACCCGACGACGGTGGACTGATCGTTTGCAAGGGCTCGCATGAGCTCTCGACGCAGTTCCACGAGGAGATGGCTTGGGAGGAGAAGATCCCTGCGTGGACCAACGAGTGGTACGGCTTCACTGACAAGGGCATGCAGTGGCTCAAGGACCACGGATGCGAATGGGTCAAGGTTTGCGCCGAGCCAGGCGACCTTCTGTTGTGGGATTCTCGTACCGCGCACTACAACCTTTCGAGCAAGACAAAGCAGCCTCGATTCTGCGTATACACGTGCTTCATGCCGGTGGCTGATGCGTCGCAGGAGGACCTGAAGCGAAAGAAGGATGCCTTCGAGCGTCGCGTCGGCACCACCCACTGGCCCAACGCTCGCCACACTGGATCGAATGTTGCGAAGCGTGACGGTGTCGACGACCCTCACAACCGTGATCGCCCCGTCGAGGAGCCCCAGCTCGACGAGCGCGCCTTCCGCTTGACGGGCATTCCTTACATCAAGGATGAGTAATTACCACATCATGCCCGTCGCCGTGTTTCCGTCTGCTTTCCATAACGCTCTAGCTCTATATCCTGTTCTGCTCGTTCAAAATCGATCTGTGTTTTGCAATTACCTGGGCCGTGTGCTCGTCAGTCGACTAAGGTCTAAAAAGAATAAATGAATGAACGAACGACATTGTGCCCCGTCTACTTCCAGCTCGTAAAGCAGTCGTGAGAGATGGAGTGACGATGCCAAAAAAACCCCACATCCCAATTTCTCGACGTTGATTGAGCTCGAATTTTACTTTCAAAATGTCAATAATATTTAAAGCAAGATGAAGACACGGGCAAGTCCGCGTGGCTAGACCTTGAGGATACAACGGCCCGCAGCTTGCGTGCATGCATGCATGTGGGGGTGAGGTCGTAGCGACCGGTTCTGTGTCACATCACGACTCTCGTTGCGGATGTTCCGAGGCTTGCTTCCGCACCACCAGGAGAGCCTCGCAAGGTCATGTGAGAGCTGGCGTGCCGTCACGCTGCTGCCTTGGCCACTTGACACCCATCACATCATTCGACAAGATCGCTATGGCCGACGACGAGGCGGCTCCTCCGCCCGAGCTGAAACGCAAGCGTCTGTCACACGCCTGCAAAGCGTGTCGTGCTCGAAAAGTGCGCTGCGACGAACGACTACCCGCGTGTACCAACTGCGTCAAGTCCAAGACTGAGTGCATCACCGACGATCCACGCAAGCCGCACTTGGCCAGCGTGAAGCGCACAAGAGCCTCGAGCATCGGTAGCACTGCTGCTGCTCCCGTATCGGCAACTCCGAGCGAAGAGCCGCCTGCGGATATCAAGAGCTTGCAGAGCGCGAACGACAACAAAGCCCATTCGGCAAGGCCGCGAAAACCTTCAGTCAAGCAATCGCATCCGCCGAATCGCTCTGCAGATTCATCGCGCCTCAAAGAGGATGAGGACCCGCAACTGGAGCAAGCTTCCGCCGCAGCAACCTCGCCGTGGGCTGATCCGACGTGGATGAGGAACACGCTCGGAAGCTCCTCCGCCAGCATCATCTCGGACTCGCAGGCTCAGGACCGCTTCAAGTACGTCGGCTCCTCCAACTTGCAGGTCTTTTCGCATTGGATCGACCTCCTCCTCGCAAAGCAACGCGCTTCCCACGATCACATACGCCGTAAAGCTCCCGACACGGCCATCTCTGATCATTTCGACCACGGCCGCATCCACTCCGAAGAGTATCAACTCCCTCTCAGACCCATCTTGCCGGCCTTGACTCACCTGGCTCACTTTGACGACATCCTCAACGACTTTTTCAACGACGCCAATGCCGTCTTCCCCGTCTTCGACGAAGAGGTGCTGCGTCGTGATGCCGTCCGCTTCATTCAGCAGTACCGTCTCGATGACGCTTCGCTGATGCGGCTCGACCTGATCGCTCCATACGAAGTGCCCCTCCTGGCCACCATCTACATCGTCACCGCGATCAGTCTGTTGGACGCAACACCTCGACAGCCTGATCAGGTCAAGATCTACCTCGATGCAGCCTACTCGCTCTACGGTCACATTATCGGTGTCCCTTACCTCTCGTCGGTGCAGGCACTGCTCATGCTGCATTTGGTATTGCGAGCTTCCAGCAAGGACGGTGCTGCCTGGCAGGCGCTCAGCTCTGCCATCCGCATAGCCTACTCGATCGGCCTGCATCGTGCGCCTCCATCACCGCCTCTCCATTCGGCCGCCTTGGAGAAGACGAAGGCGCGCATCTGGTGGTGCTGCTATGCTCTGGATCGCATCGCCACCTTGGATTCGGGTCGACCGACCATGATCAACGATCTCGACGTCCAACTCTCCGCACCTAGACCGATTCCGAAAGCGACGCAGATCGATGCCGCGTCGCCCAAGGCTGAGGGCTTGTCCGACCAGGTGTACAACGAACGCTATCTCGCTTGCCTCGTTTCGCTCTGTCGACTCAAAGCAGAGATCCACAATGCGCTCTACACCAGCCGCAATCAGACGGTCGACGAATCCGAGCTGTTTTCGACCATCGCCAGCTTGGACCAGAGGCTTTTGGATTGGTCTTCGACGTGTCTCACCAGTCTCCATCTACCCACCATGAGCAGCGAAGAAGCCTTGCGCGCCGTCTCGAAACCGCGCGATCTGCAAACCCTGCATCTGCTGTGCACCTTTCACTTCACCGTGATCAACGTCCATCGTGCATCCGTCATGCTCGATACCCGACTCTACCGTCATCACGTGGCGTCCAAACTGACACGACGCAAGGACCGTCTGCTGTCCGCCGAGACCATCTGCCGCGGATCCGCTCGAGCCATCATCCGATGCATCAACCAGTACTGCCTCGTGCATCGATGCAGCACACGCATGATCTCCGGCACCATCTCGCTGAGTGCCGTCTACGTCTTGGCGATCTGCATCTTCAAGCACCCGCAAGAGTGGAACGTCTCTTCCGACCTGGCGTTGATCGATAGCATCGCCAAGAAGGTCTCCAAGGATTACAGCGATGATGGCATGCCGAGCGGGTTTACGAGCATCTTTGAGACGCTCCAGAGGTTGGCGGTTCAGTGTGTGAGGTGCAGCGTTAGCAGACCACCGAGTCCTCCGCTCGCGGAGCTGGGAAGGGAGAAGGAGGAGAAGGACAAGTGGCAAGGCGGAGATGTCAGCTTGGAACCTTTTTGGAAGAGTCTGGGCTTTGGGAACGTCTTGTCGAACGTCGACGATTCCATGGCGGGAGCAGCAATCGATGGAACGCAGACAACGGCGGTAGCGGAGCAAGGCGCGACAGCGAGTGGTGCAACGTTTCAGAGCCTGTTGCACCTCGACCAACCAGACGAACTCTTGTGCTCTCTGTTGGGTTTACCGGACTTCTTTACGCCGACCAATGCAGATGGCGCATTCAGCTTCGACCCCATCGCCGACCCACTTGAAGGCGAGACCATTGGCGGCACAGCACATCACAGCGCAATCTGAAAGAAAAACTTTTTGCGAAAGAACAAATCCCGTTTCGTTTGAAAGTAGTGATACATGCAGAGCGAGAGAAAACAAGACACGTGAGGAACAAAAGGAGGTGGAATGGACGAAGTGAAAAAAAGAAGGTGTGGTATGAACCGCGGACGATTTCTTTTTTAGGCCTCGTACTTGTAGCCGAGACCGGAGGTGTTGGCAACGACGCCATCGACCTTGTCGGTGGAGCTGGCCTTCTCGTCGATGGAGCCGGCGGAGTGAGCAGCGGTAGCCTGGGAGTGCGAGGAGAACATGTCGACCTCGGTGGAGGCGAACTTGCGCGCCGAAACCTTCTGCTCGAAAAGGATGTCGAGCGATCCGTACGATCGACCCATGGTCTCGGGCAGGCGGAAGTAGGTCCAGATGATGCAGATGAGACCGGTTCCAGCATACACAAAGCCTGCCTTAGCTCCAAGGTTCCAGTCTTGGGAGTTAAGCATGCGAGGGTTGATGATGTTGACGATGATACCGCCGACGTTGTAAGCGTTACGGGCGAGGACGACGGTCTTGGCACGGAGACGGGTGGAGGAGATCTCGGCGACGAGACAGTAGCAGACGGGGCCGACGGTGAGATCGTAGATGAAGGTGAAGATGAGGAGCATGGAACCGATAGCCCAGGAGACGTTGGTGTTGTCAGCCTTGAAGGCGAGACCGCCGACGGTGATCATGATGGCGAAGAGGGCAAGCTGGCCGTAGAGGTAGAGCGCACGACGACCGACCTTGCGGAGGAGGAACCAAGAGCTGATAGTACCGACGAGACCCATGGCGAACTGGCCGATGGAGAGGTTGAAAGCCTGGTCGGTGGGGAGACCGGCCTTGGTGTAGAAGTAGGACGAGACACCCATGAGAGGACCACCGCAGAAGACCTGGATGAGCCAGACGACGCAGGCGATCTCGGTACGACGGCCGTCGGAGCGCTTGAAGCAGTCCCAGTAGCTTCCGCCCTCGGCAGCGGCCTTCTCGAGCTCGTTGGTGTGGATCATCATCTGAACGGTCTGGTCGGCCTCGTGGTCGGTGAAGTCGCGGTCGTTGGCGGCGAGGCGGCGAAGCGAGTGCTTGGCGTCCTCGAGGCGGTTCTGACGAACCAACCACCAGGGGGACTCGGGGGCGAACCAGCATCCGATAAAGATGGGGACGGGCCAGATCCACTGGATGGCGTAGGGGATCTTGTAAGCCCAGTGGTCGGTGCGGCCGACGGTGCCACGGAGGATACCGGAGGCGATGAGCTGACCAACGACCCAGCATCCGTTGACCCAGGTGGTGAGGTAGGGACGAAGAGCGACAGGAGTGACTTCGGCGGCGTACGAGGTGGTGAGGGTCTGGAAGACACCCCAGGGAAGACCCTGGAGGATCTGTCCGATGAGGAGGACGGTGAGGTTAGGAGCGAAGAAGGGGATGAAGATGAAGGCGGTCATGGCGGCGAGGGCGACGAGGATGGTCTTGCGGTAACCGTAGCGTTCCGAGCAGATACCGGTAAGCTGGAGACCGATGATGGAACCGACCTGGGAGCCGTTGGTGAGGCCCGACTGCCAGGGAGCAGGGATCTCGCACTTGCCGGCTGCGTTGCAGTGGCCGTACTTCTTTTGGAAAGCAGGCATCGCGAAGAAGTTGCCGATGAGGAGGGTGTCGTAACCCTCCATGATGACGGCGAGCGAGAGGATGGCCGAGAAGAAGATGGCGTTGGGGTAGGTCTTGATGGCCCTGGACACGCTCATCTTCTCCTGGTTGTTGGTGACCTCGGCGGCATCGTGAACAAGGGCGTCGTAGTCCTCGACGTTGGATGCGATGGCGGCGGCTGCCTTGGAGTCGATGCGAGCGACATCCTGAGCGTCGGTGAGACCCATGATGGGCGGTAGGCTGTAGAGAGGGGAGGGCAGGGGTGGTGTCCGACGACGACTAGGCTTGAGAGATGAGGAAAGTCGGAGGAGCCGAAGGAAGGAGGGAGGGAGGGATGGTGTGATGTGATGAGTGATGAGGAGGGCGAAATGGCGTCAAAGATGCGGTGGTAATATACGCATCGGCTTGGTTTGCGATGATGGTATGTGATAGTTCGAGTGATGCGGGAGGAGGACCGCAGCGCGTGGCGAGCGTGTGATGCAGACGAGACGTTCCTAGCGTAGCCCGCTTGCGTCCCGTCGAGACGGAACAGCCGAGTGCGGGGAGAGAGAGGAGAGGGCCAAAGCAGACGCGGAGAGCGGAGAGACCGAGGCAAGGAGAGAATTCGGAGGAACCCGTCGTCGTCGCTCGCTCACCGGAGAGTGCAAAAACTTGGAGGGAATGGTGGTTGAGACAGTATGGGGAAAACACAGCGGGGTTGCGGGGGACGACAGTGGAAAGGAAAGGTCTGGGTTCGGTCATTCCGAATTGCTGTCAACCGTCAGAAGAGCTGGCTACAGTGTACTATACAATGCGTTGTGCATGCTGCATGACCTGTGAATGCTAAGCGGAGAGGGTTGGGATTGTCATGAGCGTGTGGCTCCTTGAGGGGCAACAAGATTGCGGGGTTACGTCCCTGGCGGCCACAGCGAAACGAGATCGCCCGAGACTGCTCCTGCCGCGTAAAAGAGATGCTCCGGAGAGAGCTCGGTCGAAACGAAACGACCTTTTCCTGTTCCCCCTTCCGCTTTTTGGCACTCCGCTCAGCTATGTGGTCTCGAGACCTGCTGCTCGCATCACGCCTGAGCGCGGTGCTGCCGATGATGCTTACTCGATCGCTCCAAGACACGGAATGCACTAGCCAACAGACTAGTCATTGGCGGAGCATGAGCTCCCATGTGGGCATAGAGAGCAAAAATCTTTCGAGCACAAGGTATCGGCGAAACGGCGACTCGGAACAGATCCCTTGCGACGGTCCTAGCACCGTCTTTGGAGGGCCAGAATCTAGCCTCTTCGCTCTTCGGCACCTACGTTGCGAACCTTGGAAAGAGGAGTAAGGAAGGCCGTCTAGAGTCTCGAGTCTTCCCGTAGTGCTTATTTGCTGCAACCGGGCTGTCTGGAAGTTGGCGAGCCCGGGTGCCGGAAAAACGATCGAGGAGCGGCCAAAATTCGAAATTGAAGCTGCTCAAATGCCCTAGTTCCCTGTGGGATTTCAGCCACATGGAACCCAAGAAAAGCTTCGATTTCCTGCCGAGGTGCATGAAGTCGAGCTCGCTAGGATTAGTCTGGGGAAATCGCTCGCGGATGCCGCGCTTGTGCCGTTCCTCCAGCTCGCCTTGCTATACATGATTCGACAAATTTGCTCAGGGGTTGCACTTTATCCTGGCCTCTTGCTGCGTATAGTCCCGACCTTGGCTGAGCGGTCGAGTCAGCATCAACGTGCGGTCATTGACAGAATTAATGAGCAGAAGCAGCAGCTGCAGACAAGGACCGGGTGGACCGACGTATGAGGAGTGCGCTGGTGCTGACCCGACTTCGAACCTGGTGCTCCTTGCGAAGTGTACGGTCAGCTGAGCTCTTGAATCACAGCCGTCGACGGTTGCTCCGAAGCAGGTACTGTATCATGGCCGTGCCCTAACCGAAGGGAGGTGGATTATGCTACACTTGACTTCAGAGCGGTAAGGGACGATTCTCAATTCGACCGACGGAACCCTTTCTGACGCTGGTGTAGGTGTAGAGGCCTTCTGGTACAAAGGCGGAGCGGAGTGGCAATTGGCCCTGCAGCGGGTCCAAGAACTCGCTTTGGCCGCGGTTGCCCGTCAGCAGGTGGCCGTGAGCGAGCAAAAGCCTGGTCTCGACAATGACAAGCCAGTGCGTGCCTGTATTCAGCAGCAAGCATTGGCTTGTCTGGATGGATGCCAAGCGTTCAGATCACGAGCAGACTCGTCCATTGTACGAACACCGAACTAATGAAAAGGCGTGGTGCGGATACATACCCGACGGCGAGCCTTGCATCGAACGCATCACACGACTTCTGCCCCGGACCAGGCTACCACGACTGCGGAGGTGGAGGCGGAGGCGGTGTATCCTCGGCTTGACTGGACTGGCCCTTCGCTTGTATCACACAGCTGAGGATACTATACTTGTGGCTTCTTGGCGTGATCAGGCGAGCTCGGCTGAGAGCCGTGAATACGGTGACGAGCACCACGCTAAAGCACGGCGACGCTTCGGTGGAGCGAGGCTGTGTGATCGTCAATGCAGCGGATGCGGGGCCGTCGACGGCAGCAAGGCTCAGTGGCAACGAAGGTCTGCGGAAGATCTTCGGCGAGACTATTTGGTACAGCAGACGGCGACTCGGCCAATCTCGAATACGTGTGACGGTCGCGCGCTTTTCAGACGACATAACAGCGACTTAACATCGCTGGTCCTGCTTAGCCAAGCGAGCATCGTCGTCAATACTCTCATTCACCTCGACACATGCCGCCATCTGCCGCGTTGCTCGCTACAGCAGCACGGTCGAGAGCGGGGATGGTCGAGTCTCGGCGCAATCTCGCTGCCTACACCTAGCTAGCCAACGTCGCACTCTGCAACCGCAAATCCGCTCTCTTCCGTAATCTCTCCCTGCCAGAGGGTCGATCGTCGCGCCAGGTTCGGAGCATTCTCGGCGTCGTGTCGGCGAAAACACCACCATCCCGCTTTGTCGACTCTACGTGAACGGCGAGCAATAAGCTAAGAGGAGCGATCAGCATGTCAGATCGAACACAACATGCTCAGACAAAACAAAATCATCCCTCCCCCCATCGAATTCTTCCGTGAGGCGCTGGCCACGATCACCAGTCTCGCCGACGCAAGGATTGCGGATACGAGACTGGCCTCTTCATCTCGATGGTGTCAAACGAACGCCGATGAGCTACTGCGCGTGGGTAGTATAATACTATGGGCGAGCACGCCTCGGGGGAAGTCTGCCTCTGTACTTGGTGGAAGCAGCGATTCGCCTCTCGGCTATCCATCACTTCCCGCTGCCCACCCACCACGTTCAGGGTCTCAATCCAATGCGATCTCCACACGTCGAATCCCCCCACGTACGCTTGACAGCTAAGCGTTGCATCGGCAGAATCCCTTCGTGTACCGCAACAGTCGCACCGCACACAAGCCAGCTCGTTCGTCCGAGCCACTGCGGCCGCAACTACGACTGCGCACCAGCCCGTTTCACGAGTCTCACCGAGCCTTTTTTGATCCGCGCTCGGTGTATCTCCACGTTGTCGCCCCTTGAGTTGATCGCTTTTTCCACGGCGACATCTTTCCCTCACCTCTCCGCTGCACTTTCCTCCTCCGCACTTTCGCTTCCCCGCTCAGCTCTCCCGAAAAGGTCGCCGCACTGTCGCTTCGCCTCCCTTCATCATCTTCCCAAAGTCTCTCCGCACAGCTTTGGCCTTATCGTGTACCGCTGTCCGCGCTCCTTCAAAAGGCCTCGCTCCTCGTCGCATCCTTCCTCCTTTACCTCGTCCACCTTCCCCCCCGTCATTCGTGCTGCGTAGACATTGCACGAGCTATCTCCACAAAAATGCCTTCCAACGAGTCTATGGTCGCATCGGGTTCGCGGACCTTCTGGTTCCGCGATGCCATCATCTACCAAGTCTGGCCCGCATCCTTCCGCGACAGCAACAACGATGGTATCGGTGATATCCAGGGTATCATCATGAGCCTCGACTACATCAAGTCGCTCGGCGTAAACACCATCTGGCTCTCTCCCATGTACGACTCTCCCCAGGTCGACATGGGCTACGACATTTCCGACTACGAGTCCGTCTACCCGCCTTACGGCACCGTCGCCGACATGGAACAGCTCATCAAGGAATGCCACAACCGCGGTATCAAGCTCCTGCTCGACCTCGTCGTCAACCACACCTCCGACCAGCACGCCTGGTTCAAGGAGTCGCGCAAGTCCAAGGACAGCCCCAAACGAGACTGGTACATCTGGCGACCCGCCAAGTACGACGCCGATGGCAACCGTCGCCCTCCCAACAACTGGCGTTCCAACTTCAACCAGCCCGCCTGGACCTGGGACGAGGCCACGCAGGAGTACTACCTCAACCTCTTCTGCCCCGAGCAGCCCGACCTGAACTGGACCAACGACGAATGCCGCAAGACCATCTACAAGAGCGCCATGGAGTTCTGGCTCGAGAAGGGCGTCAACGGCTTCCGCGTCGACACGGTCAACATGTACTCCAAGCCAATGGACTTCCCCGACGCACCCATCACCGACCCCGGTGCCGAGACCCAGCCCGCTGGTATGGTCTACTGCAACGGTCCCATGATGCACACCTGGCTCAAGGAGATGGGTGCCATCCTCGAGCGATACGATGCAATGACCGTCGGAGAGCTTCCCAACACGCCCAAGACAGCCGATGTGGTGCGCTACGTCTCTGCGGCCGAGAACGAGCTGAGCCAAGTGTTCCAGTTCGACATTGTCGATCTCGGTCGTAACCCGGTCGACATCATGTCGTACGACGGCTACAAGCTGCCGGAGATGAAGCGCGTCGTGGAAAAGTGGCAGCGTTTCACCGAGGGCAACGATGCCTGGACCACCGTCTTCATCGAGAACCACGATCAGGGGCGATCGATCTCGCGCTTCGCTTCCGACAAACCCGAGCACATTGCCGACTCCGGAAAGCTGCTGGCCCTCATGAACATGTCTCTCACCGGAACCGTCTACGTCTACCAAGGTCAGGAGATCGGTATGACCAACGTACCCAAAACCTGGGCTGCGGAAGAGTACCTCGACGTCAACAGCATCAACTACCTCGCCGCTGTCAAGAAGCGCACCAACAACGACCCCAAGGCTCTGGCTAGAGCGCTTGCCGACGTCAACTTTTTGGGCCGCGACAACGCGAGAACTCCCGTTCAGTGGTCTTCCCAACCCAACGGCGGATTCTCCTCCAACCCCGAGACGAAACCTTGGATGAGGACCAACGACAACTACACGTCGATCAACGTCGAAGTTCAGCAGAACGATGCCTCCTCCGTGCTCAACTTTTACCGCAAAGCTATCGCCGTCCGCAAGCAGCGCGCGTCGCTGCTCGGTCGAGGCGAATTCAGACTGCTTGAGGAGGAGGACGAGAACCTGTTCAAGTTCGTCAAGATCGCAGATAGCGGCGAAAAAGCCTTCGTCGTGCTCAACTTTACCGACAAGCAGCAACAGTACGAGCTGCCCAAAGAGATCGCTCAGGGCGCCGAGTTGGTGCTGGGTACCAGGAACGATGGCGAGAAGGGAAGCCTGCGCGCCTACGAGGGCAGGCTGTACGTCGCTGCTGCTTAGATACCTCCTCCATGCTTTGTCCGTTTTCATCCCTATGCTCAATGTCTATATTTCTCAAACCATCTCTCCCACATACACACACGCGCCTCGTCAACATCCCAGTCTGAACCCATTGTCTTGCATTGCAATCCATCCCTAGATCAGCTCCATGTACCTCTCCATCTCCCAATTCGTCACGGTCTGGTTAAACAGCTGCACCTCGTGCAACCTAGTCCCTCCAAAGTGATCCACCAGCGTATCGCCCAATACCTTCCTCGCCAGACTCCCTTCCGCCATGAACCTCTGCGTCGCCGCTTCCAACGACGTCGGCAGGTACACCAGATCCTGCTCCTTGAGACTCCTTGTCGTATCCATCGGTGCGAACGGCAACTCCAACTCGTGCTGGATACCGTAGAGTCCGAGCGCGAATACAGCGGCGAAGGCGTACTGCGCATTGAGATCCGCACCGGGTACCCGGACCTCAAACCTCGTGCCGTAGTCCGGAACATCAGGCGGACCCAAAATCCTCACCGACGCGAGCCTCGAATCGTACCCGTACGAACAAATGTTGGGCGCCCAGTACGCTTCCCCCGTCGTCAACCGCTTGTACGAGTTGATCGTAGGACACAGCAACGGCATGATATCCGGCAACCCCGTCATGACCCCCGCCAAGAACTGCTCTCCGATCTTGGAAAGATACTTGACATCCTCGTACTTTGCATCCGCTCTGCCACCCGCGGCGATCTCCTCGGCAGACAGAGCGAACACGTTCTTGCCCGTCGATGCGTCGCGGAGCGAAACGTGAATGTGCCCTGAACAACCCGCCAGGTTCGCCCACGGTTTCGCCATGAAGGTCGGGATGATCCCGTGCTGCATCCCGACGGATTTCGCGAGCAGCTTGTACAGGACCGCCATGTCTGCCATGCATGTCACCTCGGTGTAGGCGAGCGCGGTCTCGTAGACTCCCGGACCTGTTTCGGTGTGATGACCCTCGACGTCAATCCCAAAAGCTTCGGCGTCGTCGAACAGCTGCAAGAAGTAGTCCTTGTTGAGCGAGGTGCGCAACATCGAGTAGCCGTGATTTCCCGGTGTCAAGGGTGTGAGTTTCACAAAGCCTTTCTGCTCGACGGTCTGTGCTGTCTCTGCGAACTGGAAGTATTCGAATTCCGCACCCGCCATGCAGAGCAGTCCGAGGTCCTTGTCGACTCTGCTCGTCACGGACCTCAGCAAGTTCCTCGGACACACGGAAAGCGGCGTACCATCGGCGTTGAAGAAGCGGATCAGGAAGAACGGCATGTTGTCCTCCCACGGAATGCGACGGAACGTGTCGAGGTCGATCTTGGCGGAGAGGTCACGATACCCATTCGCCTTGTTGGAGACGAGCAGCTCGGTGGGGTAGACAAGGTCGTGCATGTCCCATCCAAAGATGACCGAACAGAAACCAAAATCCGAGTCGGGCTTGGCAGCAGAGAGGAACTTCTTCTTGGAGACGTACTTGCCTCGTACGATGCCGTCGACGTCGAGGCCGGCTACTTTGACCTTGTTATCATTCTTGAGGAGGCCTTCGAGGTCGGCGTAGGTGATTTTCGCTTTCGACATGATGTTGTGCTGCAGAGATGGTGGTGGTGGTGATGATGAGGGTTGTGGACGATAAGCGTCCCGCCTTGATTGTCGGAGGTCGAAGTTGGCGTGTGCCATGTGACTATTCAAGAGGTGGTCCGAGCCCTGATTGAGAACTCAGCCGTGGCACAATTCGGCGAGTCTTATCTTTTTCGGCAGTCACACGCTGGTCCGCACCGACACGAGTCGGAATTTCCGCAACATTCTCCTCCACTCTCCAACACGCCACCGGAACAACACCGATCCTCTCATCCATCATCTCGAACAAATCCACAACAATGTCGTCGTCGGTCCAAACCACAATCGCACCATACGATCAGAGTGTCGTCTGCGAAAAGCAGCTGCTCTCCGAGGCACAGCTCGACAAGGCGATCCAGGAAGCCGCCATCGCGCAAAAGTCGTGGGCAAAGGTTCCAGTAGAGGACCGCGTGGCCATCGTCACCAAATGGATGGGCATCCTCGATTCCGAAAAGGAGGAGCTGGGCAAGGAGCTGTCGGTGCAGATGGGTCGGCCTGCTGGGCAGTGTGCCGGAGAGATTAAGGGTGCGCTTCAACGTTGTCGCTACCTGTGCAAGGTGGCCAAGGACTGCCTGGCCGACCAGCCACGAACGGATACCGAGACGCCCAACCTCAAGCTCGCGATTCGAAGGGATCCGTTCGGTGTGGTGGCCATCGTGACACCGTGGAACTATCCGTACCTCACTACCGTCAACGGCCTCATCACTGCTCTGCTCGCCGGCAACGCCGTGGTGCTCAAGCCATCTCCTCAGACGCCTCTCACCGCCGAGAGTTTCCAGCGCACGCTCGAAACGTCCGGTCTGCCAAAGGGACTTCTGCAGATCGCCCATCTCGACTTTGAGACCACCGCCAAACTCGCTGCAGATGCGCGTATCGGATTTCTCATCTTCACCGGCTCGGTCGCAGGCGGCAAGGCGCTGGCAAAGGCAGCTGCGGATGGTCCTGGATTCAAGGGCGTCGGGCTCGAGCTGGGTGGCAAGGACCCAGCGTACGTGCGTCAGGATGCAGACATCAAGTGGGCAGCCGAAGAGCTGGTGGACGGGGCCATGTTCAACTCGGGTCAATCGTGCTGTTCGGTGGAGCGCATCTACGTGCACGCTTCGGTGTTTGACGAATTCGTCAAAGAGTTTGTCGCTGTTGCTAAAGGATACAAGTTGGGCGACCCCAGTCAGCCAGGTACATCGCTCGGGCCTGTGGTCAGCCTGGCATCCGCCGAACGTATCCGTAAGCAGATCGACGATGCGCTCAGCAAGGGAGCCAAGAACGTGATCCCCGACGATCTGTTCCCCGAAGCCAAAGCAGGCACTGCGCTGGTGGCACCCACAGTGCTGGTCAACGTCGACCACTCGATGGACATCATGACCGAAGAAACGTTCGGACCCGCCATCGGAATCCAGAAGGTGGAATCGGACGACGAAGCGCTACAGCTCATGAACGACTCGCACTACGGTCTCACCGCTTCCATCTGGACCGACATTGAGAACGCCGATTCTGCTGCTGCATTCGATAAGCTGGCTACCGAGCTCGAGACGGGTACGGTGTACCTCAACCGCGCCGACGTGCTCGACCCGGCTCTGCCCTGGACGGGTGTCAAGGACAGCGGTCGCGGCGTCAGCCTGAGCACCTTGGGCTTCGACCAGCTCACCCAGCCCAAGTCGATTCACATGCGTTTGCGAAAGGCTTGATAAGCTTCCCTATTACAATCTAGATTCTGCCCTTTTCCACCTTTGGAGTGTGTGCGACTGCGACTCGCGCGAAACGCGAGCTTTAAAATGATGCCGGCCATTTGACCGAAATTGAGAATGAAAGAAAAGATGGACCGCGGCTGAGTCTGAGTGAGCTGAGCTGCGTGTCGCAATCTCGTCAAGCAAGCGGGCGAGCGCATCTTGAGATAAGCGTCGGTGCATTCCGATGTTCAACGCACAGTCCAAGGTCACCTATCGGACTCGCACCGACACGCTCGTCTCATCATCATCACAACCAACACCATCACCATCAACTGTATACACCGCCATCATGCCTGGTCTTCGTCTTCCTCACAGAGTATGTCACCAGCTCAAGTCATTCTTGCACCGCAGTTAATGCTGACTCACCATTCCATGCATTCATCTTCGACTGCAGGTTGCTGTCATCACCGGCGGCGGTTCGTAAGTCATTGCACCCCACACGAGACTCGCCATCGTGACTAGCTCATACTGACCGACCGACAATGTCCGTCCTCTCCCTCCTCTGCAACAGCGGCATCGGCCGTGAATGCGCCATCCTCTTCGCCTCGGAAGGTGCCAACCTCGTTCTGGCAGACATCAACCTCGAAGCGTGCCAAAAGACCGCCGACATCGTCAACGAACGCTTCAGCAAAGCCGAGATCCCCGTCAAGGCCGTCGCCGTCAAGTGCGATGTGAGCAAGGAGGACGAGGTGGCAGCCATCGTCAAACGTGCTGTCGACGAGTTCGGTCGTCTCGACGTCATGTTCAACAACGCCGGCATCATGCACCCCGCCGACGACAATGCACTCAACACCGAGGAAAAGATCTGGGACCTCACACAGGCCATCAACGTCAAGGGCGTCTGGTACGGCTGCAAACACGCCATCCTCGCCATGCGAAACAACCCCGCCGACGACGCCAAGAACCTCCACGTCGGTGGATCCATCATCAACACCGCCTCCTTCGTCGCTCTCCGAGGCGCCGCTACCCCTCAGATCGCCTACACCGCTTCCAAGGGCGCCGTTCTGGCCATGACGCGCGAGCTGGCGATGGTGCATGCCAGGGAAGGCATCCGCGTCAACTCGCTCTGCCCGGGACCGCTCCAGACTCCGCTGCTGATGGACTTCCTCAACACTCCCGAAAAGCTCAACCGCCGTCTCACCCATCTGCCTCTGGGTCGTTTCGGCGAGGCTGTCGAACAGGCCAAAGCCGTTCTTTTCCGTAAGTCGTACCACCAAAAGCGTGCCTTTTGCATTCAAAGTGCTGATCGTCGCCGACTCTCGGTCCTCTTACAGTCGCCACCGACGAATCGTCGTACGTGCTCGGCCACGATCTTTTGGTCGACGGTGGTCTTGCCGCCGCCTACGTCACCGCAGAGGGTCAGCCTGTCTTGCCACCTCCCAAGAGCTTGGTCTAAGCACACAGACGCTGCTCTAAATAAACGACATTACCTCTCTCTCTCGGGGCAATCAAATTCTAATCAATCCAACCGTTTCTATTGCGATCGAACTTATCGTGGCGATACGTTCCATAAGCGCGCGTGACATACTGACGCCCTTTTTCACGCAGACGGATCGGGACAGTAGTCCGGAAAGCCATCCGGATTGCCCGCCCACGTCGGGAACGGTCGTTCCTTGCCTGCTGCGCCGAAGACGGCGAAGCTCAGAATGAAGATGACGAGCAAACTTCCGCCGTCCCAACCAGCGCCGAGGATGTAGTTGTACTCTTTGAACCATCGCGGGTATCTCGTTCGGATCCACGCTTGCGAGATCAATCCGACGAGGACGGTGGTTAGGATGACGCAGTTTTGACCGGAGGTCATCCACGCCGAGTACAGGAACACGGTGGGCAACACCAGGTCTTTCGTCTCGAACCTGCCGATCCTGGGTACGAATCGAGTAAAAGTCCAGTGGACTACCACCGCTCCGATGCCGATCAGCACCGCCATCGGGATCACAAAGTACACGGTACCCGGACCGTACATGTACTTGGCCATCGACCACGTCACCGCACTCACGTTGAGCGACTGGTAGTACGCACCGGACCAGACGTAGCTGCCCGTGTTGGTGTGCAGCAGCGCAAACTTGGACGAGATGATGGTGGAGGCGATGGCGTAGTTGAGGAACGCGCCGAACACGGTGCCGATGACCTGGGTGATGAACATGGAGCGAGGTGGGATCTTGAGGTATTGACCCATCTTGAGGTCGTTGGACAGGTTGATCACCTGGGCGATGGTGCTGTGCGACCAAGCGTAGAAGTACAGATTGGCAAGGGGTCGACCGGGCGAGACAATCCCGCCAATCATCTTGGTGAGGTTGTTGGTGCTGATTCCGTTTCCCAACAGCGCATACAGCACTCCTGAAAACGGCGCCACGATGGTGCCCAGCAGCAGCGAGATGATGTACGAGTACCACGTCAAGGTCGTCTGCTGCGTCAACACCACGATCAACCCGAACACGAACGAGATCGCCAGCAGGATCAGATACCACCAGTGCGGCGCCTCCTTGTACTTCCTCATGGCCTGGTAGTGTCGATCCGGCTGCGACTTATCCCTCGCCTGCCTCAGACTCTTCAACACATCCTTGCCCCAAAACAGCACCACGTGCGCCACCAACGCGCCGATCGCCGCGTTCCTGATCAGCATCCCCCACGCATACGTCCCCGTCACGTTCGGATATCCGACCCGTTCGAGCTGCTGTCGATCCAAGATGCCGTGCACGAACACGGCACTCTGGTTGTACTTTTTGCCGTTGTCGGCAAAGATGCTCGTCGACATGAAGGGGAACTGCTTGGCGTTCCACACGTTTCCGTAGTAGATGGCTAGCATGGCGACGGTGCAGATGGCGTAACCGATCCAACTGTTGGCCTGTTGGATCAGCGGTAGCGAGAGTTGGGTCGAGGTGATGTACTGCCAGTCGAGGCTGAGGCTGAGCAGTCCGAGACCTTCGTTGCTCTGCGCACCACCGAAGATGTTGGTCAGGGTTTGCGCGACCTTGCCCGTCGCGTGTCTGCTGGCGAGGCACGGGATGCTGAAGGAGTTGAGCGTGGGGAAGATGTACGACGGGAAGATCTCGTAGATGCCCATACCGGCGAAGGAGTACCAGAACATCTTGACGCGCTTGGTGCTGAAGCTCTTGTCCCAGTGGAACGCCTGGAACAGATCCACGAGCGGCAACGTTCCCCAGTACACCATCTCTGCCGGGTAGACGATGATCGGTCGAAAGATCCCCGCGAGACCGTACCCGAACAGACCGATGGAGAGCACCGAGAGGATGGCGGTGGTGGTGGTGACGGGGATCTCCGGGTAGAAGAGCTTCTGCGTGCCAAAGACGTCGCTCGAGTGGGCGCCGTTGGATGCGGACGAGGCGGTGATGGAGGCGATCGCGTGCTCCTTCAACCCGAACGGTCCCGGGTTGACAAAGTGCACTGCGGTCAACAGCCATCCGGGCAGCCTTTGACCGAACTTGGACTCCAACCCTTTCTTTGTGGGAAGGAACCTCGCCCAGGCAGTGCCGATCACGTAGATGATGATGGCCAAAAATGTTCCCGTGATGGTGACTTCGGTCGGCTTGAATCGATAGATCTGTGTCAGCACGGCTTGGAAGGCGGCTCCGACCAACCCGAGGGTGATGGATCGGAAGGTGAAGCAGGCATCTCCATCGTCTCGATCGCTGATGAGGATGTCCGAGACATCGCGACCGTTGCGGATGACCGGATCGGCGTCGAACTTGGATCGAACGGATTCACCATCGGAGGAGCCTTCGGGTGGGACGTAGGTAGGGTCGGAGACGTCAACCTTCTCGCTGGATGAGCTTGTCTCTTTGAGAGGGTCTTGTTTGATCGAAGAAGGGGAGGACGGGGTCTCAGAAGGAGGAGATCCCGAAAGAATCGGCAGCTGGGTCAGCTCGTCCGGGCTGTCGAGAGCGCCAGCCGGCGACGGTACAGCTGCAGACATGATCGAACAGACACCGGGAAAGGTGAAGAGAACGACTTTAGTAAGGGGTGTCCAATCTTGGATGCTGGACCGCCTTGACCCTCTGATATCTCCTCTTCTTATAACCAAGCAGAGGCCTCGTGTTCGAGCTTGCCTTATCGAGCACGATACCGTATTGCTTCTGCCCCCCACTTCAGCCAGATCGACGCTAGTCTGGTTCAGGAACCAACCTCGCTTACAATGTCGTGGCACAAAGTGCTCAACCAAAACTCGAGCACGCCTTTCCTAACTTGCAAACTTGGTCGTTGGGTTCGATCTCGGAAGTCATACCACCGAAGTGGCGCTGATGTCGAAAGAAGGACCATGTGCAAATGGTATGACACCATCGCCAACATCGGATGCAGGGACGCCGGAACAAAAAAGTAATCCAATCGCATTGCTGCAGGTCTGCAGAAATCAGCATGTGGGTTTGAATGGTGGACAAAGTTGACCGACGGCCGACCCGAGCGACCGACCGACCGACGACGCATGGTCGTCGTCTACCGTCCTCCTGGTTTCGTATCTGCGGAATGAGAGTCGGCGAAAACGGCGGCGGCATCGGCTGTCATTTGGCGCCGGAGGCGGCGGGCCGCCACTCAACGCAGAGTTGGACGCGGAAGGTGCCATCCCGAGCTTGCAAAAGCATGAAAAGAGCCAAGGGAGTCGGGTAATTGATTCGAAGCTGTACCATTGCATTAGCTGGTTCGATTTCTGATTCGGCAGCGATGGAACGATCTGCATACGAGATGGCGTGACAAGCGGCGGCTTCTATTTGTGATGGCAACAAGGTGGAAATTGGGATGTGAGATTGTACTCGCCGCTGTTGTCAGTCTGCCAAACGGCTTGGGCGGATGCAGGGCTGCACACTTTGCGGATGAAGAAACAGGCAAGCATTCTCTCGAACGAACAATGTCCCCCCGCTGACGTTTCTGGAAAGACTTGGTTCACAACTACAAACATTGACCTGTTGGACACATCACACGCCACATCTGAAGTTCATACAGCCCGCGACTGTCTACCGGCGCCCAGACAAGCCTGGGATGGCCCTCCTGCAACACGAACTCGACGAGAGAGATGTCGTATTCGACAGCGCTCGCAGGTAGACGGGCGACGATTTCCAACTCTAAGCGGCTGGTGTAGCACGCACCGCATACTCTTACCGCGTGGGCAGGCCTACGACCGGAACCAGGCGTCCGTGCAGAGACGCCGGTAATCTTCAGGACACCTTCCTCCACCCTGACAAACGAGGTTTCCATTTAAGTGGCAGCGGTGGCATCCGCTGCTGCCGGTGCAGTACAGGTGTGCGGAGGTTCAAGTTGTTACACTCGATGTGGGAATGTTGATGTCTTGAACGGTGGTGTATGCCGTGTAGAGTTGGAGACATGGGAACCCAATTGGGCTCGAAACGCCTGGTGGAGGGAAGTTCCAAAAAGGAGGGACGGTAGCATAACGTGGTCGATGCATATATATACGTTTTGATTTTGCTGCACAGCCTTCTGCCAGTAAGGGTGTCCGTGGAGCTGTGACCTCACCGCATGTCAACCCTGTTCGGCTAAGTTATCGAACATGGTGTTCAAAGCCGTTCTTCACACTCTGACAATTGCAGGAGAGCGCGTCCTTATCTTCAGGCGCTTTGCTCTATCCACGTAAAAAGACATACATAGTAACAGAAGCAAGCTCCTCGAAGCAAGCTCCTTGACCCCACGATTCTTTCAGAAGCGATTGCTGAAGCGAGGACAAAACTAGCACCCGGCGAATCGTCTCGGTATCACTCGGTTGCGAAACACTTCGGCTGCGCATATTTCCACCGGAATTCGTCACGACGACATTTGACAGGGATGGTGTCGTATGACTTCTGACAGGCGAGTTCTTTCATTCTTCGACCAAGGGCGGCAAGCTTGATGCTGCTCGTATCCTGATCTTGTCAGTCTGGTCGTGCTGGTTCATGTGGCGTTCAAGTATAGACACGCACCACATCGAGCTGCTTCTATACGGACAAGCACGATTACACTTCAGCAAAACGTTGTGATATCATTGACAGGCAGTCCAACCAGGCACATTGCCATTTCGAGGTCTGCATCTTTGTGTGCGGGGCAACATCGTATCAAAACCATCTCTTGCGTAGCTGGATCCAGCCCAGACTCGCTCGAAGAATAGGGCTTCTGTCGATCAACAGCCGGCTGGGAGCTGGTAATACTGATCACCGCCCCATCCGTCAACATTCTCCCTGTGGTCGCAATCCTCGGCGCCTGGAGGTCCGCACTTGATGTAATACTCGGCGTCCTTGTAGGTGCAGTCGCTGCCTTCACGACAGTGCCAGTCTAGACCGCATTGCCGGTTGTTCGGCGAAAACAGAATGATATCGCGAAGCGGGCGTGATACTGGGCAACCCAGACCGCCAAACATACCACCACAATATTCTTCCTGTACTGTTGCGGTATAGGCTGTGAGGTCCGTCTGATGCCAAACACACATGCTCTCATGATTAGCGCCGTTACAGGAGAAGGTCACTCCGTCAGTATGACTTTCCGTTACGGAGAAGCCCAAACTGGCAAACCAAGCTCCTCCGACGTTGGCGGTCCAATCCGTAGTAACGGAATATCCCTGCGCTACAGAGCAGTCGTGATCAGCGCAAGTCATCTTCGGCGAGACTTGAACGAATTTGTAGTTCTGATGGGGATCCCCGTCGCCCTTAAGAGTGTAGATTTCGTCTTTGCGCTTCTGTAGGGTGTGCTTGACTCCCGTGAAATGACCTGCCGATGAAACGCCGTTACGAATGTCCTGATAGCCTTTAGCATGGCTTGAGCTCAGCTCGGTCCAGTTGACTCTGACTCCGTCGTTGTAGTACATGAAGTTGTCCTTGCCTTTGTAGATGCCGAGGGAAAGGTCCCTCTTGACGACCGGCTCACGCTCAGCTGCAGCAATTGCCACCCAGCATGCAACCATGAGCAGCGACACAAGCCAGGTGAATCTGCCAGCTCGGGTTGCGCTGCTTGAAGGCAGGTGAAGAGGGGTGCAGAACAAGTGTCCGGTCGCGTTTTCGACAACATTCAACCAGCAGTTTGCAGCCGAATCTGCTGTGGGGAAGTAGCCGCACCATTCTTGATGCTTTTCGGTCACGTTATCGCCCAAACATTGTCGAGCAGTCGGAAGGTCGTTGAAGCAGCAGGTCTCCGGACAGCAGTTCTTGGGATCCTGGTTCGTACTTGCTGCTCGAGTCTGAAGCATTTTCAGGCAGAAGAAAGGAGGAAGTGGGCTCGACGCTGAGTTTCTGGATGAAGGCTGGTCCGACAGGCAAGCCAATTGGCTCTCAAGATATATACCACAGGCCGCGTGCAATGCCTCGTAGCAAGTCTTCTTGCGTGCGTTACGAAGTCTTGTTCCCATGACATCTCCTCATCGTTGTCTCTTTGTTGAGATTTCGATTCCACCAAAAGGGGTTACACTTCTGCGCCATCTAAACTTTGTCCGAGCCCTACTTCGCACTTCAATACTCTTGCCTCGGTGGCACCCTGAAGGCTTGTATATTCAAGCGCGAGATCTGAAGTCGAGAGTCTCTGACGCCACAAGTACTGTATACATGAGATGAAGATTCGGATGATGCGATCTGTACTGGCATCCGATTCTCTCGAAGTCTGATGCAAGATTGTGAGGAACAAAATTATGAGATGGATCGACGCCCGACACCTGCTGGTACCACCGGAACGCAATATCGATGCGCAGAGAACAGTCGATTGATGTCCGACGACTCGACGTGTGAGTGTCTTTGCGACAAATGCAGATCGTGAGAAAGGACACACGTGCACAATTAGACGGCGTCGAGAGCTGCACCCCACCGTGGTCGTAGGAGGAGTGGTCAGCTGATGCGAGACGACACAACCTTCGATTCTTCGGTACCACCAGAGCGCAGTGTCGTTGTGGGCGTAACTGAAATCTTCGACCGACGTCCGCACTTCATTTCTCGCCGTCTCGCGACGTATCCTCACAGCATCATCTCAATTCCGATCGTGCCGAAAATCGAGCTCGCCAGACAGTGTCTTCTTTCTTATGCATGCGAGTGGTCGGCATGGTCATTGAGCAAGAGCGTCAAATTGATTCGACTGAGTACAGACTTGGACAGCGCACAGAAGAAGCTGATTTGGTGCTATCTCGACGCCGAAAAGTAGGGTTTCGCTTCCCATGTTTATGCATCGGCAGCGATGGCTGTCGAACTTGTTGAAACATGATTTGGGTTGACAGCGCTGTTGGACGCGCTTGCGGTCTTTTGGGCGGGATACACAGTCTCGCGGATGTGCTTCTTCATGTCGTAGGTGTTCATCTCGTTGACGGTCAACTTGTTCTCCTTTGCCGCAAGGGCGGCATCCGGCGCGCTGAGCGAGGAAAAGCCGATTCGCTCGTTGAGGTTTTCGAGAGCAGCAGCGGATGCCTGTTGAACACGCGTGGCACGCGGTTTACGGATATCCTGGTAGAGCTTGAGACCTGCCTCGACGTTGGTGGTAAAGTTGTACTCTTTGGAAAAGATGACACCGAGGGCGGCCGCGTCCTCGATGGCCTGGCAAGCACCTTGAGACTGGTGAGGCATCATTGGATGAGCAGCATCGCCGAGGATGCAAGTCTGCTTCTTGTACCAGTGCGAGTAAGGCTGATGGACGTACAGTCGCCACGGCTTGCGCTCGACTGAGTTTTGGATGAGCTTGACGCAGAGTGGGTCGAGTCGTGAATAGTCGCCTGCCAAGATTTCCTCGGGTGGCACCTCTTCAAACACGAAACCCTCCGATTGGTGTTTTGTGAGTTCGGTGGGCATGAAGCAGTAGAACGAGACGATGTCACCACCTGCACATGGGCTCATGACGATTTTGTAGTATTGGTTCAGGTCGCCTTTGGGATAGCCGCCCCAGAACTGAATGGCAGGATCGGCAGCCCAAGTGAGACCAAGTCGCTCGACCTCGTCCTTGCTGACGTTGCAACGGTAGCAAGTTTGGGGAGCCGACTTGACGTCTGGAGTGACACCGATGGCTACTCGAGCCTTGGATCGGATACCGTCGGAGCCAACGATAAGGTCGGCGGTGACCTTGTTGCCGTTGCGGAAGGTGATGGTGCCACTCTCTGTGTCGACATCCTCGGCGATGTGGTCCATGACGATCTCGACGGGCGTGCCTTCACCTTGGTCGGCAGTAGCAGTGTCCATGAGCATTTTGTGCATATCCTGACGGTGGAACATGTTGTAGACGTTGCCCCATGTCTTTTCGTAGTCATCGAGATGGTACTGATTGAGGATCTCGCCCGTGTCCCAGTCGCGCATGGTCAACTCCATGAGAATGACCGGTCGACCAGAGGGGACATCGACATTCCAGTCGTGCAGCCATTGTGTACCATTGGCAGCGCAAGAGATGGAGGCGCCCACCTCGACGTCGAAGCCACGTCGCTCATACACGGTGCACTTGTGACCTGCGCGACGGAGGGCAAGCGCGGTGGAGAAGCCGCCGATACCGCCTCCCAGGACGGCGACGTTGAGCTGCTTGAAAGTGGATGAATCGGACATTGCCTATGTGGTCTCGGGAGCGTTGGCGGCGAGCAGCGACAACGGAAGTATCGTTGATGATGATGATGATGACAGGCACGGCAATCGGACGAGCCGCAAGCCTTTATAAGCATTCATGTTATTGTCGGAGGACCCAGCGATGTCGGTGGTTGGCGTCGAGTGAATCAAAAAAGGGGTCCATAGCGGTCAGTGCACACGGACATGGTCCGATAGCAGACGCTGGCTGATGTCTATCGGTCGGCCAGTCGCCGTGTGACATAGAGGAGCGATCCTGGCCTCGAATGTCATTGTGGGAAAGTAGCAGCAGCAGCAGCAGCGCATCGGTTGCGTCCGATTGTCACGCGACGCCAAGCAGGAGAAGGCAATGCGCTCAGTCAAGCCGAGTTTCGATTCGAGCAGATCAATCGCAAGCTCCGATTGTAGGAAAGTTGCAACTGTTGCAAATGCGCTGTGCCTCCGTTGCTCTGATACGGCTGGCGCAGCATCGACCGCGGGCCATGGCCTGGAGGATAAGAAGTGTATTGTGTGTTAGACAGGGTCCAGCTGAGGCACAGATCGCGTCTCGATACGACCGCGGACGGTCTCCGCGAATCTAGTCCGGCTCATTTTATCGCCCACCACCGCCCGAAAATTCGGCCTCGCTTTGCCGTTCGTAGCCTTGTTGCCGCTGTCGAGCAAATTCCGCACCCTGAGACTTTTCCATGGCATCTCGAATCTGGCTGTTCAGACAACTGGTCCGAGAGGTTTTGTCTGGCCCGTGCCTTGTAGCCGTTTCGGACATCGCTGCCGAAAAGCGGTCGTGACCACCTTCGGTCGGCGCAACCGACTTGTCGGTGCGAACTTTGTCCACGCTGAGAAAAGAGGCACTTGGCCTGCTGTCCTTCTTATCGGCTTCCCCGCAAATTGCAGCTTCCTTCCTCCGATCACGCCCTGTCACGCCGCCTCGTCGACAATCACTTGCATTGTGCTGTCACGTTCAACAAATAAAGCTCAGTCGTCCGCGCATTGTCTCCGCCTATATATTCAACACCTTCTCCGGCCACCAGACGCGGACATCGCTCCGCACTTTGCTTTCCTAAGCTTTCCGTCAACCAATGCGCTGACACCATCTCCTCCCTCGGATTCGTTCGGACCACCGTAAGCTGCACCGGATCTGCGGACCCTGCATACCTTCCGAACAGCGTCAGTACCTCGTACACTGGACCCTCCTCGCCTGTCTCGCTGGCTGCAATGCTGCATCTTCCACACCCCTCGACCTGTCCTGATACTCGCGTCGAAACCTCCTGTACGTCATCATGCCGTCGACAGACATGAACAATACCAACGTATCGCCCACCGCACTCACAACTCAAGCCGCAGCTGGCTCCTCCGACGGCCTAGCTGGCGGAAGCAGCAGCGTCAAGAATCTCAGTTGTCTCCAGTGCCGAAAGCGCAAGACACGATGTGACAAAAAGTATCCCTGCTCGCCTTGCGTCATCCGCGGCGATGCTTCGTCGTGTACGCAGGTCCAGCAGACCATCGCTTCCATCACCACCTCGTCCTTCGGCGCTTCCACTTCTCCTACACGCGAGGCGGCGCCTCTGCTACATCGTGCCTCCTTCTCCGATGCTGTAGGCTCCAGCGCAAACCTTTCCAGCGTCGCCACAGCGGCGCATGCACCCTCTTCATCCAGCTCGTCCAAGCTGGAACCGCGGGAATCGCCTTTTGCCACGGATCGCTTCATCGGACAAGACGCCGAACGACTCTATCGTCTCGAAGTCCGCATGGATCGCATGGAACGGCACGTCTTGGGCAATCGCCTCCAACGCAACGACTCTCACTTTACCTCGAACTCCATCTCAGACACAGCCCAGGACGATACCCTGCCGAGTGTAGCGCGCATCGATTCGACTCAAGAGCTTCCCGTCGGTCAAGACATCCAAGATCTCTTCGAGGATGCTGCTATGGGACGCAAGCACAAACTCAAGAGTCTCCCCTTGGGTACGGCAGCCGCCGCTGTTGACACGGAAGCCAAGGACCCGGAGACGGACGAAGAGCAGATGCTCGATCAGCGCTCGCCAGATTCGTCGGTCGACGTCGCTTTTCGGTTTGCTCAGTTTCTTCCACACCAAAGCGCCGTCCTCCTCGAGTTCTACTTTGCCCACGTCGACTGGACCACCCGCGTCTTGCCCTCTGAGAGCTACGACGAGTTCTTGCGCCTCTCCAAGCTGCAGCCAGAACAGATCGCAGCTTTCCCCGTATCGAGTGCCATGGTCTGCTGCTACTTTGTCATCGTTGCGCTCTCCCTTCACTTTGCCGATGCTGCGCTCCTCGAAAAGGTCGGCATCTCGAAAAAAGAGGCTTCTCGCTTGGCCGACACACTATGTACCGGCAGTCAACAGCTGCTGTGGTCGTCCAACTTTCTTCAATCTCAACAGCTCGAGCACCTCGCGTGCATCTGTCTGCTCGGTGTCTACCAGCACAACCGCAAGGAGCAGGCCGAGGGGCAATGGGCGCTCCTCGGCTCTGCCATCAAGGTCGCACAAAACATGGGCCTCGCACGCTTGGACCACGGCAGCGCATCTCGAAAGCCGTTCGGCAGCATGACCAACGAAGCACGTCGCGAGCTCGGCAGACGCATCTGGTGGAACCTCACCTGGCTCGACTGGTCGCACTCTGTCGCTCACTTTGGCGTCTACTCTGTCCATCCTTCGCAGAATCGCACCAATTTGCCCGCCAACGTCGACATCCACAATGACAGCCTTACGCTGCGCTCTCAAGACGTCTATACGCACTCATCGGCCATCACCATGCGCATGCGCTACGTCATCATCTATCGCGAGATCGTCGACCTCTCCAACGAAGGGCCGAAACTCTCGCGCGCTCAGATTCACCGCTTCGTCAGCAAACTCAACGAGGTGCACGACTCGACACCTGCCTGTCTGCGCTACTCGCCCGACCGTACCTTCGACAAGCCGGACCAGGCGATGGAGGCGATCATGCTCGAGCTCATGTACCTCAACCGCATCCTTCGACTGCATCGTGTCCATCAGCTTTCGGGCTTCACGGACGACGAATGGCGCTTCGCACGCAAAGCGTGCCTGTCGTCGGCCAGCTGCATCATCCGGATCCTGTCGCTGCAGCAAGACAGTGCCATCCACAAGTTTTGGCTCGTGAGCTTCTTCCTTCTCGGTGCCTCTATGGCGCTGGTGATGGAGCTCTGCTGTGCGCGTCAAGACGAGCTTGACGCAGCTTCGGTGAGAGCCAGCCTTTCGACAGCGGTATCGCTGCTTTCCAAAGCAGGACCTGGAAGCGAAGCTGCGCGCAACTCGCGACGCATTCTCAAAGAACTGCTGAGCGCCGAGAACAAGATTCGTTCTGCATTCGCTCGTTTGGGTGGACTGGAGAGGATCGCAGAAACGAGACTGGATACGAGCGGTCCAAAGGATGTGTTCCTCGATGTGCTGCAAAAGGTGTTTCACAGCATGTCGCGATGCAAACGCAAGCGCGAAATTGATGATGGTTCCGGTGGTACACAAGCAGCCAAGCGCCGCATCGAAGCAGCAGATTCTGCTCGACAAACGCGTGAATCGACGGCCTCTTCGGTGGGCCGTGGAGATGGAGCGGCTGGGAGCAAGACGCGCGGTGCCAACGGACACGCAAGTGGACACGTGGGCAACGGTACGGCATCTTTCATGGAGGGAGGATACAGCTGGTTGGATCCGAACAACTTTGGTGGTATGACGGCAGATGGTGCGGGCGGGGCGCTGGAGGCATTGTCGGTGGGGGACGGAACGGTAGCGTCGAACGAGAGCGACTGGCAAGGGGATCAGACGCTGTTCCCTTCGTTGGATGGGATACTGTCGGGAGCGCTTTCGATCGATGAGTGGCTCGGCTCGTCGTATCCATTTGATCATCTGTGATGCAGCGGTAGTATGAGCTGTAAAGTGGGAGAGAGATATCTGTATTTTCATACTGTATGCGATTCTGTAATCAATACTGTAGCAATAGCGATGCGATCGTGCACGAGCCTGCTGAATTATTCGTGCTGCGCCTTGCCGTCTTTGATGGCGACGAATTCTTGACCGATGGCAATCTGCAAGGTGGAAGGATCGGTGAAATTGACGGCGTCCGGACCGAGCACAGTGGTGGTCTCTGGATCGTGGAAGAAGGCCTGGGCATCCTCTAGCTTGGCAAAGACAAAGGTGGAACAGCCATCGTAGGGCATGACCTGCATCGGATTCTGAGGGCTGAGAGCGTCCGGACCGAACATGGCCGTGATGGGCTGCTTGGCTTTGTCGGCCATGCAGTGGAATTGCGTGTAGGAGACGCACTTGTGTCGAAGCAGAACGGGAGCGGCCAGAGCGGCGTGGGATTGCGCATAGTATTCGGAGAACTTTTCGTCCGAGATGTCGTGCTTCTTTTTGAGATAGATGGACACTTTGAACAGCTTCTCCCACTTGCCAGGGAGTGCTGACGAGGATGATGTATCAGTTGACATAGTGCGTGATTGTGCGCTTTGAGCTTGTGTGATGGGATGATCAGATGATGGGCTCGAGGTGATGGTGGCAAGAAGCGAAATGGCCCGAGCGTTGCCAAAAAAAGTGGATTAAGCGCTCATTTAAGCGCCTGTGCTGCTCCAGTGCTGATTCGCTGCCGATGCACTGCGGTTGCACCGCGGCTATCTTGCCGTTCTGCCACGGGACGCCACCATCGGAGTTTGGCCGAACCTGCCGAATTGGACAGCTCTCGATCGGAATCATGCTCAAGCTCTGCAATGCTGTTGTTTGCTATGAATACATGCTCTTCTGTCTGCCACTCGATCTCTACAGTTGTGACACTTTGGCAGCTAGCAAGCAAGCAAGCAACAAAATAGATTGCCGTCCTTGGTCCCCCGCGCCACTTCGGCTAGCATCGTATTCTGCATGAGCCTGGCTCGCTAACAAAGCTCGTTCCTCGTCAAACACGGCATCGGCTACCACTTTTCTCCACACTCTGCCCCAACAGGTCGCCGGTCACCACAAGGATCCTGCAATCCTCCTTCTTCTTCTCATCCGCAGATCCATCCGTCGGCGCGCCCATCAGGGTCCGGTCTCATTCTGGTTTCGGCAAAGCGACCCCGCATGCTCTGTTGCTGCACCCCAAGATCTGCTGATCATGCCAAATCGGACGCTTACCCGCTTGCCCGGCCACTTCATCAACTCTGTTTTCCACGGCGTTAACAACGTTACCTGATCTGGCAGTCTTGTCTCCGGTCCGCGAGGTCTGTTCGAGTGCACACTAGCCGTTCCTGTGTTGGCCGTGTCGCTTCGCTTCCCTGATCCCAAAGTCGAACAAGGTGGGGTTGCCGGTGCTCCTCCTCGTCCGAGGTGCACACTTCTACAGGTCCATCATATATATAAGCCAGGAGGCGACCACGCTTGCTTCAATTCGTTGACTTGCCCCTCATCGAATCCGATCCCTACCCACCCGCATCATGCTCACTTCCCTCTCGCTGCTTCAGAGCAGCCTCATCTTGGGGCTCGCCTTGATTTCTTTCTCCTTAGCCTCTCCCATCGCTTCCCAGCCTTTTGCCGACCTCATCCTCAAACGTGAGCAGAGCAACCCCCAGGATGGTCTCACCGTCGACCTCGGTTACTCAAAGTACAAGGGCACCTACAACGACACCACCCACATCAAGTCATGGAAAGGTATTCGCTTCGCAGCCTCTCCTACCGCCGAGCTCCGATGGCAAGCTCCTCAACCTCCCTCCCTCAACCGATCAGAGGTCATCGACGCTAGCCAGTATGCCTCACAATGCCCTCAGATCCCTTTCGGTAACCCCGACTTCCAGATCAGCGCTCAGTATCAAGGCGACATGGAAGACTGCCTCTTCCTTAACGTCTTTGCGCCCGAGAACGCGACCAACTTGCCTGTCATGTTTTGGATCCATGGGTAAGTTCTGTTTCGTTTCACTTGTGATCACACTGAGTGGCGCTGACCATCATCATCTTTTTGCATTTTGCAGTGGAGGATACGGTGCTGGCAATGGACAGTACGACTTCACCCAGCTCATCAACGCAAATGGAAACAACTTTGTCGGTGTCGCCATTCAGTACCGTCTTGGCGCCTTCGGCTTCCTAGCCTCTGATGAGCTCAACCGTCACGGCGTAGTCAACGCTGGCATCAGGGACCAGCACTTTGCCATGCAGTGGGTTCAAGCTTACATCCAGCAGTTTGGTGGTGATCCTCGCAACGTCACCATCGCCGGAGAATCCGCTGGAGGCGGTTCCGTCATGATCCACTCGCTAGCTCAGGGTGGCTCCCTCGGCACCTCTCTCTTCAAGAACGTCATTGCGGCTAGTCCCTACCTGCCCTTCCAGTATGGCTACAAGGACTTCGAGCCTTCCCAGTCCTACTACGCCTTTGCTGCCTCGGCTGGCTGCTTCGACGCCACTGCCTACGGCAACACCAACCAGAGCATCCTCGAATGTCTCGTCAACAAGGATGCCGCCACACTTCAGCTCGCCAACGTCAAGACCGCCGCCAGCGCCTTTTACGGTACCTGGCCCTTCCTCCCCGTCACCGACGGCGCATACATCCTCGACGTTCCTTCACGACAGCTCAACCAGCGTAAGGTCAACGGAAAGCGTCTCCTCGTCGGCAACAATGGCGCCGAAGGTGGTCTCTTTGTTCAGCGAAATATGGACACCGAAGCAAAGGTCAGGAACTGGCTCTCGACGTTGCTCCCGCTCTTGACCAAGGAGGACATCGACAACGTACTCTTCCACTACCCCGTCGACACCAACGTCACCGGCAACTATGCCACCAACGGCGTCGAAATGCCCGATGCCAACAGCGTCTCGCCTGTTGCTCACGGCCAGCAGGCGCGAGCAGACGTGAGTTTCTTTTCTCTCTCCTCTCCCGCTTATGCATCCTTTCTACGTCCGGACGCTGACCTTTTCTTCTGCCTTGCCTGCTTTCCCTTCCTCGAAATGTAGAACATCTACGGAGAGCTCACCTTTGTCTGCCCAAGCTACTGGATGTCGGAAGCTTACTCTGGGTCCGGCCGCGAATCGTACCGCTATCAGTACAGCGTTCCCCCGGCGCTCCATGGCAACGACGTCTCCCAGTACTTTGGCCCCGGCACCAACGTCACCTCGCCCGACTTTGTCAAGGCTTTCATGAACATCTACGGCAACTTTGTCACCAAGGACAACCCATCCATCGACGCTCAGCTCGTCTACGGTGCCAGCAGTGACGCTGACAAGTCGCAGCCCAACGCAGCTGGGAACTGGCCCGAGTACTCGATCAACACTCCGTACCAGATCAACCTCAACCAGACCGGTGGCACTCCTAGCACCATGCCCAATCTCGGTGCCGAAGTCACCATCTTGACCGGCTCCAGCCTGCGTAACGACTTCTCCAAGGTCAACGCCTACACCTGGGAAGGTGGACGAGGTCGCAGGTGCGAGTTCTGGAGATCCATCGCCAGCATTCTGCCATCCTAAAAGAGAAGCTCAGTTCCAAACTTAACACGATCAGTGCGGCCCTCATTGCTTGCTCTCCTCGCTGCACATCGTGCAGTACACTTTCTATTGCAATCAAAGCTCGGCCATGCTTGATGCATTGCAGAGACGACGTCGCGTGATCGGTCGAGTCTTGAGATGAGGGTGTCTGTCACATGAATGAAGAAACGTACGTGAGTTTGCAAGAAACCGTTGGGTTGGGTTGGGCGAACTCGCTGAGCACGGGCGGTTCGAATTCTCAACTGGCACACACGAGCCGTTTGCGAAATGTACGTCAATCGGCTGTGATCTTCGTTAAAGGGCCATTTCACACCTTCACAAACGATCACAAAAAAGCCGGATATCTGCATAAGAAAGAGAAGTGATGAAATTCTGCCAATCAAAAGGTTACACACGACAAAAGCGCAAGATAATCGCCAAGATCCTCAAAATCCTGCACCTCCGCACTAATTGTGGTAAAATATCAGTGTTTTGTGCTTGTCAATGTCAATCTACCGCACCTGACGGCTCTGTAGTCTTTTTCTTAGCCCATGCGTATATTGCTTCAGCGGTCAAAAGTCATTATCAAAAATAGACTGAGAGAACTAAGACGAGATGATGTCCAGTAAAAGCTTTGCAACAAAATGTTCGAATCTTCTGTCTCTTCTTGGCCTTGGAACGTGGCGATCCTAATTTCTGATGAGGCGGATCACGGCAAATGCATCATGGAAGTTTGTTAAAATCGATTTTATTGTTCAGTTACTGTGTCAAATTTGTTGGCCCGCTTTTGCTTAAAGGATTTTGTCGTCTATTCACAGCCAGATTGTGCTCGGGTTGCCTGCAGCAGATCATCCAGACAATTTATATAATGCTACGAAAAATCAAATATGGCATCTTAAGCTAATTCATACCTTTTGCCGAACATTGAACTTTCTTCCACCTCGATTTTTACACGCGGCTGTATGAACTCAATGTAATTAATGAAAAAGTATAGCGACAAACTTGCGCAATTGAGGCCGATATCGATGACACGAACAGTATCCGATTTTGTCGAAGGAGTTCCTCTGCGTAACATCTTGTGATAATAACGAGCGATATGGACAATCCTTGATGGAAAGTCGCGACTGGATTAACAAAATATACTATCATCCTTTTTTGTTCTCATATTCCAACGAGTATTCGCACGAAGGTCTCACATGTAAACGAAGAAGAAGACAGTTTACATAGTTTGCTGAGAGACAAAATTAAATTTTGCGAGGCAAGCAGTGGCTCAGCCTCAAACGCACAAGAAAGAGAAGGTTGCATGAGCGCCGCCAAGGTGAGCTGTGACTGCGGATTCCCAGACGCTGGCCGTCATTCCACAACTCATTAACGCCGGGTGACAGCAGCTCATGGCATGGAAGCAGGGCTCGTACAGAGATTAGGTGCAGGTTCAACTTCGACTGGCAGCCCCGATCGATCAGCGTTTGCAAGATTGCCACCACAAAAGCCACGATGAAGAGGTCCGAACGCTGTACTGAAGCTGCAAGAAGATGCGATGATCTGTGCGGTCAAGAATGTAAGCGGCTCGCTTGGAGCGTGGTGTCCAGTGGACTGGCAAGGTCTCTTAGGCGACGAGCTCAAGACGACATTACTGAAAGCGGTCATGTGGCAACCGGACGCCGAGCTGTCAAATTCTCATGCTCCCAATTGTCACAGATGCCGCATCGGCGATCAGCATCACATACTGTACGGCAGTCAAGTAGGTGCATGTGATGATTATAGCTGGCGCGTGGGTCTATGTCAGAAGGAAAGTGTACAGAGTGGGTCCACGATGAAAGGGTATCATTGCCGAGCAATATCACGATTCTATTTGGCTGCAGCGGCTCTCTTGACATCTGGCTCTTTTGATGGAGGGGCTTTTTGAAGATAGGAGCGCATAAAGAAGTTGAAGAAGAGGGCGAGGAGCGGCTGTTGCGACAGGGAGCGAAAGATTAAGCAGGCCGTAAGCAATTGTCGTTTTGCTTTGTGAGTACATGAGAGTAGCGGTCATGTTGAGGTACTTACGAACATGTACATGGTGTTGACGTGGAGCGCAATCTCTGCACCAGTGGTCTGCATGCAAGTGGAAGGGTCTGACGAAGCGGCGCGAGCGAGAGCGTGAGTGAGGAGGGATTGGTCGCCGGCACCACTCGACTGATACCAGGATGACACCTTGTGAGCCTTGTACCCTTTGACGACCTGAGCCGGGTTGAAACTAGTGAGGAGGTAGAGGTTGGTGAGGAATGTTCCAGAAGCGATCTGTGCGATCTGCATTGTGGTGAGATTGCGCTTGACGGCGCGAGGGAACGGCCATCGCATTGCGGCGCAGAAGTAGTAGGTGTACATCCAGGTGTGGACGAAGCTGTTGAAGACGCAGAACACCCAGACTGGCTGGCTCTGATATCGGTATGCGACCCACATGCAGATGATGGCACCGGCATGGTGGTACGACTGCAAATTCGAGACTCGCTTTCCCTTAAGGAGCAGAATAACCGAGTCGACGACCTCGTAGTACTTGCTGAGGTAGAAGAGGTAGGCGTAAACACCGAGCTCTGGGAAGTTGGTGGGCATGGAGCAGAGTGCCAACTTGACACCTTGGAAACCCGCGGCGCTCCAGCCCTGGAGGAAGAAGTCGACGACGAGGGGGAACATCCTCGCCCACGTCCAGCCGCTGTACACAGCGAGCGCTGCATTATGCGTGAGGATCAAGAATCGGAGCAGCATGGGTGCTAGGCCCGAGCCTTTGGTGAAGTCTTTGCTGCCATTCTTCTTGACGATTCCGTTTGCGGCATGAGCGACGATGTAGTAGACGAGGGAGAAACCAAGCGGCAGCCATGGACTGAGGCTCTTGTCGAAGGTTGCGGGAGAAACGAGCCTGGTGAAGAGCTTGTGATGCTTCGGGTATTCGGGGTAGGGTGCGGACAAGGTGTCCCACGCGGTCGATCCACGGAAGGAAGGGTCCAACGGGTAGGGTTTGGCCTTGAGGCCGAAGAAGGTCGACATTTTTGAGTCGGCGGTGGGGTGATGATGATGATGATGATGGTGGTGGTGGTGTGTATCGGAGCAAGGCCGAAGTGGAAAGGCGAGTGTCGGTCTCGTTGGGCAAGAGGGATTCACGTTTCTATTCTTGTTGATTCTTCCTGATTGACACGCCACTTTTCTCCGCGGATACGCGTCTGACAAAAGGAGTCGGAGCAGATGCCGATGAGCTGCAATTTTAGCTCATCACCCGCACTTTCACACAGCACGCATCGCATTGCCGTGTCGGAAGATTCCGTTGCTGGGAATCACCTTGGTGATATCACATTACCCTTTTCGCCGTTCAAACGCTCAGATATCGATAAAGGCGACGGCGTTTTGGTTATGGATGCATTTGACTGAGCGTATTTCACAGCTTCGACTTGGTAAGCCCTTCGGGGCGATCGGGACCATCCACCGCATCGCTTCGGTACAGCTCGATCCGTTTGTTGGCGTCGCTGATACCCAACTCGAGCAAGATGTCATCGGTGTGTTCACCAGGCGTGAGCAGCATCTCGGCTCCTTCGCTCTCCCACTCACCACCCGCGCTTCCCGAAGGTGGGTTGGCAGGCGTTCGCGACAACCTCGGCGCAGGTGATGGGATGACCGGGTTGCCGTCCGACACGCTCTCTGCTGATGCTGCTGGCAACACGCCGGAAAGCGCCGCTTCATCTCGAGTAAGGACGGGTACAGTGCAGGCATCGGTGCGGATAAAGTGTCGTTCCCACTCGGATCGAGGAAGCTGCGCAAAGCACGCACTGAAGTATCGCTGCAAGTCTGGCCATGTATCCCGGTCGTGCTGCGTGCTGGGCGAAGGGTGTTGGGTGCCTGCAGGTGCTTGCGGCAGCACCTTGCGAAGGATGTCCAGCAGTAGCTTGTAGAACTGGGGCTCGATGGCGCCGACGCTCATGTAACCGCCGTCTTTGCATGCATATACACCGTACCAGGGTGCGCCGCCATCCAGCGTGTTCTGACCGCGTGTATCGTCCGTACCGTCGCTGTGAATTGCACCCCAGCTTGGATGCGAAAGGTAACTCGAAAGCAGCACGAACGACGACACGTATCGAGCACCCGTCACCATGTCCGCCTCGACAATCTGTCCTTGCGACGAACGACTCCGCTCCACCAACGCCAGCAAGATGCCCAGCAGGCAGATCATCGATCCGCCCGCAAAGTCTCCCAGCAGATTCGACGGAGGCTGTGGCTTTCCTCCCGCGTTGCCCAGCATCGAGAGCACTCCGCTCAGCGCAATGTAGTTGATGTCGTGTCCCGCCATGTTGGCGTACGGTCCCGTGCGCTGGAATCCCGTCAGGCGAGCAAAGACCAGCCCCTTCTTGATCTCCTTGTCAAAGTCTTGCGGTCCCAGTCCGAGCCTTTCCAGCACGCCGGGACGGAAAGGGTCGATGACAATGTCGGCAGATCGAACCAGCTGTGCGATCAGTGCATTTCCGTCAGCGCTCTTTGGCGAGACCGCGAACGAGCGTTTGCCACGGCACAGGCTGTCCGGGTTGAGACCTGTGCCTGTCTTGTCGATTCGAATCACATCCGCTCCGAAGTCTGCCAGCACCATTCCTACGAACGGACCAGGCGCCAATCCGGAGAATTCTACCACCTTGATCCCAGCCAGGGGAAGGTTCGAATCAGCACCTTTGCCGCCAATGGAAGACATTTTGAGGCTGTTCACGTTCTTGACGTGATGAGAGAAGCGTAGATGGTGATGGCTACTAGCAAAGGGCTACAACAGCTGGTCCTTCTACAAAGTCAAAGCGTGCACGATGCGGGGTCGGCTCTGCAATTTCACCGGTCTCTTGCTCGGCCCGTCGCGAGGAATTTAGCGAGCTATACCTGCCAACCTCGCCCAACACACCCCACGCTCTTTTCACATCTTCCCTCGATTGGACCCTGAATCCATTCATTCATTTCAGTCTCGAGTTCACGTAGGCAAGCACTCGCTCGGACAACGACCAACATCAACGAGAAAAGACTGAATGGAATTACGATCGACACTCCCAAATTCTACTGGCTGTACAACGCTTTCTGCTCCTTCTCAAACTGGCCATAGTCAATCACTCTGCCTTCCTTCCTTGATGTCTCGGACGCGAAGACCATCAAGTGACTTCTGAGCACGTCCTCCGGCGTCACTCCCAGGTGTCTCGCATCCTTCTCAGCGACCGCCTTCACAAACGCCCTCGCCAGTCCCAAATCTCCACCGCCGTGACCACCACCTTCGTGTTGTGGCGTCACCGTCCTCTTTTCCTGCGTCGAAAAGTCAAACACGCTGAACGTCTCCATGTTGCCGATCAGCTCGCCGCGTGTGCCGTGGATGCGTGTCGATCGGTTGCACACCACTTCCGAGAACGCCACCATGGTGATGTTGGCCGTAGCGCCCGACTCGAACTCGATGTTGACCACTTGGTTGTCCACCACATCGTTCTGTCCATTGTACACGCACAGCCCGTACGGTCCTTCGGCGATCGCCTTGCCCACGTTCTCAATGTCGACCACGTCGGTGATATGTTGTGCCCACTGTACGTCGGAATAGGGAGAGGGTCAGCATTTGTGTACGTAGAGCGACCAGACTGAGACGACCAACTTACGCGTTCCGGATCCGGAGCGTCGCTCATCACCGGCTCGAGATAGATCTTCTTGGCGCTGTACGGGCACTTTCTCTCGTATGCACAGTCGGTGCACCTCTTGGCGTCTCCAGCCTCCTTCGGCTTCTTGCTCGGCTTGAAGTGGGCCAGCGAGCCGAACGATGAGACCCGTGTGGGAACATCCTTGCCCATGTAGTACGAGAGGATGTCGAGATCGTGGCAACACTTGGCCATCAGGGAGAAACTCGTCGTCGCTTCGTTCTTCCAGTTGCCTCGCACGTACGAGTGCGCAAAGTGCTGCCATCCGACGGGCTCGATGTGCTGAATGTTGATAATCTCGCCGAGCACGCCCGAGTCGATCACCTCCTTGACTGCGCGGTTGTACGGCGAGTATCGCATCACTGGTTTCGATGATTGCCGCGAGACAGCAAGGAAGGTACACATCAGCATGAAGGGTCATAATGGTGCGCATGAGAGGGCAAAGAGCACGTACCGTGACCAATTCCGAAGATGAGATCCGTGTCGCGGACGTTGTTGACCATGGTCACACAGTCCTTGATCGAGTTTGCCATGGGTCTGCATTCGGTGCAATCAAAGATCCCGATCGAATTCGTCAGTGCCCTTCCGCATAGCAGGTTTCCTTGCTGGTGTGGTCAACTCACTTTTCGCAGAGGATGTGGTATCCGAGCGGTGCAAACACGCTCACCACCTCGGCGTGCGTGTCGTCCATTGTGCAAATGGCTACTGCGTCGCAAACCTTGCCGGCTTCCGAGAAGCTCTTCCATCCGTCGTACTGGTTCTCTTTCGGCACACTGTCACAAAGCAAGAGAAGGCAACGCGGTGAGTAGGGCTTCCACCTCGTACAGCTCCGAGGCTGACGCTGTACTTACTCGTGGATCTTGCTCATCTTCTCACGTCGGAACTTCCACGGATCCGCAACGGCAACGACCTTGCATAGGTCCGGGTATTTTGCCGCATACCTGCCACAATTCAAGCACCAGAACGCGATCGTCAGCCACACCATTGCATGTTTGAACCTAAGGGTCTTGTCAATCCAAACTTACGCAGCATAAGCACTTCCACGCTGACCAGCGCCGATGATGGCGAGCGTCACGGGCCGGCTGGTTTCTCCGATCGACATGTCTATTGTGCTTGCGGTCTTGATGGCGGATGCCAATGGTGTCTGTCTGGATGGTGGTCACGATGATAGCGTTTCGTTGATGTTTGTACCGTCAAGGCTTTTTATTGCGAGAGCACCGACAAGACGGGCAAGGGACCAAGGGTCGCATCCAAAGCTCGGCGACTTGTGCGGAGAGGGAATACAAACACTCGCTGGGATAGGGTCCTTCGCAACCTGCAGCTGTTGAACATGATTAGAAATAGCCAGACTCACACGGAAACCTGCAACACCTCGCGGCGATAGCAGGGTCACCGCTCACCGAGCTCGGTCCGACGTCGCCGACGCTTTTGCTCGGCGCCGTTGCCTCCGTCTGGCATCCCCTCAACCATTCTCTCTGCCTTCCCTCAATGACTCCTTCGTGCATCGTCCGCGCTCCCTTATCTTGCACTGGAACAGCTCGCGTGGTATACTTTTAAGCAAAGTATCGTGCTCCAGCTATCTGAGACACAGTCCTACCCCGCAATTTGAGGTTTGGGTCGCCGCGCCAACACCGATAACCGCCATTCTCAAAAGACCCACCTTTACCTGCTTCACTATCCATCGACACCCAGTGCTCGATTCCCGTACGCTCAAGCTGTAACCTCTAACCTTGCAGGCGGGAACCGGACCGGAACGTCCAGTCATCTTAAAGACACTCTGATCTCCACACAACCATCTCGAGCAGATCAAGAGCCGCCAGTTCGAATTGCCATCACATGACACCACCGTGCCGCGCCCACGTCTGACACTGGCTGAGCGTATCCAGCAGCGGCGTGGCGGGGTGTTGGATCGCATCCTGCGAGCCTTGTTGCTGCTGGTGCTGCCAAGTCGTGCTGCCGCCGTTCGCACCTGCAGCTGCGCCGTTCTGATCGGCGATTCCACCTCCATTGCTCGCAGTACCATGCCTGTGATCTCGACTGTCTGTGCCTCTCATCGAAAGGTCGTCAGTCGGAGACCAGCCCGCGCCTCCACTGCCACCGTTGAGACCACCGCCAGCACGACGATCCGATCCGTGGCTGAGAACCATATTCGCATGCCCGATGTGCTTCGAGTAAACATCCAAAAACACATTGATCAACTCAACGCTCCTCGTCCGGTCCCTCGGCAAGAGTCGTTCCGGGTACTCGGCGAGCACGTTCATCAAGAACAGCACCGATCTCGTCAACGCCCAGTGGAACCACAGTGGCAAGACGAGCACGTTGAGCGAGACCTCGTTCCAGTTCCTACCGTTGGCACTGCCGTCGACGTGAGCGCTGCCGTTGATGGTGGGGATGCAGATGAGCTCGAGCGAGCGTAGGGCTCCTTCGACGCCTCTGGTGAGGCATTCGCGGAGCGTCCTGCTTCGGAGCGATTGCAAGTCCGCTTCTGAGGATGTCTTTTCTTTGCCTCCTCGCGACGAGGTGGAGATCTGACCGAGACTTCCGTCCCACAGCGTAGAGTCCAAAAAGTCGCATCCGATGGAGGCGATCAGCACTCTGGCTAGGAAGAGATCCAGGTAGAGCATGCTCTCCGACTCTCCGATCGCATCGGCTTCCAACCTGCCCGCCATCTCTTCCTGGCACGAGTCCAGCTCTTCAAACGCTCCCAGCACCGCCTGCAAACAATACGCTGCATCCATCGCTGCACCCATCCTACCAGTCTGCGCCGCTGCAGCATCCCCCACCACCGTCGATCCGTCGCGACACGATTGACACCCCCTCGACGGGCTCTCGTTCGACCCCGCAGTCGCCCTATCCCCCTTGCCCCAATCCACCGACCCACTCCCCGCTACATGGTACGCCTTGCTCAAGATCCACGCGATCCTCGAATGGATGATCAACACGCGATCTCTCAACGTCGTCCTCTGCGAAAGACCCTTGGAGTACTGCAACGAATCGCATACCGCATGCGGCGACGACATGCCCGCGATCGACGGTGTCCCCTCCATGCACGCCTGGTGGATCTCTGTGATGTAGGCGCTCAACCAGACGCGCAGAAGATCCTGCTTGCCCAGATCCCTCGGCGGTGGGAGGATGCTCATGATCTCACCCATGGTCATCATCGCCGGATGCTGCTGTTGACGCAGGAACTTGGCGGACCACCATCGAGCCAGACGCGACGCCATCCATGCGCGTTTCCCGCCGAACCACGAGGCGAAGAGACTCGCACCGACGATCTCCTCCACGCCGATACCGAGTTCCGGATCGAGCTCCTTCTCGAAATGCAGATTGGACTGGAGATGCGAGGACCGATAGGCCGAGGACGAGAAGAGCGTCTCGTACACGTCCGAGCACGGAAAGCTAGGGTCGTCGGTCTGAAGCCGTGCGATGAGGTCGTTCTTGAGCGGTGCGTGGAGCCGGTTGAGTTGGGCATGGTGGAGCGAAGCGACGCAGACGACCGAGGTGAGGATCATGGGCGACATGATGGCGTCGGGTCGATACGTGGGGAAGCCGAAGCTGTACTGGTCGAGGTACTCTGCAAAGAAGCGGAAGAGCACCACGGCGTCCGAGGGGGAAACGAGTTCCTGTTTGATCACGTTGGGTCTGGGATCTTTGCTCCCCACATCGGACGTAGCCATGCGGTAGAGGTTGGGGAAGACGCGTTCGCCGGCGCGCGAAACCTCCTTCTTGCGATCCAGCACGCTCATCCTCAGCTTTTGGATCGCCGACAAGGGTCGTGACGCCTGGTCGTTCTCGTCGTCGGTATGGAAGGCGCCACGCTCGCCGTTGGCCGCAACGCCATCGTCATCCGGCAAAGCGTGGTCTTCCTGCAGCGACGCGCTAGCATTTGAAATCATGTGACCACCAGCGGAACTCGCGGCGTCAACGACGCTCATCCTCGTTCTAGGCGATGCGCCGTATCCTGCGCTGCTGGTCGAAGCAACGAGCGATCCGAGCAGTCCGGTGCTGCTGCTGTCTGTATGCGCTTGATGGTGGGACTGGTGCTGGGCGTCGCGCGGCGAAAAGTGCGTGGTGGACGGATAGCTCGAGGCAGGGTTGCTGTTGACATCGGCGTAAATGGGGCTCCCCGCTGTATGAGCATGGCTAGCGTATTCAACGCTCGGGCCGTCGTTCGAGGTCCTCTGATCGTTGGCGATGGTCGTGCGTCTTCGCTTCTTCGATCCACCATCGTGATCGGTCCTCGCCGCCCCGAGCGATTCACGCGACCTAGGCAGGCCGCTCCTCCTGCTCCCGTGACCATCCAAGGCCGAAGCACCGTCTCCCATCTGCTTTTCTAGGAAAGTCTGCAACGAACCTTCGAGAGCAGCCAGCTGATGTTGAACCCTCATCTGCCAACTGAGCGGCTCCTTCTTGCCCTGCAGCTCGCAACTCACGCCGAGACGAAGACACCTCCGACAGCTTGCAGCGTTGTCCTCAAACACGCATTTCACCTTGCTCTGACGGCATCGAAAGCAGGTCTGTGTGCGCTTGGGTTTGTCCTGATCGTCCTCGTGGCTCTTTTCGGGTGAAGAGGGTGCGTTGGAACCTGACGTGGAGTGTGTTGTGACCGAGGTGGCCGGCGGTGCTGATGTCGACGCCGCTGAGTGCGACGTGCTTGTAGACATGATTGCGAGGGTGTTGCGGTCAATTCGGTTGCTAAGGAGCAAGGGTGATGGTGAGGAAGGACACCATGCATGAAACAGAAGAAGGACGATAGCGCCACGATTCCCGCAAGGGTCCACTTGGCCCGAAGCGTGGAAAGCAAGGCAGGGAGATAGCAAGGCCAAGTCGGACGGGATTGGACGACGGCTGTTGCTCGGCGACCTACACGAGAAAAGGACCGAGCAAGGCTTCACCAAGAACAAGACTCGGTTGTTGCACAGGCAACAGTAAAGCGGACGCTCTGATTGGTCCCCCCACACTGATTTCGCAAGCGTCGAGGGGCCAGAGGCTGAAAGAGGGAAAGAGAGATAAGTTGGCAGTCCGCTCAACCCTTTTGCTTGATATCTTTCCCTTTCGCTTTCCTGCAAGAGCCGCTCGGCTATAAGAATTCTCACCAAGATGCAGTCCCATCCATGTGGCACCGTCGTACGGGAGCCGAGAAGCCCGCACATTTGGCTCAACGTCATCGTCATCTTACCACCCTGGCCCCCTTGACACCGAACAACGGCAATGCAATGCTATTCCCGTACACGCTTCTACGCTTTACATTACCGGCTCTAGACACCTTCTGACGTGGGCTCGACATGCTTGCCATGATGGATCTCATCTATGAGGAACGTACAGAGAGAAGGCTGAATGAGTATGACGAGGGAGTGGCAGACTGGTCCAGGTTCTCTTATGTCCGGGTGCGTAGCGAAACACCACTCTCTCTGAGAGAGGGAGAGAGAGAGTGACCGAGCTCGGTCCGCGCGTATAAAGCACGCAGTGTCGTGTGCACCGCATGCCGGGACCAATTCTCCATCCCTCACCAATACAGATCTGCAAAGCGTGCAGCTTCACAATATGACGCCCCATCCGAATCAGCCAGCATCCATCTCCGCAGCGGACAAGTCTTCTCCCATCTACCCACTGACCATTGCCAACGATGGCTTCTCCGGTGTAGGTGAAGAAAAACGAGCTTCGGCAACCTGTTTCTGCGGTCAGGTGCAGTTATCCTTCGTACGTCTCTGCTCCCCTCTTTCCATAACGATATCTCTCATATCGTTGAGTTGAGAACTCAAAGTGTTTACTCTGTGTGTTTCTTGAATGCAGCCCACGGTGGGAAAAGGATTCCGCGGCACCTTCCTGTGTCACTGCGCCGACTGTCGAACCATCACCGCCGCCGCCTTTGCCAACAACTTTACCGTCAAACTCTCCCACATTCAAGACGTCCGTGGCCAGTCCAGTCTCAAGCAGTACGGTCAATCCACCACGATCGCCTCGGGAAACTCGATGACCAACTCCTTCTGCTCCAACTGTGGTACCCTCATGTACAGGGTCTCCAGTGGAATGCCCAATTTGGCTTTCATGAGGGTCGGTACCGTAGACGACTTTGCTCTCCACGATACAATTCTCAAGCCCCAGATCGAGATCTTTGCAAAGGACAGACTGGGTTGGCTGAAACCGTTGGAAGGCGTTGCGCAGTCGGAAGCTCAGCCTGCCAAGTTGTAAGTTGTGCAAATCTTGTTTTGTGATCTTGCAGCGCGCGTGTGCGTCAGAGTAGAGGCGTGTCATCATGGGTATCCGTATCGTAATTGCATCTAGTAAAGGCCGTGACAGGAAGAGATACACTCGTACAATAGTAACAGAAAACACGACAGCTCGTCTGGAGAAGGTATGGGAGCAGCGGACGGGAGAGCAGCTCGACGGCAAGCGAATGCGAGACAACGCATGCCATGCAGTCAAAGCCGATGCGAGACGCTTGGACGAGATAGCATGCAAACGCGCGCAGCTGGACTGCATCGGACGCCTCTTGTCCGCTTTCAGTGAAGCTGGATCACTTGGGCAGAGCAGCCACCGCGACTTCGTCATCGCTCGCGCCCTTTTCGGACACACTCGATTTCTCCACGTCGGCCGAAGCCACGTCTTGCTCGATGGTCTGGAACTGGTCGATCGCGGTGCTCGCGAACTTGCGTGCAGGAACTTTGGCCGCGAACAGAACTTCGAGCTCTCCGTATGTCCTGCAAGATTTGAGGCGGAACGTGAAATGGGTGTGAAAAGTTTCAAGGGAAATTTCAGGAACAGAGCGGGAGGAAGAAGTGTCAGTTTGGCGCGTCCAGGTCATGGCGTTGTGCAGAAGAGACCCTTGCAAGTTTGTCAAGGGTCTTCTTGTTGAGTTTCGTTTGTGTACGTACCTGTTGGCCAGCTCGGGCAGGCGGAAGTAAGTCCAGACGATGGAAATCGCACATGTACCAGCCCAGAAGAGACCGGTCTTGGCCTGAAGATTCCAGGCGTCCGAGTTGAGCATGTAAGCCTGGAGGATGTTGGCGACGATGAGCCCAATGTTGTACGTGTTGCAAGCGAGCACGATCGTCTTGCTCCTTAGCCTGGTCGATGAGACCTCGGCGATGATGGCAAAGCAAATCGGGCCGACGGTGAGATCGTAGACGAAGGTGCAGATCAACAGCATGGCGCCGATAGCCCACGAAACCGCCGTCGTCTGGCCGACAAAGCCCAAGATACCAGTGACGAGCATGGTGGCGAACATGACCAACTGACCCCACAAGTACATCTGTCGACGGCCAACACGGTTGACCAAGAACCAAGAGCTGATGGTACCCAGGGCTCCGAGAGCGTACATGCCCATCGACATGTTGAAGGCGTTGATGGTCGAAAGTCCTGCTTGGCTGAAGAAGTAGGTCGAGTAACCTTGGAGCGGCGCACCAGAGGTGATCTGGATGAGCCATGCCCAGCATGCGATCTCGGTACGGCGAAGGTCGACACCTTTAAAGCAGTCGATGTAGCGGTTCTTCTTCTCGACCGCCTGGTCATTCTCGTTGATCTGCTCCAGAGCCTCGGTATACTGAATCATGGCTTGGTAATCCTTCACAAGCTCTTCGGCTTCAGGAGCCGACAACCCTTGCTTGCTGAGGATGCGGTCGAGCGACTTGTATGCCTGTTCGTCCTTGCCATGTCGTGTGAGCCACCATGGGGACTCCGGAGCAAAGATGCACGTGATGAAGACGGGGAAAGGCCAGAAGAACTGGAGTGCGTAGGGGATCTTCCACGCCCAGACATCGGATCGCACGACGGTGGCTCGCAGCACACCTGCCGCCAGAAGCTGACCGAACACCCAGCACAGGTTGACGTAGGTGGTCAACAGGGGTCGAAGAGAGACTGGGCAGATCTCGGAGGCGTAGGCTGAAGCAAGAGACTGGAATCCACCCCAAGGGATACCCATGAGGATCTGACCGGCGAGGAAGATGGGAAGACTGGTCGCGAAGAAGGGGATGAAGACGAACGACAGCATGAGAACGGTGCTGATCATCATGAGTCGAAGGTGACCGATTCGTTCGGCGACACTACCGGCGAGCTGCAAGCCGATGATGCCGCCAATCCAGGCACCGTTGGTCAAGCCTTGTTGCCATGGCGCAGAGATCTCGCAGTCTTGCGAGCCATCGTCTGCCAACTTGCAGGTTCCGAACTTTGCCGTGAAGGCAGGCTGTGCGAAGAAGGAGGAGAGAATACTACTATCATAGCCTATTTGTACGATGGCCAATGAGAAGAGAACAGACCAGACGACAGACTTGGGCCATCGTCGGAAAGTCTCTCGAAGGGTAGAGGAGGTCTGCCACTTGGTGCTGCGAGCACTTCGCTTGACGACCTCGTCGTAACGGTCGCCGAACTTCTGGATGAGCTTGTCTCGAGTATCGGCATCCAGGCGAGCCACGTCGTTGTTGTCGACCAACATGGTGATGGATGTCGGTCAATTGGCTAGATGGACGAGGAGGGGCAGGAGGAGGAGACGATAGGACGGGACGCCGAGATTGTTAGTGGGCGAAGGCGTACAAGATCTCGCGGAGGAATGTGTGGACTGGAAGTGAAGTAAGTGAGGGTCTTGATGTGAGGGGGAGAACATGAACGATGTGGTGTGAGGAGGAGAAGGTGTTGCTTTTATCTGAGTTGCGACCTATGCTATAGCTACGCTTGCAATCACGTTGCATCTCTGCTCGTGCGCCGCGGTGCCTGATTCAGTGCGTGTTCACTCGCATCTCAGCTGCATCGTCCGCACTGTCACATGCTGCACTTCACTTTGCTCGGCAGCACTGGGGTTTTCAACCACACGAGCAAGATAAGATAGGCAGGTCGGGCGGGGGAAGGGCGAGGCAAACACACGATGCGAATGGCACGATTTGCGGGGGGCGAATGGCCACGCGAGATTGGTCGCTAGGTGGTGCAACGCGGGTCAGGGTTGATTGACCAGAAAGCCGTTTGGGTTGACCGACGGTCGGGGCGGGCTCTTGCCAAAGGCCATCTGACAATCTTGACGGCGGTCTCGACTGTAAGCGATAGAAACGTCTCTCTGTGATTCGGGACCAATAAGGAGCGGCGTTGCAGGTGGCGCGGCGCCACAGCTGTCCAAAACGCGAACAATCGCTGAAAACCTGTCGAAAATTTGGAGAATGAATTCAAAAAGGGATGCATAGCGGAGTCGTTATCCTGTATCTCGCGCTCGCCGACATCGGACCGATGGAGCGCAAGGTTGGCTCACAGCGATAGCCGAGCTGAGACCGACGAGGTTGGTCCAACGGTCAGCTGGTCGTTCCGCATGTCTTGCACTGAGAGCGACTGCGCGAACTCGGATCGGCCTTCTCTTGTATCCGCTCCTTATGCGTTGATAGCGACCAGCACGGAGTCGTGAGATAATGGAAGCAAGACTGTGTGCATCGTTCGTCAAGGGTTGCAAGGTGCCAATCAAGTTGGGTGGACCCTGAACACGATTTATGGAAGAGCGGACCGGAGGAAGCCTAATTTGAGTCTTGCCGTGTCCACCGGTCCATTGTCTCCCAAAGGGTCGGCATCGCTCGCTCCACAATCGACCGACGGGTGGACCCATGTGAGATTTGCTTTGACCACCCGATCGAGATTGCTACCATCATCACCATCATCACCAACGTCACCATCACCCTCGACATCACTTGCAGAAGCCATCGACAGTGCTGATATCCATGATGCCTAGCGTCCAAGAGACTTCAACGATGAAGCTAGCGTTCCCGATCGAGGACATTCCACAAGAATGCTTTGCAGCACTGCCCGACGCCTACACCATGCGACCATTGGCGTCAAGCGACTACAGCCGTGGCTTCAACGAAGTGCTAGAGTGCCTGGTAGAAACACCTGACGAAGGCGAAGCCGCATGGAAAGGGCGATTCGACGCCATGGTCGCGGCCAATGGCACATACTATCCGATCGTCATCGTTTCGAAGGAAACGGATAGGATCGTAGCCATGGGAACCGTGGTCGTCGAGCTCAAGTTCTTCCGTGGGCTGACCAAGGTAGGCCACGTCGAGGACATCGTCGTCGACACAAGGTTGCATAGCAAAGGCTTGGGCAAGATCGTCGTCGAAACGGTAAAGGCGATTGGCATCTCGAAAGGTTGTAGCGGCATCATCCTCAATTGCAGCGACGAGAAGAAACGTAAGTCGCGCGGGGAGACTCTCTTGTCATGTGAGCAGAGTACGCTGACGGTCACTCACCACTATTGTCCTGCCCCATAGCCTTTTATGAGAAGTGCGGCTTCACGTACAGCGGCTTGCAAATGGCCAAGAGGCTCCGCTGAGTACGCTCCTCGAAAAGCAATTCCAAGCAGATTCTCTTTGCTAGCCGGCGAGTGTGAGCAACGCCGAAGGAGTTGTGATTTTGTGACAAGAAGAAGCGTGTCTCATCAGAATTGGTGATGAAAAAAAGGGTCCAAATAAAGTGACCGCAAAATGAAGAACAAGGTTTAGTGCGCCTTGCACGGACATCATCACCGCACCATCACCATCATCATTGACACTTCACCCTTCATTCTGCGCCCTCCTTGCCGGAATGAAGCGCTAGAAGTCACTGATCAGGGCAACGCACAAGCACATTCCGTACAACACGTTGCTCCGCGCCTTGCAATGAAAGGTTCCGCACTGGCGCGCTGCTGAATCCCACGCACTCGCGGGATCAGCCAGTGCGCTAACCGCCACGCCCCGCCCAGGATGCCAGATAAAAGAGCTCTCGATGAGCCCTCTGACCAGGCTCCTCCTTTCAAGAGGTCTGCATCTGCACCGATGGTCAGCAGCATGTCCGATCTTTCGGTCCTAGCGACGCTCCAACATCCTCGCATCTCCACTGCCTCTGGCGTTTCGCCCTTTGCAGCACCGCCCTTGTTCCAGCAACCGGCACCACTCTGTTCCTTCTCCTTCGACGAAGCGCGCAAGCAGTGGCAGGATGACCGCTCGAAGAAGTTCTACCGAGGACCACCGCCGTACAACAACCGACACCCTCACCAGAATCGTGCACCCGCTGCGTTCGGCGCCGACCTCAACTATGGCCTAGAGCGGTACATACGGCGGGACGAAGACTTGCCGGAGCATCTGGATGCGCTCGTAGCCGCACTACAGCACAGGACGGAATCCGCTGGCTCGGAAGCTGAGAGGGCCGAGCTGGAGCAAGAACGTAGGAAAGCAGATGTGGTGACGTGGAGAGGAATTGTAACGAAGATCTGCACTGCGTACGAGCAGTCCCCCGAAGCGCGATTTTCGGATCCGCTCGAGCTCAACGCCATGGTGCTCGATGGTACACTATACCTCGAAGAGTACACCTCTGCCTCAGCGATGGCAGAGAAGCAGAGGAAGGAAGACGATCCCAAGATGCTTCGCATGGGCTATTACGGCTACTCGTTCGAAAGCTACTGCACCGTCGACACGGAAGAGCAGACAAGAGAGCCATTCCGCCCGATTCCACACAAAAATTCGCCCGTACATCATCCAGCAGGTTGGGGCGGCGACGTCAACACCAACGTCCAATGGTGTCAGGTAGTGAAAACCAAGCTGGGCAACAACCGCCTCGTCATCGGAGGAGAAGTGGACGCCGTCCAACGCAGCGCATCTACGGGCCGTGAGGAGCTGGTGGAGCTCAAGACTTCGATGCAGATGACCTCTGCCCACCGCAATCCAGCCAAAGCCGCCGTGGAACAAGAACGGTTCGAAAAGAAGCTGCTGAAGTTCTTTTTGCAGAGTTACTTGTTGGGCATTGGAAAGATCGTGGTTGGTTTCCGAGATTACCACGGGTTCTTGACAACGCATCAGGAATTCGAGACGCTCAGGATCCCACGCATGGTGCGAGCGGGACAGCCGATCGCAGGCAGATACGATCAAGCGGGCAAGCCGATGATTCGAGAACAGTCGGTTTGGGAGCCGAAGGACGCGCTCGGATTCGGCGATCAGATCCTGTCCTTTGTTCGTGAGACCATCGCAGCTCACAGCGACGCAGCGGAGGAGAAGCAGACGGCCGCAAAGGAGGACCTTACGTCGGAAGAAGCCGAGAAAGTCAGCCATCCAGTCTTTCGCATCTCGTACAAATCGCCCTTCGACCAAGTCGAGATCCGCCTCCTCAACGAAGCCGAGATTTTCGAACAGGCGCAAGATTCGGGTCGCTCCGGCGAAAGAGTCGGCTTCCTCCCTCGCAGCTACTACGACTTTGTCCAGCGTCAAGCTCGACCCTAGTATGTGGAAAAGACGGATTGCGAAACAAGATGCAAAGAGAACACAAAACATTGCGTGCACGAGAACAAGATGAAAGATGCGAGAATGGTCTAGACGAGACGTTTGACGACGAGAAGCGCGACGAGGATGGAGAGTGCTTTGATGCAGTTGTCTATGAGTGTGAGTTTTTGCTGTGTTGACGAGGTGTGGTTGATGGGTGGAGTGGAGGTGAGCGGGGATGTGCGCGGTGGGAGTGATGGTGCTGGTGGTGCTGGTAGAGGTTGATGCAGTTGAGAAGGAGCGACTGGTGGGGAGGGTGGACGAGAAGGAGCAGGAGTTGTGATTGAAGCTGAGGCGGCAGTCGGTGCTTCCGATGGCTGCTCTCGGCTTGCCGTGGTTTCCTCATTCGACGCATCACCCGACACTTGACCTTTCTGATCCACCTGCTCCTCAGCCTCCACCGAATCAGGCAGCATCTCCACCGTCGTCTTCGCACAAACCTCACACTTCCACCCTCTACTCTCCCTCGCCAACGCCCTCCTCCTCTCCACCCCCCACTCCAACCCTCCGACTCCTACAGCCTTCTCCTCCCTCTCAGCCATGAACGTCTGCAGCCCCAACAACGCCGTCCTCACCCCCCACGCTGGCTGCCACATCTCCTCGTGGAAACCCGTGAAGGTCAAACAGATCTTCTTGTTCAGCTCCCACCTGCCGTTCGGCGTCAGCAGCATCACATCCGGCGGTCGCATCGGGTACTCGGCGGGGAGCAGGATTCGACCGTGGTAGAGTCCATCGGCGAACTCGGTGTTGGCAGGTCCGCGCAGCGTGAAGTGCCATTCGAAGATGTTGTCATCGAGCGGGGAGGCCGTGTAGAGCGAGGAAGTGTCGGAGGACAGCTCGCGCGCTTCAGAGAGGATGCGTTTGATCGCGGAGGATTTCTTGTTGTGCGAGGTGGCGGTGGCCATCGTCGAGGGGAAGGGAGGATGAAGATCGAGCAGTTGGGAATCACGGATGAAGGGTGTTGAGGTTTGGAGGTGTCGGTATCGTGGTGTGAGGTGAGAAAGGATTGATGGGAAAAGCCTCCACGTCGCAAACCCTTGAGGAAAATTGGACCCCGCCGCCGCACGAGCCGGTGGATGAAGCTCCACTGCGCCTACAGCAGATAGTTAGTCCCCACGGCCCCCGCCGCAGCCCACTTTGACATTCGACATCGCGATACTTGTCTCTTCCTTCCCCTATGGCAAACCACCAATCGCTCTTCTCCAGAAAGATGTCCTCGGATAAAGCGATCCAGGAAGCCTCGGAGCAAAGACGCACGGTCGGGATGGAACAAATCATGCACGCTGCTGCAGTCCCACAGCCGCCTTCCCGCGTTTGGCCACCACTCTCGGCGAAGAAAGTGACGGCTTCGGAGTGACTTTGGGAATTTCTTCGAAATCAAGGGTTTTGCTGCCCGTCGGAAAAACAACACCGCGGAAGGGATGCCACATTCTCGCGAATCCGATTCTCCAACATGAAAGCAACACTTTTTGCCCTTCTCTCTTCCTCGCTTGCTTCTCTTCACCATCGTGTCGCCTTCTCTTCATCACCGGTATACGTATTTCATCTCCAGCGGTCGCTGCGAGGAGGAGGAGGAGTGAAGCTGGACGAGATGAACGCTGCATTCATGAGCGCGAGGTCGCGCGCTCTCGAAGCCATCTCCCGCTTCTCCAACGGATCTTCGTCAACTTCGCTACCGACAACATCATGGCGGACCACTTCCAAACCTAGACGAAGCTTCGACCGTCCACGTCTGTTCACTCGAAACCGATCCGATCTCGACGCATCTTCGGAAACACCCTCGCGCTCGACCGTGCTGTTCGTGCTCGGCTGCTTGGCGTGGTACACCTCGTCCTCGCTCTCCTCCAACACCTCGAAATCGCTCCTCTCCAAATCCCGATCTTCTTCGTCGTCACTACCCCCGGCATTCCCGTACCCGGTCACCCTGACGCTCATTCACTTTATCTTCGTCAACGTGTGCTGCTTCATCTGCGCCTCACCCGCTGTGCTCGGGCGTCACACGCTTACGCGTCTCTCCCCGCCCTCCATCCCTCGCATATCCTCCGTCGCCCAGTTGGCTTTTTTCAACGTCCTCGGTCAGGCGCTCTCCTCTCTCGCCATCTCCCGTGTTCCTGTGGCTACGGTGCATACGATCAAAGCGCTCTCGCCGCTGTTCACCGTTCTCAGCTACACCTACCTCTTCCACGTCACCTATTCGAGCAGGACGTATCTCTCGCTCGTCCCTCTCACCATGGGCGTCATGATGGCGTGCACCGGATTCAGCTTCGACGCGGACGACATCGTCGGCTTCGCAGCTGCACTCGCGAGCACGTTCGTGTTCGTCGCGCAGAACATCTACAGCAAGAAGCTGCTTCGAAACCCAGACGGGGGCGAAAAGATGGACAAACTCAACATCCTCTTCTACTCGTCCGCCTGCTCGATCGTGCTCATGATCCCCATGGCGCTGTACTACGACGGCACGGCGATCTTCACCAATCCCAGCTGGCGTGCTTCTCCTTCCGTTCCTTTCGACAGATCGTTCCTGGTGGTGAGGCTGCTGCTGGTCAATGGGCTGGTGCACTTTGCGCAGAACATCCTCGCCTTCAACGTCCTCTCCCTCGTCTCCCCCGTCACCTATTCCATCGCTAGTCTCGTCAAGCGAGTGTTCGTGATTGTGCTAGCGATCATATGGTTTAGGCAGAGCGTGACGGGTTTGCAGTGGGTAGGAATCGCAATGACGTTCGGCGGGTTGTGGATGTACAACAACAGCAAGACGCAGGGAGAGGTGGACAAGGCCGAGAAGAAGGTGGCGAGCAAGCAGGAGGGAGAGATCCTACCATTGACGAGCAGCAGCATGGGCGGCAGGGTGGAGGGTCTGCATCATCGAGACGCGGTGGGTGGTGGCGTTCCACCGTTGCAGCAGTATCCGAGGCAGATTTCGGTGGCGACGACGTACAAAGCGCCGCCCAACGTGGGCGGCTGGAACGACATACCCGAGTCGATGTTGAGGAGCAGCTATATCAAGGATCCGACGAAAAGTCTACCTAGTCCTCCAGACAGCGATAAGGAGGTGTAGACCCCCTTCACACACGTGCTTTTGCTTCATAGACGATAGATGGAATAGAGCTGTCATCCCGTCACGACGTTGCCTTCTGCCGTGAAGCTACGCAGCCATTAGGTTGTCTAGCAGATGTGGGAGCTCGACAGCCATCAGATTTGAGAGCGACGCCAAAGTGCAAGACGTAAAACGAGTGTCTGAGATTAAGCAGATAGAAAAAAGACAAGAGAACGAAGGACGAAAAGAGTGACGATCGGGGAGAAGAACAGTCGAGGGGGGAAACACGAACGACGTTGGTCGTTCACTGTCAGTCGACGACTTGCGCGCGGATGTAGGCAATGAGGAACGAAGAACAGTCGAGTCCGTGTAGGAGTTTCCTAGGGGAGGAGAGATCCAAAGCGGGGGAGCGAAAGGAAAGTTGTCCGAGATGTATCGTCAATATGCTCGAATGAGATGGGGGGGGG